GGTTATATAAGAGAAGCTGCGAGATCTGGAGCCGTCCGTGCATAAGGAATGCTCATTAATACGCGTTACGTTGTTCTTCGACCGATGATCGTTGTATTTTATTACGCTGACGCGGGGCCGTCCCCCCCACCCCCAGCGGTCGGTTTAATCTCGGCGGAAAATTATGGCTGAAAATCCACGGCCACCGCGTGAAATATTATACCCAGACCCGCGAAGATCAAGGACACCGGAGAGGCGATTACATTCGATGAGTTTTATTAAGGAATCGCGCGCTCGTTAACGGTTCTCCAATTAACTGCTTTCGTTGGCCCTCCAATTTACATTCAAGCTTGCGAGGTACAATAATTATCAGCGGCGAGGAGGCTAGTTTTTCCTCGAGAGGCTATTTGGTATAACAATTTTTAGCAAAATGTCTCGGAAGAAATTTATGCCTTTACTTTGCAACGAGGCGGTGTGTTAAACAGACCGTCGGAGGTGAGCTTTGACAGAGTAGAATGGCGATAAAACGGCGCTTAAATTTTCCTATTTAAAAATTAATGAACTGCAACGACGCGGATGGAGAGCAAACGAGATGTTGAATTTTATATTTATTGGCGCGTAAACAGATACTTTACGAGATCGGGTATAATAGTCTAATTATTTCGATTGATATTTTCTTATAAAACATATTTTATGCTTTGTATGTATCTTTAACACTTTGGCTGCCACGTCAAGATTTTCCCCACTATGGAACTAAAACAATTCATTCTGAACTTGAAATTTAAATGTTTAATAAATTTGTATAGGACGAAGTTGAACGTGGTTACGAGAATAAGTACCAAAGACGAATTTTAAATTATGCAGTTTGCAATTATTTAAAATCGAAGTTTCGATCTCGGTAGAAAATTGTACGGTTTTGGTGTGGCAGTCAACGTGTTAACACTTAAGCGTTGGTCGGTAAAAAAGTTGATTAATACGCTATCGGTCGGTAAGTGTTGGCCGGTAAAAAAGTCGATTAACAGGCTATCGGTCGGTAATGTGTTAAAATAGAATGCGTTGGAATGTTGGCAAAGGGCATAATCCCGTAAATATTAACGAACGATAATAATACCGCCGCCTTAAAAGGGAATGGCGCGTTAGCATGCGTCGCGACAGAACGTTCTAAACGATCGAAAAACAATTGAACCCACGGGGCCATAAGCGCGAGTGCTCGTCGAGGCTGGCTTCGACGTGGACATATCTACGACTCGGTCGGAGCCGTCCACGGACGGACGGTGTCGTGGCACGAGAAAACAAAGCTATTAGTCGTAAGAACCGTAGATATATATCTTATTGTCTCCAGCCGCTAGACGGAATTACAGCGTACCCTTTAGCTGTGCCGTACCCTATGGGAATCCATTCGGAGGAGCGTTATTAACTCCGCGAGTCGTCCCGTGGCTCTCGAGAGGCAGGTTATCCTTTGTGTACCGCTAGGAAATCAGAAATAGACAAAATTATCCTTCAATTTCTATAATAGTTTTTTTTCAATTCAAGAATGCCCTGAATCTACTTACCTGTGGACAGGGACGTCCATCGGGATTTCTGAAATATCTCTATCTCGTCAGGCGAGGAGGGGGACAGCCGGGGTAAAAAAGACTGTAAAAGACAGGATGGAGGAATTATTAGTAGATATATATCTTATTGTCCCCGGTGGGTACACAGAATTCCGTGGGTTTAAGGTCCACGGGCTGGTCGTCGTCGTGGTCGTCTTCGTGGTCTATGGGGGCCCCCACGAAGATACGTTATTAATCGGGCGATGTCAGTGGTTCGACCCCTCATAGAGAACCCATAGGACCCCGGTTCGGTAAAAGGGAGGACGCGAGGCGGGGGGAGGGGACGAGGTGGAGAGGAGGAGGAGGCTCGGAGCTTGAACAAGGAAGACGGTAGGGACTCGCGGAGCGAGGGAGTCCGGGGCCTGAGAAAAGACAGAAGAAGCCTGCCGCGGACCCCGAATGGAGGGAGAACGCCACGGCGAGAGAGAGAGACGGCGGAAGAGGACGGGAGAGGGGGCGTGGGGCAGTGGAGGGCGAGGGGGGAAACAGAAGAATGGGACTCACTTCGTGCATGACCCAAAGAAACCCCCGCTGAGCGACTCGATCCGATCCGCTGATCCCCGACCGCGCTGACGCAGATACCATCTTTCCTTGCACTCCGAATGCTCTCCGGGCGTTTCTTACCGCCCATATACCTCGCTCCTCTCTCCTCTCTCCTTGCCCCTGCCGCGAGGAGCAAAGAAGAAGGAATATTCTATCCGAGACAGCTATATGACCGCACTGATTTGTCTGCTTATTGTTGCCGTTCCCGTCTCCTTGTTCCCCGATCGTGACGATGACGCGACCGTCCCCGCGGACATTCCTTCCCGCGAAATTCGCGACCACGGCTGTACCTTATTCCCTCGACGGGCAGCATCCTCGCGGAACGACAGAGACGCCCGGCTGATCCCGAGGTACACTCGAGGGTTCGATGACTGTTCCCGTTCAATGATCAGCCGACGGAGCAGCTTAGACACACCTGAACGTTCCAATGAGAGAGCCGAGAATTCGGAAGGTTAGCCACGATTAATCCCTATGGCGATACGGAGGCTATGCCACCGGAAGTCCCCTGAAAAAGTGGTCAAAATTACACTCTAGACCTTTCAAAATTCTATGCTCGAATCTACGTACCATATGAGCGATGAAAATCAGAGCAAAAACTTGGACAATCCATCTTAAGAATTAATTTTTATAATTTTGTTCAGGGCTCAACTTTCTTCGACTTTGATACTTTTTTTTCTTGGGGTGTCTTCTGGGTTCAGAATTGTGTTTCTGGACTCACTATGCCTCTGCATCGATTGCAAACGAGATAAATAATGGAAGACCTGATTTGAGTCTATGAATGAGAGGAAATGCAACCGGAAGTCCCCTGAAAAAGTGGTCAAAATTACACTCTAGACCTTTCAAAATTCTATGCCCGAATCTACGTACCATGTGAGTGATAAGAATCTGAAAACTTGAACAATCCATCTGAAGAATTAATTTTTACCATTTTTATAATTTTGTCCTAGGCTTAACATTCTTCGACTTTGATACTTTTTTTCTTGGGGTGTCTTCTGGGTTCAGAATTGTGTTTCTAGACTCACTATGCCTCTGCATCGATTGCAAACGATATTTGACCCCACGAATGAGAGGCTATGCAACCGGAAGTCCCCTGAAAAAGTAGTCAAAATAACACTTTAGACCAAAATGTGATGAAAACTAGAAATGTTTCCAGGTGCATTTACTCGCTATTTTTGACTTTAGCTCGATCATGACTCTTACTATGCAAGTGTATGCGTGCATAAGAAGGTTGTCGCTGCAGGTTCCCGGACAAAGAAAAAAGCGACCACGTGGCTCTAGTATAATAACTGACTTTAGCGCAACCGTTGGAAGATGGATATACTTAAAGACGAAGCGTTTAGTCTCTCATCGAGCTGCAATAGCAAATTAATTACAGACATCTGAAGTATCTCTTATTACTACCTGAAACTCTAAAGTCCTCCCTTTTCCCTCGAAACCAGATTTTTCAAACTGGTCAACATAGACAGCGCCATTATGAGAGCAAGAAAATTGAGAATGACAACTTCCTTTGATTCTTCTCGTTTCGTTTGGACTCTGTTTAACTTCATACGATGGATGATTAATCGCAATGAGGCCTCGAGGTACTCAAACCCGGCCACGTTGCGAAATAATTAAAAAGTAAAATTCGTTCGGAACCGACGCCGCCGCCGAAAACGCGCGTTTCTCTCGCGAGACAGCGGACCGGCTATTGTTTCGTCATCACGAGCGTACGTCCCGTGGCACGCCTAGGCGGTTCGAAGGCAATAATTGATGGCACGCACTTTATCAATGACGGGCCAAGTCAGACTAATTACTAGGAAGATCGATGCGTTTTCGACGTCGATTATGTAAGCTCGAAAATCACCTACGTGTCCTCCGTATTCGGTCCCTGAAGACGTAATCCGTGTTTACGTTACACGTGTCAGTTGTCAAGGAACGGAACCCTGAAAACTAAACATCATCTTTCATTTACTACGACCTTAGAAGTTCCCTTAAAACTCGTTAAAAGAAAAAGGTTTTACATAAATTACCTATTCTCAGAAAGCTTGCTTAGCGGAGAGAACATATTTGGTGGACTGTAATTTTAAAAACATTCTGTAAGTTTTAAAGCTGAGAACTGTGTGAAAAAATTGATTAAACACCGCGTGGTTCGATGGAGTCAGATTTGTTCGACAGGAAGTGCGCGTGTTCGTTCTAGCGAATCGATTTCCCGATTGGTCGAACGATAGTTTGTCGATCGGGATGTTACACTGTTGCGATGGTTTTTCAATAGCACCACCGTTCCACCGTTTCGATACACTGGCTCCTGGTAGTCACATAAACCTTGGCCGGCTGACGTGACTGAGAATTTAATGAAATGAGACATGCGCGCAAGTCGAATCGAAAAACAAACTTTCTCACGATTCTTCGCATGCATACCGTGACTTCGGCGCAACAACGGCCCGTAGATTTATATTGATTGCGCATAATTATATCCTGGCGACCGACAAAACCAACGTCGGACCCTCTCCGTCGCGATTTATCGTTAACGCGCGCTCTCGCTCGCCGCGAGATGCGACTTTCCACGATTCAAACGTGTCAATTAATTCCCACTACTCGCTGGATACTCCCCCATTTTAACAGCGAATTTCTGTAACCCTCAAAATCCGTCGAATTTTAATTAATAAAATGATCCAACGGGTGTGAAGGACATTGACAAAGTAGCTCTCAGGCTTTTTAACACCAATAGTAACAACTAATCGCTTGCACAGGCCCGTTACAATAGAGGGGTCGACAACCTGTGGCTCTTTTTAACTAAATTATTATCTATAATAATTACAAGAGAACGAGACCAACGAATGACTTTCGATCGCGTCTGGTCTGTTTCCCGTGTAATCGTTGGCGATTACGAGTGTGTTTTAATTGCAGGTTCGCGTGATGGTTCTGGACAAGAACGACGTGGCGCCGACCTGGGGCCCCGGCACCTGGAAATTCAAAATCTCCGAGGAGGCGCCCCCCAACACCGTCGTCACGGTCCTGAAGGCGTTCGATCCGGACACGATAGGGACGCTGACGTACACCCTGGTGCCGAATCATCGTCCTGGATCGAACCAGGAGAACCAGGAGACCGACGAGGAGAGCCAGTTCAAGCTTCATCCGACCACGGGACAACTGACGCTCGCCGAGGCCCTCGACAGAGAGACCAGAGAAAAATATGTCCTGAAAGTTCGAGCCGATGATGGATTGCAACACACCGACGTCACGTTAACCATCCAGGTAGATTTCTTTCCCTGGGTCCAATTTTTTACTCGGGGCCCCGAAAGTCTGCCAGTTCTGACTCTTCGATCGATTATCTTCGCTACGAATAAAATGGTCATGTTATGGTTGAACGTTAGAACCGATAATCAATAATCGAAGACGATTTTATATACGACTACCTCCAGTTCTGTTGTTCCGAGCTGAGAATAGGGGAGAAACAGTTGCGCGGATTTTTCTGTTTAGACCAAGTTCTTTCGAGTCCCGTTGAAGGCTGATTATCCTGTAATTACACGGTATGCTACTGTTATCTCGGCCATTATGATCCCTTGTCCCGTTACTCTATCACTATTGATTATTACCGAATCAATTAACAATTATGACAAATTGATCTCGGGAGAGACACGCCACTGCGAACGATGTTTTCGAGGACTACCATGTTTGGCAGAAGTGTGATTAGATATCGTACGGGATTACTGTTCCGGAATTAACCTTCTCGATATTCTTCCTTTTTTAAGTATTGATCAGGATCTCCTCCGACGCGATTCGCTGGACATGCAACAAAGGGTGAACAACGTTAAATGTTAATCATTCTATCCTTCAAGTTAGCAATTAACTTATTAAAAATAAATACATATACTTTCTGCCCTTGAAGAAAGTCTTGAGCTTGAATTCCCATGATTCACTGGACATGTAACAAAGGGTGAACAATGTTAAATATTGATCATTCTATCCTTTAAATTAGTAATTGACTTATTAATAATAAATACATATACTTTTTGCCCCCATTTGAAGAAAGTCTTGATTGGATGACCTCCCCAATTCACTGGACATGTAACAAAGTGTGAACAATATTAAATATTGATCATTCTATCCTTCAAGTTAGTAGTTAACTTATTAAAAATAAATACATATGCTTTTTGCCCTTGAAGAAAGTGTTGAGCTTGACCTCCCTTGATTCACTGGACCTGCAACAAATGGTGAACAATGTAGATTAGAGAGCAAGTCGATTGGAGAGATCAGAGGCTAGAAAAATGACTTTCCCTGAGAACTGTCCGGCAGCGAGGTATCGTCGAATCGCTTTGGTTTCCCAGTGCGTTCCGCCTTATAATTCATTACGCTGGCGGACCGAAACGATTCGCGGCGATAAAAAAACGTCGAAGAAGGGCGGCCCCCGGTCGTTTAACGACGGCGGAGGCGATCCACGGTAGCATCGAAGGCACGGCCAGCCAGGGGCCCAGGGTCCTTCGGAGACAATCGCAAAAATTATCCTTATGACGTGTAATGGCTGGGAATTCTTTTAAGGTTCTCGCTGACCGCCGTCCGCTATTCTATCCGGGTCTCTTAAAGGCAAAAGGAATGCCAGTCCCGATCATAGCTCGCCTCTTTGGGGCTCCATGAAAGAGGCCCGCTGCCGACAGTTGCGGAATCTGCCCCTTCTGGCCCCTTATACCCCCCCTCCCTCTTCCCTCCCCCTGGTCGACCTTAGAAGAGTTTCCTCCTCCCTCCGCCCCGTCAAGAATCTCTCCTTCCCCCCTCCTCTCGTCCTTCTCTTCTCTCCTCTTCCTACTTCCTACGTTTCGTTCCCCTCCTCCCTCCGTTCGTCGTCGACCTCTTCCTCCTCCACCTTCGAGCCCCTCTTCTTCGTCTTCTTCTTCTTCTTCTACTTGGTCATCGTGGTCTCTACTCTCCTTTCGGTTCTCTCCTCGTCATCCAGCGCGTCTCGGGGCAACCGTCACTTTTTGCAAACGTCTCCGAACCCTCCTTAATCAAACCGTGCCCACCTCCGCTTTATTCTTTTATACCGCCACCGCGTGTCGATCCCACTCGACGCTGGAAACCTGTTCACCGGACGTACACCGGGCGACTTCCGAGCGGCCCTGGGACCAGAGAGACGTCCGCGGCACGCACCCTCCCCCCCACGGATAGAGAATCGCTACGGAGAGGAGCCCCTGCCACTTACGGGAACGAGTTCGCCGTGATACGATTCCACGCGGGGGCTATCGACGCGAAAAATCCGTCCGCCGAAAGTCTCGGGGGGCCCCCGTGGAATTTTAACGGACGAACGGGACCCGTGGAATGCACCCGGCCGGATACACCTCGCAGAAACCTCGATTGTCGCGTAATATTCCGGGTCTTATCGGCTATATTTCTCTACCAGCGACTCGCGCGCCCCGCTGTCTTGGCGCGAATGGTTCAACCGTGTCGCGCGACAATCGGTCAACCCCTGTGCGCACCGATAACGCGCCGAAATGTTGCGCGCGCATCGCGGCCGCCATATTGAACAGACTACGCGAATTTCGGGACCCAAACGGCAGAGTTTCACAAAATATAATGCAATTACAATAAAATATAGATGAATTGAACAGTTTCTGAAACGACCACGAACATTTTTCGATCGACTTTCAAACGGTTGAACGATGCCGCCATATTGAAAAGATAAGACTACGCAAATTTCGGGACCCAAACGGCAGAGTTTCACAAAATATAATGCAATTACAATAAAATATAGATGAATTGAACAGTTTCTGAAACGACCACGAACATTTTTCGATCGACTTTCAAATGGTTGAACGATGCCGCCATATTGAAAAGATAAGACTACGCGAATTTCTAAAACAATCGGGTACCAAACGGCATAGTTTCACAAAATATAATGCAATTACAATAAAACACAGATGAATTAAAAAATTTCTGAGACGTCGACGAGCATTTTTGGAACGTCGGTGTTAAATTAAAAAACGAAACGAACGTGACTGGCTGTCCCGAGTTCTGATTGAAATATGTTTATTCAGGGACGACGTTGAGTACGATCGAAAGAGTACAGAAAGCGGTTCGATTCCGAATTGTTTATGTTGACTCTACCTTTCTCCTCCCAGCGATCGGGTCGGGAATAATGGCGGTCGCGTGATCGTCCGAGAATAATCATTAATCATTTATGATTCAAACCCCGTGAAACCCTAGGAACAGTTACATGGTTTTTTAATCGTTTTGTTTACCAGGTGACGGACACGAACGACAACGCGCCTACGTTCCAGAGCACCGCGTACTCGTTCGACGTGCCGGAGAACATGCCGCGTGGCAGCAGGATCGGTCAGGTCGTCGCGACGGACGCCGACGCCGACGGACCCAACAGCCAATTGAGCTACACGCTGATATCCGACTGGGCGAACGACGTATTCTCCCTGAATCCCAGCACCGGGGTGTTCACGCTCACGGCCAGCCTCGATTACGAGCAGGTTCGTTAACACAATCAATTGTAGCGATATCGGGCCGCTCCGTGCAACGGTATTTAGAAAGTGTAAAGGGTATATCGCGTGTCCCGGCAGATTTTTTTCCTCCACGGGCTTATGGCTTTCACGGTGTCTCGCTTTCACGTTGATGTTTGAATCCACCGTGCCCGGCCATTATTTCTAAATCGATGTTTTCCCGGCGCCGTGATCGCACCGACGAGGAAAGCAGACGCTGACGATGCCTTTGACGCAATTAGGTCTAAATATCACCCAGCCTGCACTTTCGCGATGACGAAACACTGAAATCGTCGCTTACAATAGCGTTATTTGGAGCCGAAAAAACCATGGAAATTCGTCTCGAAAAACCGGAACGTCGCTGAGGCGGGTTCGTTGCCCGATCTTAATACTATCAAACAATTAATTATGAGAACTATCGTAAGAACGATTAGACGTTCCCTGTCGGAGGGTTTGAGCGACAGGATTTTTGGTACGGTGGTCTGATCGACAGAGGATAGGTCCACGTACGGTAAAACGAACGTAGCCAGCCCGGGGCAACGATTATAACCACGAACACGCCTCTGCGTTCAAGCTCGAGCGTACCTATTATATTAGCTTTTGACTAGAAGGCAACGCTAGAATTTAGGGTTTAGCGCTAACAGTCCGACAGATCGATCAACAGACGTTTTTAATGGCTGCTCGCTGTCTACGCTCTCGGAGACAAGCCATAGTTATGCTACAGGCACATACGCGTACATTCTGATCGATAGAATCGCCGACGCTCGACCCACGTACTCGCAATTCGATTCCTCGATAATTGAAATATCGATGAAATTACAAAAATTGTATACAATGAGGCGTAGACGAAACAGCATAGCTTTACAGAATTTATATCTATTAAATTATTCCAGACTGTACATCGGTTGTTATAGCATCGAAGTAGCTATGCTGGTTCCACAAATTTTTCGTACAAAGATGTCCAACACCGAATAGCAGGCTACGCCACTGACGTATACTTTACGATACGCCGTGTAACAGTGTTGTTATGTAGGAACGTTGGTCGCGTTTAGGCGTGTAGCAACAGGAAAAGCACGGTAACAGACGAGACCAGGGAGAAGGGCAGTTTATAGAACCCTTCATCACGGCCTTTCCAGATCCAGGGCGGGGATCATTACTAGACTGCGAGAGCATTTCACGGTCCGGTCGGGAAGATCTGAGCGCACTGGAAACAGAGAAAAGAGCACGGTTATTTCCACGAAACTCGTATTAGTGGCGCGAAATGGCTAGGTGGCGATCGCAAGAGAACTCGATACAGGCGGAAGTGTCTAACAAGACCAAAAAAAAAACAGGTTTCCGTAAAACTTGAGCCTCCCTCTCTCGAATCGTTCCCCTCGAACGAGTCAAATTTCTTGACCCCCTTTTGTCTACGAAACCCTATGCAGTTTCGCCCTTAAACTGACCATTAATTAAGTACCATTTCGAGGGGGTCAAGTTTCAACAACTAACCCCTTAACTGATATCTCAAAATATTCAGTTTGTAATGGTTTCTAGGACGCGAGTTAAGGGTGGAACCTCATGTAAAATGAAATTTTTTGATCTTTATGAAACTTGGCATATATATTCTATAAATAATTGGCCTCAGTCATTTTTGCAATTTTGAAAATTTTAACAAAAGAAGTATGTCATGCTGAGCGTTTTTGCATAAACTGACTATTCCATTTTGATTTTTTTGTGCATTGTACGCTGCACGGCGAATTTACAGGATGCGATTTTCAAGCCACCATTGCACCATTGTTATTAACAATTAAAATTTATAAAAAATATTTTTCTTTACGTTATAACGTTAATAAATGATACTTGAAATTTTAAACGAATCTGTGCATTGGATTTGTAAAAAAAAATTCTTGAAAAACAGGCCATTTACATGAGGTTCCCCCCCTTAAGTATACAATGCGTTTGTTTCAGGTGCAACACTACATCTTGGTGGTCCAGGCGACCGACGGCGGGATCCCGGCGCTTTCGTCGACGGTGACGGTCTATTGCAACGTGGTGGACCTGAACGACAACGCGCCTATCTTCGGGGCTGGTCCCCACGCGGCTGACATTGTGGAGAACACGACGATTGGTACCCCTGTTCTGACGGTGGCTGCTCAGGACTTAGACTCCGGTGACAATGGAAAGGTGATCTACGCTGTTGCCGGTGGTGACGAGAACGGGGACTTTGGGGTTGCTCCTAATGGCACCCTCTTCACCCGGAAGCTGCTCGACAGGGAACAGAAGCCGCTGTACAATTTGGTGCTCAGCGCCACCGACAATCCTCTGCCGCCAGCTCGACCACTCTCGACCACCGTGCAGGTTCGTTGACTCCCCGTTCCAACTGTGGAAAACAAGAGAATGTAAATTTATTCAAATCGACCGGCAGATTGATCTTTCGGGGCTGTGAACGCTGTTACGTGCACGTGTCGTTTGTAGCTTAAGAGATCTCGTTCCGGGGAGTAGGGTATCCTAGTTACATCTGATAAAAAGAACACAGAGCCGCGAGTTGGCCGATCGATTTGTTAAACGAGGTTACCAACCGGACTCCCGTGTTCTTTTTTTTTATTCACTCTTGGGAATAGAAAGAACGATCCAAGTACGAATCACGTGGATCAATCTTTACTTAACGTTATTCGAAAATAGAGAAGTTTTTGGAATTTGGAACCTGATCGACAGGTGACCGTGGTGCTGCTGGACGTGAACGACATGTCGCCGGAGTTCATATCGCCGACGAAGATTTCGATAATAGAAAACGCGCCGAGCAACACGGTGGTGATGGCCATTAAGGCGGTGGACAGGGACGAAGGACGAAACGGATACGTGGAGTACTCCCTGGAGGACACGACGCTTCCCTTCACCGTGGGCCCCGTGGACGGGCTGCTGCGCGTATCTGGCTCGCTGGATCGCGAATTAAGGTCAAACTACACCTTGGAGGTAACCGCGAAAGACCGCGGTGAACCACCGAGATCGTCCTCGACCACAGTCACTGTCACGGTCCTCGACGAGAACGACAATTCACCGGTCTTCGACCCGCGACAGTACTCCGCCACCGTCGCCGAAAACGCCAGCATCGGGGCCAGCGTTCTTCAGGTTTGTACAGACTCTTCAGCGCCACCTACATAGAAGGGAACAATCAGTAAAATCGTATAAAATAAATTTAATCGAAACACTACTTATCTATCATTTATACAACCGGGAGTCATTAGTTTGATGTTCGACTAAAACAACACCGTCTCGTATGCGGTCAATTAACGCGACAAAAGTGTACGGAATTATATAACTTTGTGTATCACGTGTATAAATCTTCCACAAAAAGGTGGAAAGTGACCGAGGCACTCTGGTGTGAATTGGTTTGTTTGAGGAGCCTCGAATAATATTTGACGAGGCCTGTGATCGTAGGTGTGAATCGACCATGGGTTCCTCGACGACCCTCGCGCTCTCAAATGATTTACTGCTCGACGGAGGAAGTCTGAGCGTACCTCGAGCGAGCCATGATCGATACGAGATTAACAGCGACCGTAATAGAGAAATGGGGCAATATTTAATTCGAATAGATAGAGTCTCGTGTTTGGATCGCAGGTGTCTGCGATGGACAGGGACGAGGGCGCGAACGGAAGGGTGAGATACAGTATCGCGATGGGGGACGATAACCGGGACTTCACCATCTCGGAGGACGGCGGGGTGATCAGGGTGGCGAAGAACTTGAACTTCGAGCGCAAGTCCAGGTACCATCTGACCATTCGAGGGGAGGATTGCGCGTCAGAGGTCGGAGAAACGCCACGTGGTGACACTGCCCAGGTCACCGTCACTGTCCTGGACATAAACGACAACGCGCCCGTCTTCTTGGACTCGCCGTACCTGGCACACGTGATGGAGAACATGGTACCACCTGGTGGAGGATTCGTCATACAGGTAATTCTATAAAAAAAAGACAAGTGTCAATGGTACCAATTTTTGTTAATTTTTAAACTAGAACTAGCTGAATATTTGTAGAATTAAATGGTGGATTAGTTCCAAGTGTCTTTAAGACTCTGGTGGATGCTTTAACCCTTTGCACTCTGCTCCACAGGTGAAAGCTTACGATGCAGACACACCACCTTACAACGACCAGGTGAGATACTTCCTGAAGGAGGGCGACACCGATTTATTTCGCATCAACGCCAGTACCGGGGACATATTCCTGCTTCGACCCCTCGACAGGGAACTGGTCCCGGAATACACCCTCACTCTGGTGGCCATGGACACTGGTAAGTTGTGTATTTGGATCCCTGTAATTGCAATGACAGAGTTTAATAATGTGTTGAATGGTTAGGAGGGGTTGTAAATAAATATCTCGTCGTGGGTACGGCGTTGGAAATCGTAGGAAGGGTTTAAGTGGGGTATAAAAATGTAGACAGGAAATTCAATACGAGTAGGAAAGTAGGTTCGTAAGAAATGAGGGACAAAGGAATGGCGCGCGGAGTCGTGTTCCCGTAGGACCTTTTGAGACGCGCTTTAGGGGAACGGCTAAATAGGTGTGTACCTGGCGCGATCTGCACAAAGGCTGGCATTCAAAGGGTAGCCAGTATTCTTCGGGAGAGAATATTTTTCCGGCCATCGCGCTGACCGGTCTTAGCCTCTGTGTAAACTGGTTGCGAATTAGCGCGGACAAAGGACTTAATTATGTTGGGTTTGGCGCTTTGACTAACAAAAACCGAAGGACGACCGACGAAAAAACTGATTCTAGTGCCGAAAAGACGCATTGCGTTCTTTATAACGCACGCAATCGTGGTTATGAATTATGCTAGAGTCGTAGTACGGCTTCGAGTTGTTCTTTTACATCAAATATATTTCCCGTAAGGGTTCAGGGGGATGCTCGACGGACTGTCACCCCGGTGAATAGACGAAACAATGGACGATGTATGGGACGGACTTAAGTAATGAGCGGTAATATACAAATTGGATATAAATTTGTGGGTTGTTCGATGAGATTCTTTAAACGGTGGGCAGTTCCTCGTCGAAATCTTTTTTATCGTTCGTTCCACCGACGGAGTCGGTAGCCCCCCGCCCCCGCCGCCGCCGAGCAACCCCTCCCCACCCCCCCCGGTCGGTTGGGCCAGGCCATCGGGCCCCCGATGGCCCAATCGGTCCCCGCCGAGGTAGACAAGCCCGCAGAGTTATGACGCGCGATTATGATAATCGCTCTCAAATGCCTTCCTCTGCCTCGACGCTGCACTCTCTTTCTCCCCCACCCTCCGCTTTCTTCCCTCACCTTGTCCTCTTCTCTTCTCTCTCTGGGGGCCCCCTCGCCCCTCCCCACTGTCCCCTTCCGCGCCAGCTTTCGCTTCTTGGACGTTTTGGTACCTCTCTCTCTCTCTCTCTATCTATCTGTCCCCCCACCCCTCTCAGAGGAGAAAGAGAGATCCCACTCGCGCCCGCGCATTATATTCCTATTTTATTCATACGCGTTATGGCTGTCGCGTATGTGCTATCGCGCGTACGCCATCGGTGTCCCCCATCAACCGCTGAGGGCCCAAAAATCTTTTGTCGAGGCCCCTCGAACGATGGTGCAGGGGTCCCATTGCATTATTAGTACGCGAGAGAGAGAATTTAGCGCCATCGGGGAATCCTGAAACATTTCAAAAATTGGAAAGTTAGTCTCGAGGACGCAAGAGGGCGGAGAAGGGGTTGTTCGACCCCTTTGCCCGTTGATTAAGCATACGGTACGAGGAGAACGCGTCTAAGCAAGGTCCGTTTCCGTGGGATTGCCCACCAGGGAACGCCGCCTATGGTGGACCACACCATTGTGCCCCGCAATTGTTGTGTCCGTGCCCTCCCCGTGAGAGGTCCACGTGATTGAACGATATACGCTTATAGAGGCGCGTGGCCCACGGCCACGCCACCGTGGGTACAATGTACCTGCTGCAATCAGAGAAATCGGGTCCCTCCGGAGAATAATGGCCTGTTTTAGGCGGCGCAATTAACTCGACTTCGCCCGATACTTCGTGAAATCGTGATTTGTCTCATTTAACGTTACACGATCGCAATCTCGACGGGCGCTCGATTTTCGGTAAACGCAAGTAAACTAGTTGCAATTGATAATATACATACGCAGAGAAGACACAAAAGACATGGTGTATCGGTAAAATAAAAAGGTCGTTCCTCTCGCTGATAAAAAAAAAACAAGGACCAAGCTTTGGATCTCGATGAAAGGTCGCCGAAATTCCAGCGCCGAATTCGAATAAACGGAACGACCTTTTACGCGGCGGTGTTCGCGTCGTTTATGGTGGTTCGATTAGCGGAGCACGTTTGTGTAATCATAGAACGATCAATCTACGATTAGCGAACCCGTTTCGCAGGTTCTCCGCCGCTGACTGGATCGGGCATCGTTAGGATCGTCGTGCTGGACGTCAACGATCACAGTCCAGAATTCACCAGGCAGGAATACAGGGCGACGGTCACCGAGAACTCGGCTTCCGGTACGTGGGTCGCGAAACCCCACGCCACGGACAAAGACGAGGGCCTGAACGCCAAGATCAGGTGAGGGACCAAAATTCTAAGACTCCGGGACACCTTGGGGGGTGCAGGTACTCGAGAGAAATCGCACCTCCACCCCCTGTGGTGCCTTACAAATACTCGTTTCGGAAACAACCCCTAATAAAACTGTTTTTACACGAATTTCGTACAGATACAGTCTACTGGGTGAGAAATCGGAACGGTTCACGGCGGACCCCGACTCGGGGGAGGTTTTCACCCTGGTGCCCCTGGATCGAGAACAAACCGCAGTGTACCATTTGACGTTGGTTGCCCAGGATTCTAGTCCAACGGAGCCCAGAGCTTCTGCTGTTAATTTGACTATTCTCGTGAAGGACGTGAACGACAACGCCCCCAGGTTCTCCAGTCCAAGGTACACGGCGTACGTGCCTGGTGCCACCAAACCAGGTAAGCTGTAGCCTAGTAGCTCGTCTCTATTGTGGTAGCCATTTGCATTTGATGTATCTGAAATTAGAAATGTGTTAGTAAAGATAGAGACCTGGTGCCACCAAAACCAGGTAAGCTGGAGCCTAGTAGCGCGTCTCTATTGTGGTAGCCATTTGCATTCGATGCACTTGAAATTAGAAATGTGTTGGTAAAGATAGAGAGCACGTTTTACTGGACAAGCTAATAATTTCGCGCGAGGCCCAACACGTTAGGTAACACAGAAACTCGAATGTAAACATGCGGCTACGATGTTACCTTCCTTTAAAGGGGATTTCGTGTTCGGCGCGAAAGCGGTGGACGACGACGACGGCGAGAACTCCCGGATCGTCTACCGTCTCCAGGGAATGGACGCCGAGAGGTTCGCGATCGACTCGAACAGCGGCGTGATAAGAGCCACGCAGGAGTTGGCCAACGACGAGACCACGTACCAGTTGCAAATCCAGGCGTCCGATTGCGGCGCGAGGCCCCAATCCGTCACCGCCGACTTGGTGATACATCTGTGGGAGAGGCAGCTGTTCCCCAGCTTTCGACCCACCATGAACACCAGGTTCACCCTGCCGGAGGACGTGCCAGAGGGCAGAGCGATCACGAAGTTGAGCGCAACTACACCGAAAGTCGGGGTGGCCAGCAATCTTGTCTACGGGATGGCTGGTGGAAACGTTGGAGATGCTCTGAGGATCGATCCTCACACTGGAGAGGTTTGTCCCGGTCCTGAAAAGACCATGATTATTAAAGGAGGATCCTAAGAGACTTCCAAACATTTAACTTATTGGGTAGAGATTTAAGATGCAGATTTTGCACAGGTGTTAGTCGCGTCTGGCTTCGATTACGAAACCGCACCGTACTACGAAGCCTGGATCGAGGTTCGCGATTCGGACACGCCAGCTTTGAGGAGCGTCGTCCAACTCCTGGTAAACGTCACAGATGCAAATGACAACGCACCCATCATGGAAGCGTCCATTTACAACGCCACGGTGCCAGAGGACGAGTATCCGCCATTGTTCGTCAACAAGGTCTTCGCGAAGGACCGCGACTCCGGGGAAAATGGCCAGGTGTCTTATTATTTGGTCAACGATTTCACGGAGACCTTCATGATCGACTCGGACACCGGGGAAATTAGCACCAACGCGAAACTGGATCGCGAAGAGGTGATGACGAGGAGCCAATTTTGTTTTAAAGTAAATTTCTAGCTCTTCGACAATTTTATTGATATAAATCTCCTTTTAGATTGCTTCCTATGAGTTAGTGGTGGAAGCCAGGGACCAAGGTCAGCCATCTTTAACAGGCACAGCTACCGTTCTGGTCACTGTCCTGGACAAGAACGACAATCCACCGCACTTCACGCGTCTGTTCAGCGTGAACGTGACGGAGAACGCGGAGATCGGCACGTTCGTAATTAGGATAACGAGCAGCGACCCGGACATCGGTCAGAACGCCAACGTGACCTACAGTTTCACCGAGAATCCCGGAATGAAGTTCTCCATCGACGCTCTGAGCGGCAACGTGACAGTAGATGGACACCTGGACAGGGAAGAACAGGATGAGTACTTGTTGAAGGTACTTATTAACAACTATATATAGGAACAGAGAGGTTGGTCGAGCGCTTGCGAGAATGTCAAGAGCGTAGCCCTCTGATGGCGAATACGGGAGGTGACGCTACATTAAGTCAAAACATGCTAATAACATTGAATAATTTTAGGTGGTGGCAGCGGACGGAGCCTGGGGGACATCAACGCCCCTGACAATAACCATTCAGGACCAAAACGACAACGCACCGGAGTTCGACGAGGATTCTTACCATTTTCATTTCCCAGAATTGCAGCCACCTGTAGCACACGTTGGCCAGGTCACCGCGATCGATCGCGACAAGCAAGGACCCAACTCGGTGATATCCTACAGCCTCCTGCAGCCCTCCGACCTCTTCACCGTGGACCCAGCGACCGGGGACGTGTTCAGCAAGAAGACTCTGCGCTACAAGCACACGCATCGTCCATCTTCGCCGGAGAATCTGTATTCCCTGACTGTGGTGGCTACCGACAACGGGAAGCCCCCTATGTCCTCTAAAACAGTGATCTACGTGAGCGTCGTGGACGCCAACAACAACGCCCCCAAGTTCGAGCAACGATCTTACCTCTACCCTGTCCCCGAGAACTACGGTGTTGGTAAACGCGTGATACAGCTGGTGGCCAAAGACGACGCCGACTTTGGCGTCAACGCCGAGATCAGTTATCACCTGGTGAACGTGAACGGGAGCGAGTACTTCTCCATCGACGAGACCACCGGATGGATCTACGTTCGCAAGAACCTGGCCCACGTGGCGGTTGGTACGACGTTCCTGCTGAAGGCTCGAGCCATCGACAGAGGCGTACCACCTCAAAAAGACGAGGTATCTTTGAGTCTAGTGATATCCGGGGAGAACAAACATTCACCTACCTTCGCTGCGGTGAGCTACCAAGTCAGAGTCCCCGAAAACGAACCAGTCAACACCACCATCCTCACCGTCAGCGCCACTGACGGCGACGACGGTCCCAACGGTATGATACGGTACAAGATATCCGCTGGAAATGAGAGGAACGAGTTCTTTGTACACTACATCACCGGAGCTGTGACTATTCTGGAGCCTTTGGACTACGATTTGGTGCAGGAGTATCGGCTGAACATCACCGCCACGGACTTGGGATTCGAACCGAAGCTGGCTGTCGCTACGCTGACTGTGAACGTGTCGGATATCAACGACAATCCACCCACCTTCGACCAGAAGGTCTACGAGGCCTTCTTGCCTGAGAACTCTCCGCCCGACAGCTTTGTTTACAAGGTACTCTAGAACACACAAATAAAATAGAAAGGGTATAAAGACAATTTTAAGCTAGAGATCACATTTTTCTCAACTACTTACATATAACGCTTTTAAGCCCCCTGTCACACATACTGTCAGCATCCCAGGACCCCTAATCATCTGTTCAACATTTACAATATCACATACCAATTTTGTAACGCCCATAATCGATACGAATAAGTGAATAATACTTGTAAAAATGTTTAGGTGATCGCTCGGGACATCGACTCTCCAAAGTACGCGGTGGTGCAGTACAATATCCTGGGTGGTACCGGGAAGGAGCACTTCCGGATCCGCGAGGACACCGGCGATATCACGTCTCTGATCAGCTTCGACTACGAGGAGGCCAATGAGTATACCTTGGACATAGTAGCGGCGAATCCCGACTCGAATCCCCAGATGGTGGGCTTCACGACTGTCCAGGTGCACATCACAGGCGTGAACGAGTACTATCCTAAGTTCATACAGCCGGTGTTCCACATGGACGTGTCGGAGAGCGCCGAGGTGGGCACTTCCGTTGGCCTGGTGCAGGCGACCGACCAGGACGCAGGGGAAGACGGGCGCGTTTACTACCTTTTCGTGGGCTCGTCCAACGACCGTGGATTCTCCATTGGCTCTGAGACTGGTGTGATTCGAGTGTCGCGTAGATTGGACCGGGAGACGCAGAACAGAGTGGTGTTGACTGTGATGACGAAGAACGGTGGTGGTATCAGGGGCAACGACACCGACGAGGCTCAGGTTATAGTCTCGATTCAGGATGGAAACGATCCGCCAGAGTTCTTGCAGAGCGCGTACGACGCTACAGTTTCTGAGGGAGCCGTTCACGGGACTCGCGTCCTCACTGTCAGGGCGGTGGACAAGGACATCAGACCGCAGAACAATCAGTTCTCGTACTCCATCATCGGCGGTAACATAGGTCAAGCGTTCAAAGTGGACCCACAAACTGGAGACATCGAGACAGCCAAGCAGTTGGATCGCGAGACGATTCCAGCGTACGATCTGACGATTGGCGCTATCGACACCGGTTCTCCGCCTCAGACTGGCACCGCGGTTGTCCACATCGAGCTCCTGGATATCAATGACAACGGTCCTGTCTTCGATCCGCCGGAAGTGATCGGTTACGTGAACGAGAACGAGCCTGCAGGGACGATTATAATGACCCTGAGCGCCACCGATCCCGATCTGCCGCCGAACGGGGCTCCGTTCACGTACAGACTGGTCGGTGGCAGACAGGGCGACATGGTCACCCTGGACAAACACACAGGGGTGCTCAAGACCACCAGAAGTCTGGACAGGGAGGCTATGCCTCAACTGGATCTTGTGGTTAGTACTTTAAAATTGCTTAAATATACCAGTGTATCACATTTGAATATTTCTGCGCAGATCGAAGTAGAGGACTCTGGAATACCACGAATGAGAAGCGAGCACACGATAACGGTCATCGTGACGGACCAGAACGACAGTCCATCGTCCCCCAGGTCGGTCCACGTGATAGTTCACTCCTTCAACGAGCAGATCCCGCTGGGTAAGATCGCAGACGTGCACCCTAACGATCCAGACATTACTGGAAGCTACTCCTGCAAGATTCTTCAAGGAGCCAATTCCAAAATCCTCAGCATACCTGCTGCTTGTGATCTGCACACGAAGAAAATAACTCCAGGTCAGGGCAGAGCGAACAAAAGACTGATAAGTGTTTAAACAAAAATGGGTATTGACGTTCTTGTACCTGTTGCAGGAGTTGGCTACTCCCTGAGCGTTTCCGGTAACGATGGTCGCCATCCAAACGTGGTGTCCAAAGTCACCGTAGAGTTCCTGGTCTTCACGAACACCACCATCGAGAGCAGCGTGACCCTGCAGGTCTCCAAGCTGAGCGCCAAGGATTTTTTAAGCCAGAATTACCGCGCTCTGTTGGATGTCCTGCAGGAGGAGATCGACGTGGGCGACACTCTGAAGATCTTCAGTCTTGGAGAGAACGCATCCGAGTTGAACATCCATCTTGCAGTGGAATCGCCTCTAGGTAACTGAAACTCCACGTTACTCTTATAATATTAACTCCATATGACCTCTACATTCTTCTATATACCTTCATCTTCGCAGGTTACCGCACCAAGTATGAGGTGACCGAATTACTGAATCGAAATCGTGACAAAATTCGATCTCTCCTCGAGGGAACCACGTTCACCGTAGGGTACTCACCCTGCAAGCATATACCCTGCGAGAATGGAGGCACCTGCAGCGACAAGTTGGCCATCTACGACGACGCCAGGATCACCGACAGCCAGGCATTGATCCTCACGTCTCCAAGGATGATGCACGAGATGACCTGCAAGTGTCGAGACGGTTTCACGGGGGAGAGATGCGAGAGGAGGCAGGATCCTTGCTCCCCAAATCCCTGTCTACTGGTCAGTAACTTTACAATCATGATAATTACCGGTTGTTCCTGGTCTTGAAGCTAACGATCCTTAATTTACCATCCAGGGTGGTCAGTGTCGACGCTTGGGGTACGATTTCCAGTGCACCTGCCCGATAGATCGCGAGGGAAAGCTGTGCGAGCTGGAAAGAGGCGACGCCTGCGCTAGCAATCCTTGTCGAAATGGTGGTTCCTGCAGAAAGAGCCCCGACAGTTTCAGTTTCTTCTGCTTGTGTCGTGCTGGGTACAGAGGAAACCACTGCGAGGCGGTCACCGACTCTTGCAGACCGAATCCTTGCCTCTACGGAGGCTTGTGCGTGGGAGAGAAGCCTGGGTAAGCTTCCTCCATTGATAAATTCTGTAGTCTGTCGCAGTGTAGTCATCTTAAATTCCTGTTCAGGTACAGATGCAGCTGTCCAGAAGGTCGCTACGGAAGACACTGCGAGCGATCCACCTTTGGCTTCGAGGAACTGTCGTACATGGCGTTCCCTGCTCTGGACTCGAACACCAACGACATCACGATCGTGTTCGCGACCACGAAACCGGACGCACTGTTATTGTACAACTATGCCCCGCAGACAGGTGGACGGTCTGACTTTGTAGTGCTGGAGCTCATGAACGGGAGGGTAGTGTTCTCATACGGGGGTGCAAGGAGCGCCATTACCTCGATTACTATAAAAACCGAGCACTCGGTGTCTGATGGGGAGTGGAGGAAGGTGACAGCGACCAGAAACGGACGCGTGGTGTCCTTGAGCGTGTCCATGTGCAGGGAGCATGGTGACATCTGCGACGACTGTAGACCTGGGGATGGCACGTGCTATGCAGACGACGTTGGACCAACTGGGTCAGTAGCATCCTTCAGGAATAGTCTCTGGTTGAGTTGCTGAATTGATTTGCCGATGAAGACGAGGAATACCTGAAAAACATCAAGCTAATCAGTGGAATTGTTTTTTACAGGACCTTAAATTTTAACAATAACCCTCTTTTGGTGGGAGGACTGGAGAACGCGGATCCGGTGCTCGAAAGGCCGGGGCAAGTGCATTCTGACGACTTCGTGGGATGCGTGCATTCGGTTTCCATAAACGGCAGAGCCCTGAACCTGTCCAATCCTCTCGCGTCGCAGGGCGTCAAGTCTGCGTGCGTCAGATCGAACAAGAATCCCTGTCTGAGGGACGCGAAGGACTCTGTTTCCGTTTGCGGAGCTAACATCAAGTGTTACGACAAGTGGCATCAAGTCACGTGCCAGTGTGGCTCGCTGAACGCGCCTAATTGCGAAGGGGCCCTCGAACCGGTCACCCTCAGCGAGGGTGGATACGTAGAATTCAAGGTGAGCGAGAGTTTTAGTCTAAAGTGACCTTTATTTGGAGATTATGAACGCTAAAATTGAAGGAAGTGTTCCCCTAAGTTTGTATACTATCAGTGAAGCCTAACTAACTCTAACTTTGTACAGATTTCGGAAAAGCACAGAAGAATGCAATTATTGGAGTACCTATACGGAGGGTCTACTCAATGGCACAAAAGTAGAGCGACCAGAGCAGTCAGCGAGGACGCCAGCTTCATAAGCAACTCCTCTCCGTTCAAAACTATTGGTATAATGTTCAGAACGGTGAAAACCGACGGGATTCTCATATACGCGGCTACCAACAAACACTATACATCCGTGGAGGTAAGAAATTAACGAACTAACGCGTTCACTGTCTGGTCCCCCAGCGGTGTACCCAACAGCGTGATCCTATGACCTATATAGAGGTCACAGACAGTGAATGTGTTAGTCCAGTAAAAAGATGGAATAGAATGTTTTCTAATCAAAATATCGACCATTGCAGCTCCGTGGCGGACAACTGTTCTACGCGTCCCTGCTTGGATCGCCTGTAAACATGTCTGCCAACATCGAAGGGGGCCTAGCGGACGGCCACTGGCACAACCTGACCCTGCACTCCTACTTCCGTGGGCTGAGACTGTTCATCGACGGTGTCCAAACCGGGGATGAACTGGACTCAGCGGGTGTCCACGACTTCCTGGACCCCTACTTGTCCGTCCTATCGATCGGCGGAGTTAGCCAAGACCTGTACTACGCTCACAGCGCTGGCGCCAGAAGTTTCGAGGGTTGTTTGGCTAACTTCACCATCAACAACGAGATCCAGCCGTTCAACGGGTCCGGCTCGATCTTCAAGGAGGCGCTGTACCACGGGAAGGTGAACACCGGATGCAGGGGACCGATCGGGATCAGCGCGGCAGCCACGGCCGATCCCCTGAGCATCGGTATCACCCTGGTGATAGTTTTCTTCGTGATTCTACTAATCGCCATCTTGGTCAGCTTCATCGTCTTCCGTTTGAGACGACAAAACAAAGAGAAATCGGCCTCCTCGGTGGTCAACAAGAACACCAACGCTATAATGACCGGGAACCCGCTGGTGGGCGCAGGGAACGACAACCTGATGTCCCGCCACGAGAACACTTATATCTCGGACACGTCTGACCTACGGGGGGTGGGCCATATGGGCCCAGAATTGATCTCGAAGAAGTACAAGGAACGCGAGATCAACTCTACCACGGAACATCGTCCCCAGAGACCGGACATAATCGAAAGGGAGGTCACCAAGTCGCCACCGATACGAGACGAGCATCCCCCGCTACCCCCACCCGCTCAAACATCCTTGCACTCTCACGAACATAATCAAGAGCCCGACATGCCGGAGCACTACGACCTGGAGAACGCTAGCTCCATCGCGCCTAGCGACATCGACATCGTCTACCATTACAAAGGCTATCGGGACGGGATGCGGAAGTACAAAGCCACGCCACCTCCAATCAGCAACTACACCAATCATCACAAGCACACGGGCCAGCAGCACAGACACGCGGGCCCGTTCCCGCCACGGGCCCTGCCGCCCCCGAACGTCAGCCAGCCGACGGGGCCCACTCAGAAGCTGCTACAGAGCACCCCGTTGGCCAGACTGTCGCCCAGCAGCGAGCTGTCCGCCCAGCAACCGAGGATCCTGACGCTGCACGACATCAGCGGGAAACCGTTGCAGAGCGCGCTGCTGGCGACCACCTCCTCGTCGGGGGGCGTAGGCAAGGACGCGTTGAACTCGAACAGCGAGAGGAGCCTGAACTCGCCGATCATGAGCCAATTGTCAGGATCGACGGCCAGTCGTAAGGCCCCTCAGTCGAACAACGAGAACTCCGTGAACAACGTGTCGTCGGGCCCCATGGGCCTCACCGCCGAGGAGATCGAGAGACTGAACTCGAGACCGAGGACCTCGAGCCTCGTGTCGACCCTGGACGCCGTGAGCTCGTCCAGCGAGGCACGGGGCCCGCCCACCCACGGGCCCCTCCACCTCCACAGACGGCACACGCCACCTGTCGAGAGGCTCGAGCGTAGGAACTCGTCCACCACCGACGAAAGTGGCAACGACAGCTTCACGTGCTCGGAGTACGACAACACGTCGCTGGTCGGCGACAAACGGTCGGACAACCCGTTCGCGAAGCAAGACGACGAGGAGGTGAACCAACGGAGCAACGAGTCCTCGCAGACGACCAAACCGCCGCTGCCGCCCAACGTAAACTACGACGGGTTCGACAGCTCGTTCCGCGGCTCGCTGAGCACTCTGGTAGCCTCCGACGACGACCTGTCCACCCACATGGGCGGGCTGTACAGACCATCCAACAACGGATCGCCGTCGACGACCACCACAGCCCTCAGCTGGGACTACCTGCTCAACTGGGGCCTCAACTTCGACAGCCTCGTAGGCGTGTTCATCGACATCGCCGAATTACCCGACAGTGCCAATCGTGTTCCAAGTACGCTCAGACTGCCGGCCAGCATACCCAAACCCTCCGAGGAGTACGTTTGAACCCGGTGCTTTAGAGAATATTTCGCTTATGGTCGGATACGGAGCTCGGAGGATTGACCGCTCACACGGGTGTGCGCTTCTCGAATTACATGTGAATTTTTCAGGCCCAGAGGAGATTCAATCTTCTATTTATGTGTATCATTATTAAACTGCGGATCTTTATGCAAATTTTTTCTAAGGCTGAAGCCTAGTAAGGCTTCAATAAGACTTACTAGCAGGCCCTGCCTCGGACAACGGGACATTGGAATGTATATATAGTAATGGAGGGGTCAGTCGAACGCTTGCGAGAAAGACAAGAGCGTAGACCCCTGGTGGCAGGTACGAAAACTGACGCCACAATAGAATTAATGAAGTGAGAGCTTTGCAGAGGGTTTTCACAGCCCCTGAGTATAATAATTCTGTAGTTTTTTGAGAATTAAAATTTCCCATAAATGCATAAACATCCGCAGTCTAATCATTAGCCATCGGTGGCTCGATGGATATGTTAAAAATGTTTTAAGAGACAGAGAGCTCGTGCGCGAGTGGAGCAACCTCTGGAGCGGCCAATTAACTCCGTTCGAGCTTAAAACCGTCGGACAATTATCGAAGAAGCATAAGGAAGTGTGTTAAACGTAAACGTAAACGCTGACCAAAAAGAATCGTTGCAATCGCGCGAGAGACAATTAGCGTCGATCGAACAGCTAGTGGAACAGTGAACGCGAAACCATAAACGTTGTTAGACTCGTAAGCAAATCGTTACGTTTTCCTGTTTCTTGCCATAATGATAGGAGGATCATCGAGACGATTTATCTTTTAACCGTGGATCGAATGATTGTGCATTTTGTAAATAATTTACGGGAACGAGACTCTCGCGATCGCGCGATAGGGATACATTTATAGAGGGCGTGCTTGCCGTCGAATCTTTAACGAATTTAAAAAAAAACACACACTTAACACTTTAGTAGTTCGCGATCAGCCGCGAGTTCACGCGTAACTCGCCGCTGACGGGGGAACCATTGCGCGACTGTATCGCGAGCAACTTATAAATAACTATTAAATACAAACTGTATATAAAGTATTTTAACGCTCTGTGCCAGATAATCTCGATACAGTCGCGCAATAACGATCAAACGTCGAAGGGAGATGAAATTAGCATCGTGCTAGCGCTTTTTTGCGTTCCTCGCGAGTAGTCGCGACGACTACGAAACCGCTCGTTCGACGTTCTCGCAAAATACCAGCGAAATTTCCCACGAAATTTCTATTTTAACTTTTCTATTTTATCGTCGAGAACGTCGAACGGAGCGCAACCACCAGACTGATTTTTTTCCATGCTCGAAGTGCTATCGTAGATTATCCGTTCACCATCGATCGTAAAAATTTTGTAAATTACCGCGTAATTGTTTGTTTTGTAAATATCGTACGCCTGGTCTGTACAAAATGCGTGAATGAATGTGCGTGCGCTACTTTATCATCGATCGTATTTGTAATAAACAAGACATTTGTAAAAAAAAAATAATAATCAACGCATTTTTATTGCTGGAACCCTCACGACCCTTCGACACACTCGTTCGTTCATTTATTATCGTCGTATGGTAAAAATTCAAAGGTGACACTGTGCCCTGAACTGTGCTCCGCGCTTCGATTCCGCTATCGATTCCACATTTTGTCTCGACGAAACGACAGGCTGTCAAATACATGACCATTTCGCGAATCTATAGACGCGACGATAATCTATATTTTCGATAGATAAACCAGGGAACAACGAGCTCGTTGAATAATTCGATTACTGATACACATTTCTGACCGGTTAACATGTTCAGATAATGATATCTTCATTCCCGTCGTACGACGAAGAGCTTTTGAACAGCGCCTATGCGAACATTAGCCTGATCGCCGACAAAGCTTGGACCTTCGACGCGGGGGATACCTTTCGAAAGTTAAATCGATCATTGTGGGTTCAGGTAAAACACACGCGATTACAACGATTTCCTATTTTAACTATAAACGCCAAACAAAACGAATCGCATTTCGGAAGTATCAAAAAATTCTGTAACAGATATATTTAACAGTATAACTGGATATTTTCAATATCGACAGTGTATTTGTCTAAAGACAACAAACTCAGTACGATTCATTTCGCGATAGAATTGTAAGCTGACTGCGAGATACAAAGGAACCGGAAGCTATCGACCCAGGCGTGTTAACGACGTAATTCCGGACTCGCGATTGGCTACTTATGGCGATTACGAGTACAACGAGGACCGCGAGACCATCTACAAAGCGAACGACGATGCAACGTCCGTTCCTCTGGCGAATTTCTGCTGGACGGAAGTCACCGAGCCCTGGATGCTACCGGAAGTGGAGGAACGTTTCGCCTGGTTAACCGCGAGCAGATCGAAACGTGAATTGTTAGCATCTCGGAGCTTCCATATAACAATCGTGTGCCACCCTTTGCACCCCACAAACTAATCATTGGACTGCGGATCTTTATGCAAATTCACATTTTTATTAATAGAATTAATGAAACGGAAGCTTCGCAGAGGGCTGTCTCAACCCCTAAATATAATAATTCGTATCTTACTTTAAGTATTTCTTATTAATGCATAAACATCCGCAGTCTACTAATTATACAAGGATTTACAAAGTTTCCAATATGGCGGCGCAAAGGGTTGAAACACTAATGATTTCGGGGCAACGCAATCGCTATTTCTGTACTCTCGTGTTACTTTGCGTTAACGTACATACACACGGGAAAATTGATTTTGCCAAGCTCAGCGATGAGGGTACCGGAACCTGATGATACATCGAAGACTGGACGTGGCTTCGAGCTGCGTTGGGAGGACTCTGCGCAACGCAGGACCAGGAAGATGAGTCCCACGGAGAGACCTGGTACCTGTCAGGAATCAAGAAACGAATCTCGGTTAATCAAGGAGTCAAACATAATCGGTAACTCTTAGAAAAATTAAAAACAAATAAAAAGTGGAAAAACAAGTCCATTTCTTTTGGTACGGTTGCTGTTATTTTCCTTTCAAGAGTCGGATGCAAACCAAAAGATAGACGCGTGTTACGTGCATCGACGTTACGCCATCGAGAATTCCATGGAGATGCAGCTGCACATTCGAGTGACCAGCGAGGCAGTTCGCAGCTTGTGGAGGCTGGGTACCGTCCATCAGCAGTTCGCTCAACAGAGACTGCGTGCACAGTGCCATCAGCCACAACAAGCCGCCATTAATCCGCGAGAACAGAATTACCAGAACAAGGAGCGTCAACAGCAATTCTATTACACGCTACAGTATCGACCCTTGATACTAAGAACGGAGTACCAGGCTGGACGAATCGAGAGCTACGGAATGGCCAGGAAACACCTGCCGCCGGTACTCAGCCCGGAAGTACCAGAATTCTTTCCAAAAGTTCCGGCGACGCGGTTCGGTGGCAACAAGGAACAGAACAACAATCGTATGCGGTATTTCCCGTCGTTGAACGAAAGGAGTTACCAGAACGAGCTGTTCCCTTACAACAGAGCCCACGAGACTGGGACTTTGTACCAGGTTTGCAATTAAACACGACTCGGCCATGTTGGATTCAATCCGCCATCTTTCAACTAACATTCCTTCGACTTCTAACGACTCTACAGAGCGGTATACATTTTTTCAAGGTTTTTTTTCGCGACTAATTTGAAGGGTCAAATTCCCCCCTTTGCAATGCACCCTTAAAAGTCGATGTAGGATCTTTTATTACCGAGTTATCGTAGTTTGAACGGCGCGCCACTGGCATTAAAGTTACTCAAGATGGAGGAGGTGGTTGTTGTGTCTGCATTTCAGAGCACTGGAGTGCCTTTGCTACCGGCTACAGACGCCGCAACGTTTATCAGACCTCCTCAACAATGGTACCAGAGGATCCCACCGCCCACGCAGATACAAATATCCACCGCATCGACGCCAATGTGCGCGTCGGTGCAACCATTACGCGCAACTACCATCACACATCATCCCTTACAGGTGCAAAATGGTCGATTTTTCTTACCAAAATTATTACAATCTTGCGCCAATTTTCCTGGGTGAATATTTTCTACTTTGATATATGACGAACCTGTTCCTCGTACTGCAGGTGCAGGAGAGATTTCTACAATCGAACCCGATCCCTATACCGGTCTACCAGCACCCGATAGAACTCTATCACGAGACGGGCCAGAAAAGGAAGAACCAAGGCGCGGATTTTAAGAATTTGATACTGTTAACGAGGAACGCTATGAAGGCGCATCGGGGCCAATCGAAAGGCGCGCAGAAATCCAGCCACGTTCTGGACACGAAGAACCGGAAGTCGGAGACCGAGGTGCTCCAATGGCTGGACAAAAGTTGCCCGGCGAAAGCGAAGAAGTTCACCGCCACGAACGCCTTGGTCACCGAGCTACGGAATTTCGAGGCAAAGGAGAGGAAACCGTCCTTGTCCAGGAAAGAAAAGAACAGTTCTAAGAACGTGGAACGCGCGAAACCGGAAACGGGGATCCCCGTTCAGAGCTCGAGCGCCAAGTCGACCAATGGGAGGGACAAGAACGATATTAGGAGCAGAAAGAGACTCTACAGGGACGTTCTGGCGAACACTGTGGCGAACCAGGCCATGATGGAGAACGTGTTCGAGAAAAGGTACGATTAACAATATAGTTATTATAATTAATTAATTAATGAATATAAAAGACTATCATAGAGACCGATATGCGATTGATAACAGGTACGATGAGTTAGAACAACAGGCCATGGAGCAATACAGAACCTCGGAGGAGTCTCTGGCGCTCAAGTACCAAGTACGATATCGTTTGCCTCAACTCTTTTTAACCAGAGGCCTCCAAGTACCTTGAAAATACAATTTTAGCTAAGCTTGTAATAGTACTTGGACAGCTCTGGTTTGAACTATTTGAGATCGACAATCTCGTGTCCATCTAACAAACGTGTAAAGAAGCTCTATTTTTTAAATCACGTTTAATGAAAAAAAGGGGGAACAATTTGACCGTAGGAGCTCGAGCGCCAAGCAATGGAGCAATACAGATGTGGGAACGTGCCCGACGATGGCTCGTTGCTCCACGTATCAGAAAATCGCGAAGAAGTCGGTGACGAGTCGAGGAACACGAACTGTTTCGACGGACAAAAGTGTTCCGGTTTCGGGCGCTGCAGCCCCGTGAATTTAAACGAGAAAGAGGAACGAGGTTCGCCATTTTCTTTTATACAGGGTGTGTTCAGCCTGCGAAAAATTTCAATGGGGGATTCTAGAGGCCAAAATAAGACGAAAATCAAGAATACCAATTTGTCGATTGAGGCTTCGTTAAGAATCCCTCGTTAAAAATTTTTCTCAGGCTGAACACCCTGTATACGACTTAAAATTAACAGAGACGAACACTTCACGATGCTTTACAGAACGATTATTAGAATCGTATGGAGGATGTGTAGGTTTGTTTTTATCTTCTCATGCATAGTTAAATTATTTAAAAATGTGAACGTTCTTAGATCCTTGCCCGCAAGATCAAGATAGTTTCACGCAGATCGAGAATAAAAGCGAAACGGACGTCACTTGTCGATCCTTACACAACAAAAACAGTCGATCGACGAGTTTGACCGCGCTATCCGAAAAAATAACATACGAATCGAAAAACACGTCTAAGGGTGCATCAGGTGATAAAAACGATGAAAATGGTAAATGACTAATACTATCTAAATCCATATAAATTGTCTTCGTTTCTTCAACTTCACCTTTGTCCCTTGATATTTTTAACATGATGAAAGAATCGTTCCAGTTTCAGTCCGAACATCGTCGAAAAGGCGTCTGATACTGGTGTCACCCTACGAGAAAGAATCAGAAGCCAAATTAACAAGAACAACCGACCTGGAGGAGTTTTATTGTATCGCGCAGACGAATAAAAATATCTTCGGTTATTACAACAATGCGAAAATCGGAAAGATGGGCGGTGGTGACGAAAACATAACTATCATTCAGTCACCTAGAACAGAAGGTGCATTGCATAACAGTTTATTAAATTTGTAACTTGGTCTAAATTCTTATTTTTGCTTCTAGTTTGGCTCTCTGGATTTTGGACTACTTAGAGGCTGGACTTCAGGAATACCATCGAGGAAGGAGCGAACCTTGGAATGAACAATAGGAATGTACACATTGAAGAACGCAAATACAGTACATGAGTTCATGTATTTGAATATGTTAATAAATGCTTCAATACTGTATCATATATATACATATATATATTTTTTTAATAAATGTGACTTGACAGATTTTTGTTAATAAACACACCGACACACGTTCCATCCCCACTCAAACAACATACACATTCCTACGTAAGAATGTTTCGTTACTTTGTTCATTAGTAGTTTCTAGAGTTGAAAAAATACCTATGTATTACGATGCACCAGAAAATTATCACTATTATCCTATGCAAACTAGATTTTTAGTGGTTCCCCGTATAAAATTTATTACTATTGTTTGAGAAATCTGTTGATAACGAATCAAACGAAATAGCCTCTTCAGTCTTTAGTTAAATACTTTTTGTATATCTAAGAATTTTCTAAGTTCTAAAGGAAGATTAATTAATAGTTACCTTAGGAAGAAAAATCGTAATGATAACTTGTAAACATTCTGTTTAAATAAAAATACAAATATAAAACGATTATCAAAATATTAAATGTTTATATAAAATCAGTATCTTTTTCTCTAAATATAGTTCCAATTATCTTCACACATGCAATTGTACACACGTCGAAACAATTGTATACAAACACCTCTGCGTTACAGCAACAAAAAATCTCCATACACTGTACACGAACCTTGCTACTTTCGATATGCATTTATTCCACCCTTGACTAATAGATTTTCCTAATAATATACTCAGCTTCTCATAGAATAAAAGCTTACTTTGTAATCAGCACACTTTCCATAACAGGATTATTTCTAATGTCATTATAATCTGAGATCATACCTAATATTATATAGGTACTCGAAACTATATCTTAAAAGCAAATATATTATCTGTAGCGACAGCAATCAGTACTGTCATGGCGTTAATATTTCAGGAACTAAAATTGTACAAACATTATTTAACGCAATCTTATAGTAACAATTATAGTACCATGTGTAATTAAACGTAATTATATTAAGCGTTTATTCTAATACATCTACCAGTTATCGAGAAATTCGAAACCAGTCTTTGGTATAGTCCTCTCTTCTTCCTCCTCCTGGTTTAATTGAGAAGATTGGAAACTACTATAAGAACTAGGCGTTTCTAGCAATGCGGTCGACTCGTTGATATCGCTCGATTTCGTGCGCGACATTACAACTAATGTATTCGATTGGCTCTTATCTGTATCCGAATCTCTTTCCCTGACTAAGTTCTCCATATCGTCCGCTAAATTGTTTTGCAACTTTAACAGAGACGTTTTATTCATTAACTTGGTAAATATACTTTCAGAATGGTCGTTGTCTGCATTGCCTTTCAACAAATTACCACACTGTTCACCCTCAAAAATACTACTCGGGAAACAATCGGATTGAAAACGACCGACTTGATGAGACGAGGCATAAGTATCTGTAAGGGAATTTGTATTGTTTCTCTGTAATTTTGTAGGGCTTGAGAAATGTGGTGATTCCCCGAACTGTGCTCTTATTAATTTTGATTTTGCATCTTCGTTTGAATCTATTATACTGAGATTCATTTGCGACTGAGTCATAAATGAAAACGGAGCCGAATGCTCGTCCCTCCAACGTAATGTCTATAATATGGTAAATAAGTATTTTTTACACTAAAACTATTTAAACTAATACTTTGAACCTAAATACATATGAACCTAAATACATATGAACCTGTATTATTACAATAGGGCAGGTTCAAAGTACTTTATTAACTAAACAGCCTTTGGTAATGTAAAACTACAAATATACTCACAGAACCAGTCTCGTCGATGACGTATTTCATACCAGTCTGAACGCGTAACTTAGGGTACCATTCCGGAAGCTCTTTAGTAACTTCGACCTTCTTTAAAGTATATTTCAACGCTACTTCCGGCTGAATTATTGTTTCGTTGATTGCTTGATTTCGCTCTGCTGTACTCAAAGTGTTCCAGAGACCCTCGTAGGCTTCCTTGGTGGCGGTAATATCTTCTCCTATTCTCTGTGCCAGCGGATTTATGCTATAGAAATATTGTTCTGCCCTCGAACTCAAGGTAGCACTCATACCGATAGCTTCAAACTAATATGAATAAAGTATCTGCAACAACAGAACGGAATCATGATAGCAATTTAACCATGGAAACGCGTGGTATGAAATAATAAAATAAACCCTGAAATTGACAATGAGTTAGCCCGAATAAAGGTTACAATACCACGCAGAAACGTCTGATTATCAATAAATACGAAGATCGTCGGACATTTGAGAGACAGAACCGCTCAATTGTTACAAGTATAAACCTAATGAAATAAGAAAATAGAAACGTCAGCAACGATACGTTCCACGCAACGTCTACAAGCCGAGTGACAGGACGCCCATAATTACATTGGCGCGTGCGTAATTTTATACCTACGAATCTTTTCCAATCCTACAAGTTTCCGATTAATTTAAACAAACCAAAAATGAATTAAATTATTTACTCGAACGATAGAAAATATATGTTGTACCGTGAATAATTGGTTCGAAAAAATTTAATAACCACGCGAAAATTATTATCAAATTTTCACATTTGTAACTATCGAGATATCTTTGTAATGATAAAAAGTGAAATAAATTTGAGTAAAGATCTGTTTAACGGAAACCTTATAAAATATATGTAATTAACGAACGCGAACGTAGCGAAATAAAATTGAAAAGTACGTTACACCCTTTGCTGTTCGTTGGGAAATAGAACGCAACGTGTAATTTGATAGAAATTAATTGTTTCTTGTACATTTATTACGTAATAAATCATAGTAATGAACGTATAAAGTAATAAAGTTAATTATAGTGATATAAAACAAGTTATAATTACATTTATGAAAGCAGATTCCTGGAGTGCATGTACTAGACGAAATCCCGCGCTGAAAAGGACGGTTACCGGAAACGAAAAAATTTAAGTTCAAATTTTAGTAAAAAGAGAGTTTAAATAATAGTTAAGTTAACACGTAATTCAGTTTTTCTTTAGTAAATATTAATAATAATATTGAAAACATTAACAAAGTTTCATTTGTTAAATTCTTTTATGATTTATCACGGTCGATTATGTAGTGCAATTTTGTAAAACGATTTCTAATCTTTCTCGCTTATAAATTAATTATTTAAAAGATATTTCCTGTTTAACGTTCGAATATTTTGTTTAATCGTTAATGATAAAATGTACGTGCTAAAATATATATTTAAGATTTATAGAAAATTTTAATCAAACAGGAAGTCAATGATCAAGTAGTACATTTCGTAAATTTCAGTAAAATTAAATTGGGCGGGAATATAGATCGAATTATTCGTATCAAATATTTCAAATATTTATTTTATTCTTTTCCATTGAGATTGTTAAAAATAATTTTTCGAAAAAAAAACTAACAATCAACGCGAAACGATACCTACTAAAGTATTTAATAACAAAGTTGTTTAAACATTTGAAATTTTGTCATGAACAAAGAACAATATAATGCCCTATTATCAGTTATGTAACTGACTGAAATCTCACTGAAATTATCATATAAGTCAATGTTTTTTTTTTTTTATTATCATACAAATATATACAACATCGTTATTTTAAATCAGTTCTTGCGTGTTTAGTAACCATTTTCATAATCCATAATTTAAACGGAACGGATTGCTTATTTTAAAATGTACACAGTACACAAAAAGAAATGATAATTATTTACAGACCGCAATGTTTCAACAAGAATGATAATAAATAAAGAACGCGTGTGATAACATGAGAATTATACTTAACGTTGGCTGCCTTAAGTATCACTTACGCAATTATCAGTATTCTTTATAAAGATATTTCAAGTATAAACGGGCGTATGCTTCAATTGTAATCTATTTTCTTTTTTTTTCCCCCATCTTACAAAATATATTTACAACCGGTAGTATTTCAGTAATTTGCTTTTAAATCACAAAACGAAACTGTTCAACGAAAAAAAAATAATTAACTCTTTTTATCTTATAGCTGTATCTCTGTATTAACTCTGCGCGTTTTTATCATTTATAATTATATTCTTTCATTCGAAAAAACGGACGTGATTTAGTAACACTGCGTAATAATATGATTATTTACTGTACAGAAAAACTTTTCACGTATCCAGGATATATTATATCTTTTTCTCTTTTTTCCTTAGGAGAACAAATCTATTGATTAGGTACGTTAGTAACTCTCACTGTAGTACGTGTGTTTATGTGTATACGGTTAATGTTCCCGATATTAATAACGAAAAGAAATTTATTACTTGTTACAATCGTACGAAAAATGAAATTGTGCTTTCGTGTGTGTAAAACGAATTAAGTTTTTTGTATAAGTTGGATAGCTGTTAGATGTTCTGTTTCCTAATCTCGTGCATAATGAAATTCTAATAGTTTCGTATAGTTCCGTACCTCCGTAGATCAAACGGTACCACAACATGATCTGTCGTATATTAATGGAAATGTGGCAAAACTTCTTGGAACAATAGTTCGCCTGTGCGACGTGTAACCTCAGAGTAATTCCCGAAAAATACGGTGCGGTAAAGTTTTATTTTATTCGATGTCTTTATTAAAAAAAATATACTAACAGTGACGATGATTTACACGCGTATCGAATCGCGCGTTAAAACTTCTTTCATAATGACATATGACATGTACACATACATACTTATATGTGTATATATATATATATTTATGCGTCTATATATATACATATATACAACATACACGCGGACTCGCGCTATCTTCTCATAATGATTGCATATCTCAAATCTTGTTCTATATTAGCCTAAAATAACACGTACGTCTCTTTAAACCTCGTTACAAATACTGTATTGCTTTAAGACTATAATAAACTAATAAAATGATAATAGTCACGTAAACTAAAAAGAAAAAGAAAAAAGAAAAAATGTTCGAAATAGCAAAAGAAAAGGAGAAGAAAAAAAAAAATTGTACGTTGCCTCTAATTTATGGAAAAAAAAAAAAAATTACCCGTCACGGTCGACAGACAATACAGCGATAATTGTCCAAAGAAATCCTTACGAACGAAACGTACAAAGGTAATTAAAGGATTGCACGAAACATAGGCCGAGTGTACAATCGTCCACAGTTACCTGTTTGACAAATGTTTAAGAGGACCCAGACTTAGAATAGAAGTAGCACCGAGTGCACCTAAATTAAAAGTATTAGGATTCCTTGCACCGTCTATCGTAATTATCGGTAGTCCGAAGTAACCACCCGTTTGAGCGCTGAGCTGCGCCAGCGGTATGTAGCTTTGTATACCGAGGTTCGACAAACGATTCAACACGTGGGGTGACTTTAAATCTACAACCGGCAATGCTAATTCCGCGCCACCGTTTTGTGCTACGGTATCAACCTCCTTGTGATACGCTTGTTTGTGCGTTATCAGCGCCTGAGCGGTCGGGTATTGAGCAGGACAAAGATTACACCTGGCAAACAAAGATTATCGTGTTTTAATGCCGTAACGGTTTTGCATAAGATACTCGTTCGACTTACTTGTGGAGCAATTTACTCGAGGCGCGATGCGTGGCCATGTGTTGCGTCAATAATTCCTGATTCTGAAAATTCTTGTCGCACACTTGACAAGTGAGTAACGCTCTGCAACAGCAAACAACACTCTCGATTATCACGAACAGGGAAGAACGACAGTGTTTCTTCTCTAACGTAATCTTACCGTGGTGGTCTTCCACGTCTCACCACCGGTACTTGCGATGGACCGTCCTGCGTTAAGTCAACAGTAGGTGGTCTCGGCGGTCTTTCCACTTCGTTCACAGCTGTTTTGTTTTGTTTGTTCTGAGGAACGGCGAACTGGCTTTGTTCCTGTTGCTTTTTTTGCGAACTAGCTGGTATTATAGAAATAGCAGAATTCAGATTGAGCGCTGTAACATTTAAAGGCTGCTGTGAAGGCATAGTCCTTTGTTGCTGTGAAAGTATCTGCTGTTTGTTTTGTTCGCTTGTTTTATTTTTATTTGCTGCTGGAGTAACAGTAATACCTCTGGCTGCCAGTACATTAGCCACAGCCTTTGCATCGGACTTCTTGCCGCCAGTACCTGATGTGTTCTGCACTTGAGCTGGAGCGGAACCTTTAGATTAGTAAAATATGTTTTTTTCTTTATTTCTGCCGCATACCTCTTCCGCAAATAGTTATTTCAATTTCTCTCATGTTTTTTTCTCGTAATACAGTTCAAACAAATATATCATACAATTTGAAATAAAAGAGCAAATTAAACTGATTCTGAGAAGAGGTTCGAAAACATAAATAAACCAACGTACATAATGCATGAACAAAAAACATATCTGTACGAGTATTAAAATTACCTGGTTGTCGTACACTGAGCGTTATAGAATCTGTAAGATGTATCGTAGAATCATTTCTATTCGTCTGTTGGGTTGTGGCGCCTTGAACGTTCTGTATGACGGGCACACCGTCGTTTCTCTTTTGTTGCGCGATAACGTGACAATCCGCGTCTTCGTTTCTGTCTGGCAATAAAACGTCCATTCGTCGTTGTTTCATAGCAGAATTATTCTGTTGCTGTACTTGTAACGATTGCTGCATAGGACGTTTCATACGTTGCCGCGGAGCTGGTCCGGTTTGTGGAGCACGTGGTGCTCTAGAAATATGTGGATGTAAATTAAATTGCTTAATAGATTACTTAAAGTCAACAATTCTTTTGCAGAAACTAATACAGCGATGCTTCTCTAACTATCGTGTAACTATCCCCATAGTTTTAATCCCTTTGGTACGGTATATAGTCACCGTCTATTATAATATTAACCCCTTTCCAGCGTTGTCTAATATTCAGTTACAAATAAGTAACAGCAGTGACTTCCTGAAACTTCCTGAAACTTCCTGAAACTTCCCTGTCTAATCGTCCCAGGTTTTGATTCTATGATAATTAGAGAAGTACCACTGTGGCACATAATATCGCTAAATGGTACTTGCCGACTACTTTGTGCAACAGTAGGATACCTTCCACGAGAAATTTGTTGAGACAATTGGGGATGCATTTGTGGTGGCGGTGCAGACATTTGCGAATAAGGACCTGGCCCATATTGCTGGTACATGTGTGCTATATGAGGAGGATAATGCATACCCTGTGGACCAGGTACTCTATATAGAGGTGGCCTTCCTGGTGGTTGTACAAAGTAATTTGGTCCAGGGATCATTGTGTTAGCACCTGGCGCGAGACTCGGTGCCATTTGCGTTTGCGGAAGTGGCATACGTTGCACTTGTTGAGCTAATTGTTGAACCGGTGCAGGTAATTGTTCAAAATTAACAGGTGGTATTATCTGTTGTCCAGTGTTGGCTACTGTATTATATGTAGGAGAATTCGTTTGATGCGGAGAAGTTAATGGGGAATTCCGATTTATTTGTTGCGAATTCGGTGTGTTCGGAGATTCCATCGACACTGCATGAGGCGAATGTGTATTCAATTGAGGCGATGCCTGGCTCAATTGGGGTGAATTCTGATTCAAATGAGGCGAATTGGTATTTAAATGGGGAGACAATTGGCTCACGCTTGGTGAAAGAGGAGTTCCATGCATTTGAGCTTTATGCATAGAAACTTCCAACGGCGAATGAAAAATAAGATTAATGCATTCTGGAACATTGCACTGATAATGACCAACTTTGCTTCGATGCTCGTCTAGATGAGCAATATCTTTAAATTTCTCGTTACAAACGCGACAGGTACTAACAGTTTCAGCCAGCTTTTCGAGCGAAACATATTCCGTTTCCGATGGTAAATTATTCGCTAACGTGTCGTTTTGATTATGTCGTTGATGTTCTATCAAATTTTGCAGGAGAGATCCAGCACTTTCGATATTATTGTCACCCCTGTGTTCAGACTGTTCCTCGTTCTCTTTGGAGATCACGTTGTTCTTATTAGACAAGTTAGTAGATAATTGGTTCCAATTGAAGCCTGTCGTTCCTTCCGCCGATTCTTCAGGTTTATCTTCATCTTCGCATACCGGTGCACAATCTGCCGAGTGATTGGAAAATGTAGAAGACTTGGAAATAATACTAATAGCCGGATTCTCTTCTAAATCATGTATCATGTTAGATTCAGGTTCCCTGTCGTCATCCTCATCGATTCCTGAATTGTTGATTAATTGGCTCATAGATCTAGATCTGAAAAGTGAAGCAGTAGATTGTAGCGAATGATACTTTATCTCAAGATTCGCTTCATTAGACAATATTACCCAGATTGTTCGCCAAGCTTCTTTAGGTTCTCAATTGTTTCCCGACACGTTGCTTCCAATGCATCTGATTCTTCGTGATCTTCTGTCTCTGAGAGTCTTTTTTCTGAATTATCATACTGGTCTGTACCTTGCAGATCATCAACATTTTGATCCTCCTTTTCAGACGGATTTGCCATATCACTCCCTACACCGGAATCACCTTCATTTACGTCTATGGATGGCCTATCATTTTCTTCCAACGGATTATGATCGTCGTTATTAAATTTAGTGTTCCCATATTCATCCTATTAACAATACTATTCGTAAGATAATACCAATCGATACCCTTTACATTGATTATCAATATGTTACCTGTTGTTCTACCATCACGTTTTCAAACGGTTGATCGATTGAACTTTCTGAATCATTGTCATGTCTTTGATCATTCTCCTTTGCCCCAGCCACGTCTCCTTGATGATAGTTCTCTGTACCCAGATTAATATTGCTATTTACAACGGTAAAGTCTTCCGACTCTGATGACTTTCTGAACTTGAGCTTAAGAGTATCGGAGAAGTTCTGTTTCTTTAACGTCAATTTCAAAGATCCCTTTTTCTTCGGATCCAGCCAATATGTGCTGCTGTGCTTCTTTTTTACAGCTTTTAGATTCGTAATCCTTCTCAGAACTACGCGCGCTCTTCCTAAATGAGTATGTATGTGAGAACGTAGTTGCTTTTTGGACACAAACTGTTCCCCGCAAATTTCACAGCTCAATAAAGGAGACGGTAAATCGAATATTAACTTTTGATCATCGATTTGTTCATCTGAAATTAAATGTATCTAAGAAATGACAGTGAAATAATACCGTACCAATTGTATTATTTTATGAAATTGTTATTCTACATTTAAAAACAAACAGCTAACAAACAGACGAGACACCTAACCACCTTCTTAGATAAATATTTCCGAAAGAAACGTCGACTTGGTAATTTGCCGCGCTTTCGTCTCTTCTATCAAATCGATTAAACTGATATCATCGCCTGTGGATGTGTGTGATAACTACACATCGTTGATATTCATACACGTTTCTTGTTTCGAAAATTCACTCGGTATGTCAACGCGCGTACCCCGTGTTACAACGAATGTAAACAATCGATGCAGATGTATATGCAGCAACACCAGGTCCATGCAAAATGGTGTAACAGCAGAGACCACCTAGCGCAAGCGAGATAATTGCCCGTACTTTTGCCGAGAATTGAAAACGGGACTCTCAAATCGATACTATCTAAAGAACGAATATCATTGGCTCGTTTCATGTTTCCACAAAATTCCCGCCGTAATGCATCCACGCATTAAAACATATTTCACGCGATAGCATTGCGAACGTCCATAAACTGTCCTTAGCCGGTCGTAAACGATCGTATAAACTCAGATTATATTTAAACCAAGGAGCCGGTGATAATGTTGGTGATTGATTTAAACAAAAAAAAGAAATGAGAATAGTTTTCATGATTCAATAAAACGCACTACTGCATTAATTTTGCTAAGAAAAGGACGCGAACGAATATTCTACTGGAATTGAGTGAAAACGTAAGTTGTTTGTACTTGAATCAATGTCAATGCAATGGTAATGCAATTTCCGTGTTGCTAATCATTAAATGTATCCTAACCAAAAATTATATCGTATACACCGAGTGCATATATTTCCATCGTAATTGTACGTCTATAAAATTTATAGAAATACATCAAAATAAAAAGAAACAAGTGCATTCATGCTATAGATACTACAAAGTATATACATAGATTTGAATAAATTTTTATTACATATGCTTTAATTTGTTTCAATATTATTTTGAATATATGCGATATACTTAAAACCTATTCCTTATGATAGAATGTAAGACACCGTGCGTATGTTCTTTCATAAAAATGATTACAACATCCATGAACCAGTTAACAGAAATAAACAAAAAAAAATTACGGATTAGTACTACAATAATGTATCTGATTAAACAAGGATAGAAGTTTCTCTTAAATTTCAAAGAAGTAATTCAGAAAAATTACACTAAGCTTTAATATCATCTGTTGCGAGTTTTACATTGTTTGATTTTGATATATAATTTGTTTCATTATACACCACAACCAATATCTTGGAAAAGAACATACCAAATTTTTGTAAATCATCCACTTTTGTATCGTCTTTACAAATATTCCTTTGGTCCGTAAACCTAAATTCCTTAATATCTTGATCTAATGGACTGTTCATTTCCAATCTGTAAATAAAGTTAATGTTTTTCTTTTTATCACAATACAGTGTGATTTACATGTGATCTATTTACTAATCACAGTATTTAATGTTGCTGTTTTTAACTAATTATTTTGTTATACTTACAGGCATTGTTATCAACAATGCAAATTACCACAAGGTCATCAACAAGGATTTATCTTGATTTGAACAATTGTTCACTGCAAACGCGGCGGAAATGTTTACCGATGCACAAATAGTAATCCATTGTAGTAATTCACAGTTCACGTGTTCAACACAATTACAACATCTTACAATCACTGAGATAAATATCCAGAATTTTGCAAGATCGATTCGTCGTAAAAACGTACAGCCTCGTTCGAACTTATCGGAACAGTGTCCGTTGTTGTTTACGATTGATGGCAAAGTGTTAAGTGGAAATAAGGTCAATTAAACAATCGCGAAGTAAACTCTCAACATGCGTCAAACTTCATTACGTTAACTTTGTAAGTAAAAACATCGGATTTACTCTTGACGATCGACGACTGGATATGACGCGACGTCGGTACAAATTTATCGTTGAAATTTAAAAAAAAAACAAAAGCCACGGACTTATTCAACTAGTGTGAGAAAAAAAAACATGTATGTTGTTCTGTCGATATTCGGACGATGATGTTTTCTCCCGGGTTTCTTACATTATGAATTAAGTATGGCTGCCGATTGTTATGACATGATCACTGCGCTGTTTATGGCACATTTGTTGTAGCAACGTTCAACGGATATAAAATCGGCGCGTCAACTGCGATGCCTACCGTACCCAATCTGAACTTATTATTAGTACGTGTTATATCGAGCCGCCAATATGGCGGCGCCGCGATGAAACCCGCGCGTCGGACAGGATAATCAACTCAGTGTGAATTCGTGCCGAACTGTTGAGGCGCGTTCAGCGACGGGTTCAGAGTGTTCAGATGCGTTGTTTTGTAAGGACGCGCGCGCGCGGGGTAGCGTGCGCCGATCGCTGCAAACGCTAGGCTTCCCTCTCCTCTCCTCTCTTCCCGTCGTTCCGTTTCTTCGTGTCTAACTTCTCCTCCGCTGCACTACCATCACCACCATTATCCACTTCCTCTCCCCCCCCCTCTCTCTCTCTCTTTTGTCTTTCTCAATCTCTTTGCCTCCACTGCTGCATCTCTTTTATTAAAGATCGAAGGGTTCACTCTGGCTGCATGGCCCCTAGTTATACAGGATATACGGTAAACGTTATTGCGCCATCGCGGTATGCCCTTCGAGCAAAATCCAACAAATACAAAAGGAATCGGTCGAGATGTACGCTGGAGCTCAAGGAGAAGGGGGAAGTAGAGAAGGAGCCCGAATTGAAATTAAGTCAACCTAACGTGCACTCAAGTATGAGTAGGGAACCAATCCGCTCATACCAAGTACTGCCGACGCAGGCGCAACTCGACGTCGTCGTGAAACTCTTTTGTCTCTCTCTCGTTCCCCCCCCCCCCTCCCTTTCCACATTTTCCTTCCGTTTCATACCAGAGCCTAGCATCTCTTCCTCTCGCTCTTACGCTAATTCTATTATTTTGTTTTTCGTTATTGTTTGCTTCCTCTACTTCTGCTTTCTCGTTATGCCTCCCGTATTCTCTTTTCTATCCCTCCAATGTTCCACAAAGTCTTTCAGTCCATACGGTTCTGGAACAGAATTGTCAACGTTAACTATCCAATTGCCACCTGTCATCCATTGTACCTAAATGCTGCTGCAGCTGCGACAATTTACATCCACTCGTGGCGATTTTTTCCCGATTCCACAAATCATAGTGGCATGATCTTCAGCCTTTTTCCTTGACACTATTCGCAGACATGTCGTAATTACTGTAAAACATACATGTACGCACTATAAATTTACGGATAGATACAATACAAAATATAAAAATATAAAATATTAAATATAATACATTTTATGATTGCCTGAAAATTTCATTGGAAATGCATCATGTTCCGTTAAAATTTATCTAAATTATGCAACACAATGTTGAAGATACGTTACATATTTTCTATTTGAAGTATGTTTTCCCCAGGTTACATGTTGCATTCTATGGTAGATAAAGATCAAGGCTTAACATTGAAGTGACGGTGACGAAGCTTTTCAGCGTACAGCTTTTTCCATGGTAAAGCGTCCACCAAACCCGCATGCCTGAAATAACCGGTTTAACAGGGAAAACATATATGAACAAGGCGTGACAAGAATGGTTGGAGGCCGACGAGAACGAATATAGTAGGGGAACTTAACGGAACACGTCGAAAACGGCCGAATCTGGCATCTATTGATCGTACCAGGTTCAGCGCTATATTCTGTGCAGATACTCAAACAACTCGTGCTTGGAATTCTACATTTAGTTCAAACAGAATTCCGCATTCGTTCTTCTACAATATTACATTAAGACGAAAATTACAAACTAGTACTTCTTGCATATTCATATTTCTTTTAATTATTCCATCTTCTTCATAAATACTTGGTTTTTTTTGTCTACCTTGGGCATACATTAAATGACGTTCAACTGGTTGGTATTTTATACATAAATCTTCGTTTTTGCAATGAGATAATATTAATATTCCTTTCCTGGATAGTGAGATAACATTAATATCCCTAAAAAGAAAACATTCAATTACCATCACAATGGAGTCTTACTTTCAACTATTTCTGTCATTTCGTTTACGGTGAATAAAGCTCAAGCAAGCAATTGAATAGCCAAATATATATCCAGTTGACATTCTCATTCCACAGAATACTTGACTATTGATTTCATCCCTACCATGGACTCCTCGTCCTTTGGTTGGTAACTCCTACTATTTAATATGCGCAGCAGCTATGCGCAGAAAGGTAATCGCCTTCATGGAGAAGCGAGTTCATCACGATATAGTAGTGATCTAACTTGATGCAAGGAGAAAGGGGATACTTGGATACGTACGTTGACCCAACATCCCTGACTACACGCCTCCCTCTCCACCGCCACCCTCCACAAATCTGGTTTCACTACGAGTTGCGCACAACTTTCTAAGCTCGAGTCTCTTCCGATGAGGTTCGTTCAAGTTATGCTCATTGCATACCTAGTGGGGAGAGAAAAAGATAAAGGTTTCAATGGTGGGTCTGGTTACCAGGACTTCACAAACGCTCGTTATCAACTAAACAACCGTCATTCCAAGATGACGAGGTTTTACATTATCGCGTCGCTGTCGCGTTAACTAATCGAAACTCTTTGAAGTCGTGTTAACATTAATCGCAACGTGACGATAAAAAATATGTTTACAGATATAAAACTGGAATTTGCCGCTGTTCTACATCAGTTATTGACATTGGTGGTTACATTGCTGGCCAGACGTTTCTGAATTGAAAAAGCATGAAGCAACGCAACACTTGGCAACATAGGGGATACCTTTATCCACTTTGGTTCCGCCATGCTCTTCTACAAGAACCGTTTTGTTTATCGAGCTACTAACGTAGAATACTGATCTGATAAAATATTGATCGATCTGTTGATAAATCTTAAAGTTTTACCATCTTGCATAATAATTGCAAATACGTCGGTGCATATATTGTACATTAAAATTGCACATGTACGTTATTGATAATGTTTCTAAATGTTATTAAAATAATAACAGTAGAAACAAAATGTGTCTAGTCTCAGATTACTTATGAATGCTTTAACATCAGTATTTTATTTTAGTAGAAACAATATTAAATACTGTTTAACAACATAATTGTTGTATTAATTCTTACTTTATATAACGAATATATTATAATACTACTTAACAAATATCTATAAAATACTTTAATATGCTATTTCATTAGTCCTATCTACTGAATTTTCTTGCACAGATAATTTGCAATTTGACCTCGTTTGTTGACCTCACTGGTTGCTAGGCACCAGTCATATTGTCAGCGGGAGGGAGTTAAGCTTTAGCGACGTTGCCAAATTATTTCACGTCGAAAATACATGGTTAAAATACAATGTACAAAACACCATTTTATTGCTAAAAAAAAGAAAATAATATTTTACATGTAATAATCGTTTCTCTCTTGGCTTATTTAATAATATATTAAATTAAATTGTATCGTTAGAACTTATGCTAAATAATATATGTATAACCCAAAACTTACGAATGCATTGCCTTTTATTTAAATCTACCTATACTTACAGTACGATTCTGATATTATTGCAACCTATAATAGCATTGTAATTAAATAATTATTGTTATTATCCAATTTATTTTTATGCTGTTCAAAGTAATTTCGTGTACACAATTTTGTACAAAATTAATGCCTTTGGACGGGATATGTAAAGGCATACAAACGGATTGCAAATCAGTACTACCAACATATAAAGAAAAAAGAGTACGCAAAGTGTTATACTTTTCATCAAACACAAAATAATATATGTTAATTAAAAATTATATGAGATATTTATACGTTCAAGACGATTAAACAGCATAAACAAAGTGTCGAAAAATAAATTCCTTATTGCACTTCACCTCCGTTCAATTACGCTTGCATTTGCATTGTGCTTGTTAGGAATTTTCAGAATTCTAACTTCAAAAACTGATATATCCTAATTAACAATCCCCTTTAATGATTAATAGTTCCGTGTATAATGGCTCGTTAATAATTTTCCATAAACGACCATTTAGTAAATACACGAAAGAGGTTACTTTAACGATCGTTGATATTAGCAATAATATTTAAATACAAGTGATTTTTTGAACTGCAAATTATTATTGATATTTGAAATTCGAGAATTATTAACCTAATTAAGTGTTCGAGCTTTCGTAAATTCTGAGCTACTGGTTAAAGAACTTGATTTTTTTATCAATGTAATTTTACACGTGATATGTATAAAATTATATTTTGTATATACTTTTACGATAGTATTAATTGTACTTAAAGTATTTTAATTTAAATAATAACCTGTAGTCATGTTTGGTTCCTTGCGTAATAAATTTCAAACAGTACAAGAAGGTATATCAGCTAGGTAAAGAATATTCAACTCTCAGTTGTTTTCTTTTGCAAGGGAGTTTCTTGTATAGTTTCTACGTAGATAACTTTCTTATTTTAGTATCCGAGGATTGACCGTCACTGAGAATCCACGGCACAAAAAATCTGTTAACGTTCGAAACGTTAATTATAATGCAGGGGCTGATATCTTGCATAGATATCAATTACAGTGGAATGAGTTACACGAGCTTACAGAAGAGAATGCACTGAAGGCTCAAGAGGCAGATAAACTTATAGGAAGTATCTATGAAAGGCTTGAACAAGAATGGAAAAGTATTACATGTTTGAATAGCACTTTAGCTTATATTCCAAAAATTAACAATGCAATACATGACCTGATGGATCAAATAGGTACTTTCGTCTAAATGTAATTTATAATAAAAGCATAAAGCAATTAATGCAAACTAATTAACAGTTTGATTGATATTAAAGGGACGTTACAAGAGATGTTTGAAGAGGTAGAAACTTCTATTTATCGATTAGAAGATTTAAATGAAATGTTAGATTTACAAAGTAGGCAATTGGATCATCGATTTCAGTTAGCTTTGTACGAAGAAAAGAAACTTGGAGAATTAAATATTGTGAAAGGTAAATTGTACAAATTCGAAATATGCTAATTGCATTAATGTAAAAAAATATTCTGTTAATTTTTAGCAAAGTTAGCCAATGAACACACCGAAAGAGTATCGCAATATGAACATAAGATACAGAAGATGATGAAAGAAAGACGAGAAACGTTCGAGGAAGTCTTTAAAGAGCAACTCGAAGAATACAAAGCAACAGGATCAATATCCAGTATGTTCGAATATATTTAAAAAAAAAAAGGAGTTCAAGATCTTTTTAAATTCAAAGTTGTTACATTTACTTCTTTTTCTTTTAGAGCTACCAGTGACGCAACAAGGGCCATCTTTGGATGAAATAGTTTTAGATGTAGATTCAACAACGTTCAATGAATTTTTAGAAAATTAAGAATGTTACATTCTAATAATTGTTTAATTCATGATGTAAATATTTAAAAACATAAAAATATATAAATTATTTTTTAAATTATAGAAGTAACATGTACAAAGTGTACAAGAAATAAATAACAAATTCAATTGTAATTAATTTACAGATCTAAAAGTGGACATAAGTTTATTTGGCATTGATCATTGCGTAGCTTATCAATACGAGAGAATAATGAACAAGATCAAAGTCCATTGGCCCCTGGTTCAAACATTCTGGTTCACATAAGAACAACAAACTCGTTTTCAATTCACTATTATATTATGTAGATAAGGTATTATCATTCGTTAGAACAATATAAAATGTTTGATGATGTAGCTTGTTCACAGTAATGCTTTCAAGAGTATTCATTGACTGACTGGTTAATTAAATATAGTAATTAATTTTGAATGTATCAAAAGTGTTACAGACGCTGAATTTGCAGTATTAGTTGACTATGATTGCTTAATTTTGTCGATCGATTTGAATAGAAAAAGGGCGCGTCATTTGCTTTCTAGCTTGCAGAAGCATCGTAAAATTAAATCGTTATAACAAAGAATGTATTATTCATAGTATGAATTTATGATTATTAATTCTACCTAGTTGGCATACCGGTCATTTTTTGAATTAGTATGCGTGTGTTCAATTAATATTTACAACAATCGAACACGAATGAATTTTGAAGTGAATTGCATTACATTAAATCTATTTGAATTTAATGCGATCCATTCAGCTCGATAAATCATCGCGTTCACGAAAGAATAAATTGTTTATATAATATCTATGTATGTAGTACTTTTTGTAGGTTAGATTGAAGTAATCGAACAGGCTTTTTGGTATCTGTGTTCTCGAGTAGAGACGAGTGAAATTTACCTTTTCCTCGGATATAAAGTATTTAAAAAATAATCGGACTAAATACAATATATTTAAACGATTGTAGATATACTCGTACTCATCATAATTAACGGATAAAAATTATAAGTGCGTAAATAATAACGAAAGGTTAGAAGCACTATTTATCTAACGTTACTTTTTCAACGAACCAGTTTTTATTTATTTTAATTATTAAATATATTTTCAGTACCGTTCGAAGATTTTGACGTTAAATACTACTTGCTTAAATAAAACATGTTGCCAAGATACAAAAGCAAGGAATATATTTTAAATAAGTTGCATAGAGGATTTGTAAATGTCTGTATTGCTGTTACATTGGTAGGTAGCACGGTGCTAGGTTATAAAGTATACGAATATTTTCGATATATACGTCCTATTCATAAACAATTGCAAGCAAAAACGTTAGAAGAAATGTTACGCGAAGGAAGACCCATAGAGGATGCAGAAATTCAAACGAATTAAGGCGATTAAAATGCAAGTGAATATGTATCATTTGTTGTAGTGGAATAGCGATTCTAATAAAAATTTTACAAGTAATATGAACAATTGAATTTTGAATTTTTGTTGGCCAAATTGTACTACAAAAATTTTTATATTTTAAAAAAAAAGAAGGTATTGTAATTTAAACTCTTCTGCGTTATTATATTTAGCATAGTTTGAAATGCATATTATGCTTTTTCTTAAATTTATTTTATTTAAGAAGTCACAATTGTATATATCCCTTACTGTAGTGTCTTTCAAATGAGTATAAAAACGTGTATCGTGAGATTAAGCCCTGAGTGATTTTCAAATTTGACATAGAACAAATGCGTTTTATGTTGTATTCTTGTAATTAGTGCACTTTTACCTAAATACGTTTTATAAACAATTTTTCAGCATTTTTTACTATAAACAAAAATTAAGTACAGATTATAATATAAAGGTATTGTGCATGTTACAGATACAAATACATTCTTCGTTAAAACATTTTCAATTTTGAAACACTTAATTCTTTATAATAGTTGCCGAATGATATATCATTGAATGTAGAATTAAATAATCCTATCGAATAAATGCTTAAGGAATAGATATATTTACATTATTCATAATCGTAAAGACCGAGTAATAATATAAATAACATATTGGTATCTTTGCTATTTCGATGAACACGTTTCATAGTAGACGTTCACGAGATAATATATAAAGTTAAAAGTAATGTCCTGCTTCCTGCTCAATGTCACATTTTATACAAACGTTAGAAATATATTTTTCTTGCACTTACAGTGAATAATTACTCAACTTAAAGCACATCACTATAAATGGAAGGATAATTTCTGTTAATAACTAAAATTTCATGTTATAAAATTTGTATATTAAATAAACATTTTATGTTTAATATTTACATGTATGCAAGTTGAGTGCACATGATACATTTACAAAGTACATGGTCGATAGTGTTAAATGTGTTGTGTCAAATGTCGTATCTCAATTTGAAATTGTCACGCACATAAATTACTATTCATCACAAAGGCTAACGTTTTAAAAATGCCGGATTTTCTTTCAGGATTATCGTAAATCTTATAGAAGGCAATAATTTTTGTACACCTCCCAAATGTAATTTTCGAGTACAAAATACATCGTATATATGCCGGATAGTTTATATACAACGTCTTCTTTCTTTCTTTCTTTCTGTGTAATGGACATAATTTGTACTCAGTTTCTTGATAGTTCTAGTCAACCATATCTCATAGAATAATATTTTAGAAAAAGTTCCTAAATGCAATGTACATACATTTCAAAATAAAAAATACAGAACTAAACTTGATTTTTATTTACATTTATAAAAATCAATCGGTGTAAGACTTATCAAAGGATGTATAATTACGTATATGTATATTGCCAGTATGGTACATTAAAATAAAATAATGAAAGCTACGCTTTTATTTGAAATATCGATATAGCCATATGATATACTAGGAAATAGTACGAAACTTAGAATTAGTCTTACATAGATCGATCTTTAAATCATATCAGTACACTTTGAAATACTATAACTTAGTAATCAATACGTTGTCCTACTCGAAGGAGGAAATAAACTTTTATGAAAATTAAATGGAAAAAAAAATACAAAAACATTGTATTTTCATAAAAAAAACATCGTATGTTTTTCTTAGAAATCTTAAATCTACAATCCGATCAAATACTTGCACAAACCCTGTAGCCCATAGGCTGCAACTTGAAATTCTGAAGACAAAAATCTCAAGCAGTAAATGTTTACGAATTATTAGATGTGGGATTAGAATTTGATAGCGACTCTACTCGCATTGAATCGATTCTGGCTACGATTTTTAACGCAGGACCTAATTTGATGCTCATGGCTGACATAAGGTGGTCCTCTTTAAGTAACATAAGCGCTTGCCCATCTATTTCTTGGATCGCGAAATCTTCTGCATAGTCAGCACAACCCGGTAACCCGCGAATAAAATCACATACCTCACCGACCTGCGTAAAATGTAAAATATTCTCACTTTGTTCTATCAACGCTCGGACAACAATCGGGGACCCCAATCTAAGCTCGCATTACGTTATACATAATTGATTATTTCTAGAGTTTTATCCGATTCTACAATATGATATTCGTCACTTCGACAATCTTCTGGTTCTAGGTTAGATCAGACAAAATTTCACTACCACGATAACCTTCAATACCTATCAGCTCGCGAAGAACTTCTTTATCTTCCGAAGATTGTTCTTTCTTCTTAGAAATAATTGGAAAATGTTAAAACACGTTCAAATAACAGAATACGACTTAACCTTTCAATGTCCCACAGAATGTTCTAGAATCTAGACGAAGCGTCCTCGGCGCCATGTTTGTTTCGATATCGAAGTATCGAAGTATCGTAATCGTAAGTATCGAAGAAGCGAGCGCTTTCGTTTAAAGTGGGGTCTGAATGGGCCCGAGTGTTTTAATGTAAAGATATTTCAGTTTAAGAAATTCATACGACTCGTATTCTTACCGTCCATTTCACGGGATTAATTTTTGGCAGTGTATCGTCAATAGAGGAAGTGGTAGTAGTGGACAATAACTTTTCTTCCCCATTCTTTTTCATGTCTCCGTCAACGTTTTTCGATTCAGTCTCTATCAATTCAGTCCACTGTTTCTCGGTACCGTCGCGATCTCTCATTTCACGTTTTTTGCTGTTTGATTCATAACTTATGATAATAATGTTGAAAATGTTAGTAATTTATTATAAATTAGTTTTGCACACTGGTATTCATCTATAGTTTTTTACGTTATCGGTATTACTTTCATGCAAACACAACAAATAATTGAAGAAATAATGCATTTACAAACCTCTTCGCGCAGCCGGAGGAACAAAATCGCTTTTCTTTTTTAAACTTAATATTCTGCTCGTCCACTAAGGTACCACATGATTCGCATTTTCCACTTTGAGCATTACTTCCGTCCTCGTCACTGGGATAATTAGGCGCGTGCTTTTTCCCTTTAACGAATTATTACGTTTAAGATGTTTTATGTTTTCATCGTATGTGTATAGAATATACTAATTTTCTATAGTCTTACTTGGTGGTTCTTCATGGTTCTCTTTCTCTGATGAATTATTACGATTTAAAATATTACTTGTATCCTGATTGACTGCGTTATTTAATGACGTTCGATTAACAGCAAATGGTTCAGACGCTGTAGTAAACATACTTATAAGAGTAAACACAATAATTCGTAAACGTAATAATATATAGAATCAATTAAATTTATACCTTCTTGTATAACAAAGCCTTCGATTACGTGTGTGAGGACTTGTGGTTTGACCATTGCTTTTGGAGGCACATGTTTACTGTTCGCAGTAACTGGTACAGACACAGGAATTGTTACAGATTCTTCGTTGTTAACACCGTTTGTAATAGAATTAATTGTGTTCGCCAATCCAGCTAAAGGATTGTTACACGATTTCTCTTCCGACTTTATAGACAAACTCTCGTCATCTTTAAGAACTATCTTACATTGGTCCCCGTCTATGTAAAAATATTTATACGAGGAAACTTTACATACAGGACAAATATACACATGCAGTATATTTATCGTATCTATTAATTACTATTATGGACAAACCTGTTACTTCTGGTTGAGCTACTGCAATTTCTTCTATCGTAACGGGCATTGGTTCTTCCTTTTTCAAAATTAATTTAGAATTTTCTTCGTTTGTGACTGGGGTGTTCGTAGTGGATGGTAATACTAAGGTACATTCGGCTTGGTGATTACGATCAGGCGATGTGATCATTATGGTGGAATTACTACTATCGTGTGTTTGATCTGTTAACTGATTCACCATAGACATCGTTTGGACCTGTGACGTCCCGCTAACTATTTGACTACCAATTATTGTCGAATTGATCGCCTAAGAAGTATTATATATTATATTGATATTAGATTACCCAATTAGATGTTCGTTAAAAAGAAGAAAAAACTTGTATTACCTGTAATGGTAATTGTTGTACGTTAGACATTGATGATTGTTGTACTTGACTCATTTGAGACGTAGTAGCAACTCCAACTCCAACACCAACACCGCCTACAGATACCACAGGCATAATCGGGCGTTCTCCACCGAGAACCACACCAGATTGCTGTTGCTGCTGTAGAGTCATGTTCGCTATGGAGATAAAGTGTATCTTAAACATTTGAAAACCTATTTAAAAGATTATTATCGACGACATATGGAACGTAAACTCACTCATTATTGGTTTAGGTTGTATTTGCTGTTGCGATGTTTGGACTTGTGGTTGTTGATACTGCTGTTGCATCTGCTGTTGCTGCTGCGTGTGCTGTTTCTGTTGAATAAAAACCTGTTGATGTTGTTGTTGCATAGCTTGCTGGGACTGTTGCTGCGGTTGTTGCGGCGATTGCAATGGTTTACCACGACCTTTACCGCTACTACCGCTCCCTTTTCCGCTCTAAGTTATAAAACACAAAAAAAAAACACTTCTTCTTCATTATGCGAAAAGAAAAATGAATTTCGATATGTGTTCACGCGACACGACAATCGCAGCAGTTGAAATCGTTCTTCCAACTGTTACTTTAACTATAGTAACCTGTGCATATACCGTGGCTTGTACTCCATGAACGGTTTGCGTAGAAACGGAACTGGCAGCTCGTATATTAGCAGCTTGTACCGCTTGTAGAGAGGACGGCAAAATACTCAACGGTCGTTGTCCACCAGTGCTTTGCTTACCCTGTTGCTGTTGTTGTTGTTGCATATCCATTACCTTTGGTTTGGCACTAGCCGCAGCAATTTGTTGCACCCCTTGGATTTGTTGTTGCGTAGCCAGTGCTATGTGAATCGCGACAACGAATTAATTTTTAGAAAATTACAAATCTTATTTAACACGTAACGTCATATTAAACTAACCATTATGAGCTTGGATTGGCTGTGGACTTTGTATGAACATATCGGGTTGAGTAGGACCTCTAATAAATATTTGGTTAGTAAGAAGTGCTGGTGGTTGGATCCCTGTCCAAGCAACTTGCGGTGTAAATTGCCAAGGAGCAAATTGCATACCGCCTCTTCCGCCGGATTGCTGAGCCGCGGTACATGTAGTATACTAAACATTTCAGGAAGAAAAATACATGTAACATGAATTCATGAAATCAAAATAATATGTTTTAATACCTTTTGTACTTGATCCTGTTTGTTTGCGGACTGTTGTTGTTGTTGCTGCTGTAAGGATGGAGGTTGTGGAGAACCTAGTACACCTAGTTGACCAAATACTAAAGTCTGTCCTGCACCAGGTGTAGCGGAAGTAGGTACTGGTAAGTAACCCGTAGGAAATCCTTGTACTTTAGTAGTTCCACCCGCGGGGTGACCTCCGCCTTGACCCGGCGTTGACGCAGTAGTCAACATGTGAGGTGTAAGTTGAGCAGCGGACTGAAATGGCTTTCCAGCCGTTATAACCTGTAAAGTATCCGACTTGGAAAAGGATTTGTATTTTTTTAAAGACTAAAACATCATGAGTATGTTTAGATACCTGTATAGAGGAAGGATTGATTCCTGCGGGATGAAGAGCTAAGTTCCCTGGCATCAGTAAGGGGGTTCCTTGAGTATTATAAAGTTGTTGTAAATGATATGCTTGGTTTTGCATGGGTTGCTGAATAACTTGTACCGCTTGAGGATGTGCAGCCATAGTTGTTATAGTGGTTGCTCCTTGTTGTCCGGACAAGGTCATAGATACACCCCCCTGCTGCTGATGCTGTTGCATTGATACTGCAACAGCACCCTATAATATTTTATTATAATTATACAAGTATGTAGATTTTATTGCTTAAAATACGTGGACGATTAGCGATAGAATGTTTCTGCAAATGCTGCCATTTAGAATACTACGTTGCTCCCACTAGTCCGCATAGTTGTTATAAAGTAAATTTTTACCTGTTGTTGAGGCATAATTGCTGCTACCTGTGGCTGTACTTGAACTTGAGCAGGAACAACATTATGCTGTCCATTATTAGATTGCTGTTGCTGAGACTGTTGCTGCTGCTGCTGCTGTTGCTGTTGTTGGACGTGTTGTTGCACTTGTTGTTGAACCTGTTGCTGAACTTGCATTTGCTGTTGCGACTGTACTTGCTGCTGAATCTGCTGTTGTGGCTGAACTTGTTGAGATTGTACTTGTTGCTGTGCCTGTTGTTGTTGTTGCTGTACTTGCTGCTGCTGAGACTGTTGTTGCTGTTGAACATGCTGCTGTTGTTGCTGTACATTTTGTTGTTGTTGAATATCATGGGTTGCAATCATCATTTGCTGCTGTGGCTGCTGCTGCTGCTGCGATTGTTGCTGTTGCTGTTGTGGTTGTTGCTGCTGCTGTGGCTGCTGTTGCTGTGTCTGTTGCGGTTGATTTTGAGAGATTCCAATCGGCTTAACATCTGTCATGTTTTTCGATACCTTTTTATTATTTGAAGTTAAACTTCCTTTAGAAAAAGAAGTATTCTTTCCACTATTAAATTATTAGCAATTTAATGTCTTTTTTTCTTGCCATTGTATATAGGTATTTTGTGTTAAAATATCACTTTTAATCTTTTCAACTTGCTGCACCTGAAAGAAGTATTGTTATTCTGTTAAAAATGTTGTTCCATTATACACAAAAGATATATTTATATTGATCACAATTAATATAAATTGAATAAACTATTTATTTGCGATAGTTGTCGTTTCATATATGATGTGTGTTTTGTACAGATTCGTAAACAATTTTGTACAGATTCGTACAAAAATTGCATGAGGCATCAAGCATAACATGTTTATTGGTCATAACCTTAATATTTTGGATACACGTGGAATATCGCGAATTTAAATTCGATTTTCGCCAAACCATTGTTACTTGAACGATTTTAAAAAAAAGTGTAAAAGTGAGTTGTACAAAGTGGAAAGTATTCGTTAACAATGTAAGTATATCAAAACAATTGTTTTTTGTTATTCGATATATAAAAACTCATTGATTCAAGTTCACGGACGTTTGTAAAGTTCAACATGCAATACTTTGTGTGCTTTTATACCGAAACATGTGGTCTATCGTAAACAGAGTATGAAGTTTTATAAATAATTATCAGCGATTCTATTGGTATATGGTAAATATTACAATAATTACTATCGATACATTTCATATACCAGATTTTTGTAACACTTTGCACTTTGGGCATGCTAACCTTAAAAACTAGACCGCAAGTAATATTTACAATCATTAGAGTTGCTAAGACGCGATAATTGCTGTTAAGGAACTCATTAAACCATTTATCGAAGTGATCAACAGCTATGAAAACATATGTTTTGACGAAATGAAACAATTGCTACGACGAATACTCGGATACAACAGCTATAGCAAAACACTAATTTTGCGTATTCGATTTGGTGTATTTCATGAGATAGTACTATATTTGTTTGTGGTTGATTAATCACCACTTCTTAAACTTAAAAAATATAGAAAACAGTAGTATGCTGAAGCCAAAATTGATTTTGAGGATCATATAACCTATTACTTTTGGTTAAAAATGCAGTTCTCTTGAATCGGTTTATGGAAAATTTTGAGCAGCATGTTTTTCATAAGTTGTAGGGATTACAGATCATAATAATATTTCTTATCGAATTCGGTAGTCAACGGTGCATTGAAAAAAAAGATAACGCAAAAAAGAAGACTTATTTGTTGTTATGTTGCGTGATTTGCTTTCATGCGGGAATCAGTTCACCGAGAAATGCATGCAAGAAGTGAAACAGGATTTCAAAAGATGTGAGTCAAGTTCAAAAAAGTTGGAACGCGTCTCGAATGGTAAAGAAGAGACCTGTGCCCGCATAAAAGCATCGAAGTATCGACGAATCGAAAACACATGATCCATCTTGAGATTGAAGTAGAAAGAACAAAATGTCGTCCCGCCAGCACCACCATAATTAGTAAACGGACAAGGGGGTACGAAGGGAAAGGGGGAGAGTTCACTCTGAGCGGGAAATACGATTGAAAGGCGGGTTGAAGGGGGAGAGAAAAATAAGAGAAGGGGAGAAGCAACCGTGCTAGGGGGCGGTTGACAACATGGATTTCGCCATAATGGTAATAACGGCGATGATGATAATAACAACACACGCGGTTCTTCGGGAAGTGTTCGTACGATTGTACTCGTTCGCCGAGGAACTGTAGCATGCCAAGCCGTGGAATTCTATCTCGTTGAATACAGAATAGCGTCTCTAACGCCGACATATTGGATTACAAAATAAAGCACGTTCGAAGATCCGGCGGGACATAATGCACAGTGTGTTCTGTAATTCGTGTTTTGATCGGCGATCGTCTAGCATCACTGAGTCGTGTACATTGTATTAGCGAACGAAATACCGGCGACACGGTTCTACGGGGTAACTAAAAATATCGAAGGCACACAACATTGCATGGAGTTTCGGATACTTGTTCAGGTACTCACATGGCGACTGCGCAGTCACACCTATCACGTTTTCGAACACGCCGTAGATACTGTCACCGCACCGATTCTACCGTCAGTTAGACCAAACTTTCTATCGTGCACCTTTGTCTTTCGTACGTCTTTAAAAAAAACACTATAGGTATTTTAAACAGAGTTTTGTTATACGTTGACGTCGCGAGGTTTCGTAAGCATTCGTAGTCGCATTCGTTGTCTGCCTCCCTGCTCCCACACGATCCACAGAACCCCTCGCTTCTCTTCGTTCCCCCTTGCCGCGCCCCCCTTCTTCCTGTCTGCTCCCCTCCATTTCGACTCGTATAACCTCACCTCTCCCGTCGCGTATGGCAACCTCGTTCGCCCATTGGTCCAGGGAGGACAAATCCCAAAGGCATCGTTTGCACCGTGAAAGGCGGGGCCATTGGATATGGTGGCTGCGGGCGCATGCCCCGTAACGGTACTCATACTCTTACTTCAGGCACACTCTTTACGCTCACCACCACACTCGTGCGTCCTTTCGTGCACGTATACGCGCGTAGAGTCCGCAGAATATTTCGCATTATAGCTTCACGATACCATCAGGGACGAATAAAATCTCCTCATCGCCCCGTAGCAACGCATTCGATCATATCACTGGACTTTCCTCTTTGCGTAGCGATGCACAGGAACCACTGGCTGAAAATTATCGATACTTTAAATAACTTTATATAATTCTACCGTATATTTGTACTAATATTTTTATACGTTTCGAAGATACGTTCGCATATTTAAATTCAAAGTCTGATTATTTGGTATTTCCATCGAGTGGTCGAATCTCGATTTAATGGTTTTGCAATTTAAATAGATTTTAGATTCTTTAAAAATTTGAGAAATTTTGAAACGTTATACGAGTAGAAAATAATTGATACAAACGTAGATTTTTCTTTCTTGTGGAATGTTTCCACAAAAAATGGTTAAACAAAAGTTGCATCTTTCAATTCATGCTTTTGAAGTTATTTTTTTTATGTAACTTTTGTTTAATCTTTCTTTTTAATATCTTGCATCGTTCTGAAGATATTTCACGAGAACAAAAAAATGTGGGTAAAGTGAACGAAATGAGATTGAATATTTTTATCGTATACCGATGTTCACATACCTAATTACCAATATTTAAAAATTACTTCAAACAAGAATTTCTTAATTCTCGGTACCTATCGACCCAATTTCACGATCGCTAGCCACGTCCCTGGCACAGCTGTTTCTAAGTTGAGTCTTATACTGTCCTGTTCAAAACCCCGTAATGCAATTTTATTTGCGATTTCTCCTTTGGTACTGTATTGCATTCTTATCCAATCCATATAGAGTATGTCCAGTATTTTTTTAATCGAAAAACCAAAGCGGCACTCGTTTGCGCGCTGGAATTCGCTGTACTCTGCATCCTGAATCATGAATCGGTAGAATTACAATTTGAATAGCATACTTAAAATACTCAAAGTATAGCTTACATTGTGGGAAAAATGATTTTTAATTTGTATCGATTACCAGTTCAGGATCTCTTCTACTATCATCCATGATCGATTCCAGTTGCTCTGAAACAATTATCATTTATTTGGTCTGTTATCAATTTGCAATTCTTTTATAATTATTCTTTATAGATATGAAAGGAGAGTGATTTCTTTTTTTTTTTGGAAAATATTGTATAGCCTAGTGGCTGGTATAAAAATCTGCATTGGTATAAAATACTACCTGCCGGAGTGAAACATTCGAAAAAAGATCGAGCGTAAAGAGCAAAACGGAACCGATTTATCGGTCATCTTCCAATACCGGTCATGGATTTCGACAAAGAAGCAAGACGGTAGGATGTTTCGTGCCAAGGGTAGGAAGAGTCGTGGCCGCGCCAATCCCAGCAACCACGTCCCTACGGTGGCATGTGCCTCTGACATGCATATCCGTATATATCGGTTCGTGCATTAATGTGTGTGCCCAGAGGTACACGGACAGTGTATAGTCCAAATCGCGCGAGGTTAGGGAAAAGTACGATATCCCGCGGAAAGGAGCGTGGCGGCGTGTGTAGTTTGTTGTTCGACCGATAGAGCGTGCGAAGGGGAAGTGGGGGAAAGCGACAACCAATGGTTTAGGTCGACCGGGGTTGCCAAGGTAACAAGTTAATGATTCGAGCCGCCACTGAGAAATTAGCTTCGCTCCGTGGCGGTGTCGCGCATGCGTTCTTCCTTGGAAACTCGCCGCTACGTATCCTGCCTGCCTCTGCGCTTCAATATAGCGGCCTCTCATATCTATATCGAACGTCCGTCTCCCTATACGTGCACGATACATCCTTTGTGTTGGTACGAGGGTTTCCATGTGTCAGGCTCACCACTACACGGAATATCCGTGGCGTACGTGTACGTACATCGATCGAGATAGGTGTGTGTACACAGATACACGCGCGTTTCGATGTGTAGGAAACTCTCGTACGTATACAGAGGGTGAAGGAGATGGAGACACAGAGTGTTTCAGTCGTCGCGACGATTGGTCCCCTTCCCACTCCAATCTCTTCTTGGCTTCTCTGTTTTCCATTCGCGCTGTCCTCTTCCCCCTTTCCCCTCGCCCGATTTGCATCTCCGTCGTCGATTTGCCCTCTTTCTTGGCCCAACTCTTCTCGTCGCTCTTTCGACCCCTCCACCCCTGACCTTATTTTCCCCACCGCTTCGCGGGGATCGTAATTCAACCACGCGTCGCCTCCTCGCGAATCCTCTTGAACGACAGCGCGATTGGGGGTCGGCGGGGAGGGGAGGGGGGGCCGACGGCACAAGAAGGCGGAGGAGGAGGAGGGGAGTTGCCCCATCAAGATTCACCGTGGATTATAATATTCGATGTCCGTCGATCGGACATCGGGAGGCGAATTAGCGTGTAGAAAATGGAAGCAGCCGGGGGCACCAGTAATTACGCCACGCCTGGTCCTCGGCATGCGATGACGATCGTTCCGGCCAGCCACGAAATTTTCTTCCATTTTTCTTGTCGGTCAGCCAGTCCCCTTCGCCCAAAACTCTTTTTTTCTCCCATGTTCAGGATCATATCCGCGTGTTCCTTGATATCGTGTCACGATCTCGATATCACGAGGTGGAAATTCACGCTACCGATTCGGAGGCATTGCACGACAATGGCCGCCCAGACATTTCGGGATCGTACGACACAGTCTCGTTGTGTTTCGAGTCGAGTCCTGGGGTCCCCTTTCCGAACCAATCTGCAAAACGATATGTAATATATTAGGATGACATAGACACGTTTTGCGTTACGTAAATGTCACGTCTCAATTAGGAAATGCTCGCCGCGGGATCTCTGGCCCGCGTACGAAAATACCTACGGACGCCTAAACTTATCCCGAAACGCTGATATAAAGGCCGACGAGGACTCGTTTTATTGGAAAACTTAAAGAGCGACGAGAGATAGATACGGTCGAGCAATTAATCTCGAAGGAAGCGTCCTTCGCGACGAACAGATCTCCCGCTCGCGTCGGGAAAATCGACGACGGCGAAGGAAGGCTCCGTCGCGGTCCTCGAATTTAAAAAAAAAACAAAAAAAATATCTTCCGCAGAACATGTTGTCGCGCGTCCCGTTTCGTGCGTGTCGCAACGCCTCGAGATTCCGCTCGATCTCGTCGAACGTGAAGTCGGATTACACGTGCGACAGGTACAAGGTGCAACGAGGTCCTTACGCCAGGATCTCCGACCAGCACGCGACGTTCTTCGACGGTTTGCTCGGTCGGCAGAGGGTCATCTCGAACCCGGAGGACTGCGAGAATTACAACGTAGATTACCTGAAAATCGTCAGAGGTAAACAGGGATCTATATCGCGAGATCGAACTTGGCACGCGAATTAGCTATGTAAATAATTGTATGACTCATAGGCGAACGCAACAGCTTCTTTTCTAGCGAGCCAGGCGACTTCAACTCCGTTTCTTTTGTCAAATGAAATGTTCAGTGTACACTTCTGGAGTGGAAGCTTTATTAGAATAGCAATTTCAGAAGCTTGAAACCATCGTGTCGCATTGAACTTCAACGTTAGAATATTGCCAGCGGGATCTCCATTTTGGATCGCGCCAAATTCGATCTTGGTCCGCTTAGGGGACAAGATCCCGTCGATTCACGAAAGGATTACACTTTCAGGTAAGAGTAACTTGGTTTTGAAGCCAAAAACAACCGAGGAGGTGTCCGCCATCCTGAAATATTGCAACGACAATCGGTTGGCCGTGTGTCCCCAAAGCGGTAACACTGGACTCGTGGGTGGCAGCGTGCCGGTGTTCGACGAGATCGTTATTTCCATGAAACTCATGAACAAAATCATCGAAACGAACGAGCTGGCAGGTTGGTAAGGAAGACGAGGCCGTAACCTGGTAGCAGAGACATAATATTAGCAGAGGTGTCTTGCGTAATCGCGAGTACCGGAATCGAACGAGTTCCCTCAACTTCTTTTGTTTCACGAATCGTCGTGCGCGTCAGGTGTGTTGACCTGCGAGGCTGGCTGTGTGCTGGAGGACCTGGAGAATCATTTGGCGACCGTAGACTTGATGATGCCTCTAGATCTAGGCGCTAAAGGCAGTTGCCTCATCGGTGGTTGCGTGTCAACGAATGCTGGCGGTTTGAGGCTGTTGCGTTACGGCAACCTGCATGGAAACATTCTGGGATTGGAGGCCGTGAGTTCTGAGGATGATACAGTGTCTTTGTCTACCGATTGCCCCGGTTTCGAGTCAGGTTCTTTCAGGTGAAGGCGAACGGGGACGTGGTGGATTGCTTGAACACGCTGAAGAAGAACAATACCGGGTACCATTTGAAGCACCTGTTCATTGGCTCGGAAGGAACCCTGGGTATCGTGACGAAGGTCGCCATCCAGTGTCCACCTCTTCCCAAAGCCATAAACGTTGCGTTTCTAGGTACGAAGCATCCCCCTGTGGCCATCTTGATTTTAAGATCATCGAACCTCTGCTTCCACCGACTATTGCAGGGCTGGACAGCTTCGACAAGGTGCTGAAGACGCTGAAACTGGCCAAGAGCGAGTTAGGAGAGATTCTGTCCTCGTTCGAGATGATGGACAAGAAGTGTTTCAACCTCCCGATCAAGGTGCACGATTTGAAGAGCCCGTTGACCACGAAACCCGATGGCCACGATTTCTACGTTCTCCTGGAGACTTCCGGGAGCAACATGGCCCACGACGAGGAGAAGCTCGCGTCCTTCGTGGAGAAATCACTCGCCGAGGGCATGATCGAAGACGGTACTCTAACCTCGGACCCTGCAAAAGTAAAAGTTAGTAGAAATTCCTGAAACCCTTCAGACCCAACTCAGAGATCCCAAAATTCACTGGAGAACTTAATAGGAACCCTGTCTGTGCAATGATCGAAGAATTTCCCCCCTTTTTTTTCCAGAACATATGGATGCTCAGAGAGTGCATCAGCGAAGCTGTACTGCACGACGGTTACGTGTTCAAATACGACATCTCGGTGCCTCTTCTGTCTTTCTACAAGGTGGTCGAGGTGCTCAAGGAACGATTGCGCGATCCACGCATCATAACGATCGGCGGTTACGGGCACATGGGTGAGAAATTGTATTTTCCATGTAATTTGCAACGACCAAACGGTTGCAACTTACGTTTTCTCTTTTGTTTATATATTAGGCGACGAGAACATTCACGTGCAAGTGTCTATACCGTCGTACGACGCTGATATAGCATCGCAATTGGTGCCATTCATTTACGAATACGTGTCGAGCCTCCGTGGCAGCGTTAGCGCCGAACATGGAATAGGATTCATGAAAACGAAGTATCTACATATGAGCAGAACGCCTTCAGAGATCGAGCTCATGCACGATCTGAAGAACATGATGGACCCGAATGGTATACTCAATCCGTACAAGGTCCTCTATCCAATTACAACGTCGAAATAATAATTACAGTTTATAACAACCGAGATATGTACATTCCTGTAAATAATGTTAAATATAATTAATATTTAGTAAATGAAACATGTGTCATATAAAATAAAAATAATACCTGGGGGATATTAAATGCTTCTTCATTTTTATTCAGAGCCTTTTGTTAAATTTTCTATTTCAGAAATAGCAAAGTCTGATGAAACGGTACAAAATTTTGGCGCCTTTTGATTATGCATGCATAATGACATCAGCATATATCTACATCGATCGATGATAACGCGGGCAGTCCTGCTTTACCGAGCATGGTTACACCATGGGCCACACAGAGGTCGTTATCGTCCAGTCGACATATTCTTCGATCGATGTTTATCTTCGGGTCAAGAGTTCAATTTCTAAATAAATCGACGATGCATGTCTTTCTCTTAACGTTTCAGCTATATTCTTCGATACCTTTGAGTATAATAAATCCCAGAATAAATATGTTCGTCATCGATTAAACGTGCCCGATCGAAAATTATTCTTAGAACGACAGTTTCGAGCTTGTATCATCGATCTCGAAATTGCCATCGAACGCTTTTATTAAATACGAACCTTTTTTAGATAAATTATGATTCAGGGGAAATTATAATTAGAAACGAGCAAATGATATCTCGAACGTTCCACGCATAATGGAACATCGCATGTATCGCATTACCAAGTTGTTTCCCGCCTTTGCTAACGTTTCACAGATGCAAAACGTTACTATTACGAGATGGAATAGTTTCTTTGCTATTATCATATTGCATACCATTATTAATAATTAGTATTTTACACAAGTATCTGTTTAATAAATTACCTCTCGTGCCACTAATGACAATGGACAAACATTGAATAGATCTTGTTAATAACAGTTGCTAATCGATGCAACTTTAACATTCACACGACAATTCCTAGTGCTAACATCGACCAATAATCTGCATCGAGGGGGAATACGTTTATGGTGATCCTAACCAATCCAAGCTCCTGTACGCTTATGGGTCGCTGAGGGTTAAGAAACGTATTAAGATAATTCAGGATTATTAAAAAGTGGAAGCATACACAGGAATCTAATTATACATTACGTTTTGTATCAACTACAAGAAAGATGGTGTTCCGTGAGAAAATTTAAACCATCGAATTGCATCGAAGCAGGTCTTACGGTGCCAAAAACTTCCTAGGAAATGACTCGAACGAACGGAAAGCGGAGTGGAGGGGAGGGGGTGTGATGCGTGATGCGTCCATGCGCAGACGCATCTAGAAAAGTCTCGAAAAGAGCGGCAAACCAAATATATAAACCGGCGGCTTACAGTACTGCGCAGTCAGTTAGAAACTGCAATTCGAAGCGACAAGTTCGTGTAAATTTCCGATCGAATATCGAACGAAACCTCATCCGAAGTAAAAGTAATTCCAATTACTTCTTATCCTTCGTGAGTGATTCGTGTAACGAAGCAAACGTTGTTTAACGAAAGGTAAAGCCTTTATTGTTTTAATCTCATCGACCGTTTTGTCAACACACAATATCACGGACATCTTATTGGACCTTGATACTCGCTTTTTTTTTTATATCTTTTAATCACGCTTGACAACCGCGTTTGATATACATTTTTATGTACACTTCTTAACCGACGATAAACATCGGTGATTTTAAAATCTGCGCATATACGTTCGCATTACGTTTCGCGACATGTCCTCGAGTTCGTAAAAATAGAAGCCAGAAACGCGTAAGGACGTTCGGTACGACTTATTTTTAATGTCAAATGGATCTAACGAATTCAAATTACGAGCGTTTTTTTCCATTAATTTAAAAAAAAAAAATCAATATTTTGTTTACACGAAATATAATCGTTCTGTCGTGTTATAAATAATGCGCTCTTCCATGCAGATCCATCACGACATAATGGCACTGGTATCGAGAGATTACTTCCGCAGCTTGTGGGACGACATAGACAGATATCACCGAAATCTCGAGGACCATTTCAAACGGCTAACTACTAGCGATGACATATGGCAGCCACCACCGATCCCGTCGTTGGGTGCAATGGCCCGTCCATTCAATAATATGATAAACCAATTGGAACAACAGGCGGGTGGCTCGACGACGATCGAACGAGACCAAAACAAGTACCAAGTGATCGTCGACGTGCAACAGTTCGCGCCGGAGGAGATCACCGTCAGAACGGACGACAAATTTATCACCATCGAGGGCAAACACGAGGAGAAGAAGGACCAACACGGATACGTTTCCAGGCAATTCGTGCGGCGATACATGCTGCCGCAGGGTTACGACATTGGCCACGTGAGACCTAGATTGTCCTCCGACGGTATCCTTACCATCACTGCACCGAGACTCGCCATGCCAGCACCTGGAGAAAGAATAATACCAATTGAGCAGAGCAACACCCCAGCGATCAGAGCTTAAAATCCTTGGTCGCTATATACGTGAACATATCACAGCATCGATTGGGTTTTAATCGTTTTAAATTTTCTTCTTTGATATCATGCGTTATATTTAGCTGTTGTTACGTACAATTAACGACACGATTACGTTAGGTATCCAAGGTTCCGATTATCGCAAACATCCAAAGAGATTCGAGTCGTTTAAACTTGAGATAGTGATATTAATCTATACGCATATACGTCGCACGATTAATCGCGACGTTGTAACGAAAGTCTGAAACACTGTATTACTTTACTTTCTACTCTCGAAACCGCCATACTTAACTGTATATTAAAAACACGAATATAGTTGGTATTGATATTTAGCACTTTCGTTATATATATATATATATATATACCTATACTTAATTATAATTATAGAGATCGAATAATTATAATTCAGTGTATACGCTATTGTGCTTTTTATTAATTTTTTTTTTTTTTCCAATAAATGTTAATCTCCATGTAACATTGGTGTTTTTTATTTCAAGATAAGAACCCCCTAAGTATGTTTAAAAAATTTATTTTTGTAAAGTATTTACAAAACACGGCTGAGCGTGAATCGCGAAATTAAATGATTAAAAATTCCATCTTTCAACGACTGACCATATGTATAATCTAACTATCGTACGATCTACGAAGGCCCTCGATTCTCCTCGCTCTCCGAAAACGGCTGCTCGTCCTGATCTTCAGGAGGCACCACCTCCTCGAAGATGGTCTCCTCGGCAGGAACCAGACCTTGAATATACCTAGCCTGTTGTTCTATGTCCGGTATTTTATCGTGAATCAGTTTCTCGACGTCCACCTTCCTCAATTCCAATTGCAAGCGTCTTTTGAGCGGTCCCTCTATCGCGTCCATGATCTGATACCTGTCGACAGAGCAGACTTTCTCAAGGTGTCCCATAAAATCGTGATACAATTAACATCGAAAGCATCGAACCTCAAAAGATTTGGCAGTACATTGACACCGGCTTCGATTAAGTAATCGATGGTACCGGCGCCGTGGACTCTCGTTTGGATATTACCCAACTCGAGATTAAGTTCCTCGAGTACGGGCCTCTTCCGTGTGTCCAACGGTTGGCTCAACGTCACCTGAACCCTGAAATATTGTATGGTGAAGGAGACCGTGCCAGCCCTGGTCAAAACGCCACCGATCACGCTCACTTCCCAGTGGGTCCTTCCCTCGATCTCTTGGGTCCCAACGTCGATCGTCGCGTACACCTTTATAAGGAAACAACCTCTCGATGATATTGTAAACGCCCACGACATCGGTGACACAACGATCGCGACGATTATGGATACCGATTTGTGACCGATTAGCCAGCATGTTTTTTTTATTTACAATTCGTAAGACGTAATAAATGATGTAACTACGGTAATCGGCTCTTTGGCTTGCATTTGCATTCACAGGTGGATGTTGCAATCGAACATCCAAGTTATTCGCGACTCGGGCACGATACAATATATGCAAATGCAATTATCCCCACCGCCAAGAAAGATCGTCGACTCAAACAAACGTAAACAAACTACATTTGTAGTTCTCGTTGTATCGCTTACTGTACGATTTTCCATGTTTAAAGTGATGTTCCCCATTCGATAGAAACTCGCTAGACCGGTGATCCAAGTATGGGTCGACATCACGGTAAATATACCGACAGTTTGGCTGTAATCCTTCACCCTAAACGGGTCGTACCCCATTTGGGAGACTTGCTTGCGAGCCTCAGCGACCGCCATGTCGAACGGTGATATAGAATTGGGGAAGTATTGTGGCAACTGTGATATCTGTTTGTTGACTTCTCCCCTGAAACATTTAATCATCGGTAACGTGCTCCATTTGACGTAATAGCGGTGAACGAATTGTTCTTTACCGTACGTTAGTATTGACCTCTTTCAAAATGAAGGGTTTAATACTGTCGAAAATGAAGGTCCCCACGGAATTGATCACCCCTTGGAAAACGGAACCCAGGAAGCCCAAATTCTTGAAGTCCATGTCTATCTTATCGAACGTCAGGTCCATGTCGATGTCTTGGGCATGCAATTTTCCATCGGTGGCGACCTCGAGGCGCGCGACACCTTGGACAGTCACCCCCGTTAATTCGACGGTGAAGTTGCCAGCAGATCGTGACAACCAGGAGGACAATGTATACAATCCGCGAATGTCCAAGGTCTCGATACTCAACGCCACAGACACCTTCGAGAAACATAACAGCGTAGATGTATGTTAATTGTTTTTTACTCCGTCAGCTAATTCTCATGCAATCACCAATTTGGCAAAGATTCTTGACTCGGATGTTTCTATCGTTAGTCAGCAACGCGGAACATTAAAAATGTATAATTAGCTTATTAGCTTACGGAACGAGAAACATTTTCAAATGCTTTGGAAGCTTTAAATTGCAATCTTTAAATAGCGAAACCTATGGACTCATCGGGACGATATCGAGCCAAAAAAGTTTGGCCGGTCAAGTTCAGTTTCTTGGGCATGATTCACGCCGGGGAAAGAGTTAAGCTCTGCTATAGCGACCTTGGCGATTTGAAAGGACCTTATTGAAAATCAAGAAAATCCTTTGTACGCTTTGCAAACGGAGAACCTCACTTGCATGAGAGACAGTTCCGACTCCATGCGGACGATTCGAAATTTCGAGAGGCCGTAAACGTTGACCTGCTTGAAATTCATGGTGTACATGGAGAAGGAGTGCTTCATATCCGGCACTGGCATGGGATCCGGTACCGGGGCTCCTGGCAGCCCCACTGGATCATCTTGCTGATAATGCTTCAAGATTGCGCGAATATGATCCCCGAGTCGTTTTTCACCGAACGCTATTTGCGACGTCGTATCATTTTTCCCTGAAACGTGTTCTCACATTAGCATCGAGTCGACAACTGAGCATGAGAATCAAGTACATTTTAATTCAATACCAGCCAGGATAAATAATATTCTTGACTGTACATAATCTTGTATCGATTCCGGAGGAAATGCAAGATTCTTGGTATTAGCCGACAGATCGGCCTTTGAACTTGACTTCGATCGACGATTAAAAATCGATTTATGTGAAAATCGTGCAAATCCTCATCGAGTAAGTTCCACACTTCTGTGGAACATCGAGCAGCTCACCGATAGGCTTCTGGTCGTCGCATCGACAAGCGAGGATGCAGCAGGAGACGAGGAACAGTGTCTTCGGAAGTTGCATTTCCGGTTTTGACAGGGCACGTAGTCAGGATCGACGAGCGGTCTGGATAAACAGCGATCGGTGTGACCCGCAGTTGACGAGGCCACGCATTCGACTGGTAGGCGCGTCGGTGAATTTAGTGGAACGATATCTCGCGGGTCATTGAAGGGGCGAGGGTCAAACGCTTTATCTGTCCTCCCTCCTTGTCCCCTCGCCCCTCTTATTCATGCGTTATTTCCTCCTTAGCCTTCCCTTAATTCTGTGCTGCTTCGCCAGCAACCAACGGTTGCGCGTGCTTCTCGTTAATGAGACAACAGTGTAAATACGCGTGAAGAAATCTCGGCCATGAGTCAGAGCTTTCGCGCGAATTCACCATTGACAAAGGAATATACAGGGTGTTCTGTCAATCCTGGGAAAAATTTTAATGGGGGATTCTTCTGGCCAAAATAAGTCAAAGATCAAGAATAGTAATTTTTTAATCGAGGCTTCGTTAAAAAGTTATTAACAGTTGCGTCTGTACTCAAGTTGCCTATCTACAGGCGCAACTGTTAATAACTTTTTAACGAAGCCTCGATTAAAAAATTACTATTCTTGATTTTTGACTTATTTTAGACTCCAGAATCCCTCGTTAAAATTTTTTCCACAGTTAGCCGAATACCCTCTATACGTTGGATTCTGAGAAAATGCTAATGTTTGGGAGAGCCGGTGGAGAATGTGCACGGTACATGGCCGAAGGGCATTTTTCATCGTTCTTACAGGTTTTGCAATGTTTTTATCATGCATTCGTTCCCTTGGAAATGCTTTTGCAGCATACTCTGCAGCATATTCGTTTACCTGGAGGATACGATAAAGTAAACTTGGTATAAATAAGCTCCTTGCGATTCTTTAACGTTTATTTATTATCAAAAAGTTAAAGGGCTTGTTTTGCTAAAGTAAACATAAATAAAATACATACACACACGGATCGTTCAAATATATATTATTTGTGTCCGGTAGAAGTTTAGATAACTTACTATAAATTTATAAACCATATGATATAACCAGAAGTCCATTAATATTTTTGTACGTGTTCCTGCAACAAATTCCATGTTAAACAATGAACATTTACAATCATCGATAGATGTTAGCGATAGACAATCTTAAAAAGAAAATAACGTATGGATAAGTCTGTCTAAAATCTGAACCGAAGGAAATGTTTCTTTGTAAACATCAAACGATCAAAAGATAGTTTTTTATTGGTTGTATACTCACAAACGACCCTCTCACTTTGGCGGGAGAGACCATACTGACGTTGCCGCCAGAATGTGAAATTGGCGCTAGTGTCTTTCAATCCTCGATCGAAAGGACCAATGAAATATTAGATAAATGCTATCGTCCAATGGCATTTTAGACTAGAATGCATTTCTGTTGGCACTACCGGTCAGTGTTGCAACATTCCTGCAAATTTGAACAAGTTTAAATACATGGAATTAACGTACCGATTCATTATCGCATACGGTTGCCAATTTCTTACTTTGTAGATTATATTTCTCCTATTCATGGGTATGAATGATATTAATGACAAATCAATTAATCATGAAAGAGGTAAGATCACTAATAAGCGGGAACGCTTCACTTTTATTCCATATTTTGTATCAGGACACCGAATGTCAAGAGTTTTTCCGGTAGCTTGCAATGTCACAAAGCGGACTCATTTAATTATATTTTATTTACGAGGAAATGTTTTCTAGGTATAGATGCTCGTAAATCAGCCGAAGAAATGGACGAGCAACGTCAAAAGACGCTTGCTTACGAGTATCTCTGTCATCTAGAAGAGGCAAAGAAGTATGACTGTCAATGAGTCGTACACGTGTGTTTGCTATTCCACTTTTCACAAGTCTTATACTGTTTATATTTCGTAGATGGATGGAGGCGTGTCTCAGGGAAACGCTTCCTCCTACGACCGAATTGGAAGAGAATTTACGGAACGGAGTATACCTGGCAAAACTTGCACATTTTATGGCGCCGGAAACCTTGCCTCTGAATAAAATTTATGACATCGAACAGAAGCGTTACGGGACAGCTGGCTTACAATTTCGTCACACGGACAACATTAATCATTTTTTAAAGTCCCTAAAATCTATGCAACTTCCCCTAGTATGCATCTGTTATATACTAAATTTAGAGTTATTTCCATAAGAGATTGTTCAAAATAACGAGTGAAATTGTTTTTAATAGACCTTTCAGCCAGAGACTACCGACATCTACGATAAAAAAAATATGCCTCGTGTGATATATTGCATTCACGCGCTCAGCACTCATTTATTTAAACTTGGAAAAGCCCCACAGATTCAGGACTTGTATGGAAAAGTGAATTTTACTGGTATTTATTCAATTGCATATTACGCAAGCTAAATACGTACCAAGATATTACAAACGTTATATTTTTTAGACGAGGAAATCAATGCTGTCAGTAAAGAGCTGAAAAAATATGGAATTCAGATGCCTTCCTTTCAAAAAATTGGGGGCTTGCTGGCGAATAGCATGGAGACCGATGCTGCAACGCTTCATGCTGCGGTTATAGCAATTAATCAAGCCATTACAAAAAAAGTGTGTACGTCGTTTATGTGTCTAAAACAATTTAAATAATAATTTACATAATTATTAATCGATGATTACTGTTTAAGGATTACGGGAAAACATTAACTGCGCTTCAAAACAAAGTAGTACAATTGAATAATGTTGTGCCGCTCTATATAAAAGAGTACAGTGATGTTTTAACAGAAGCAAAAGATTCTAAAGCAGAGGCTGCGCTTAATAGAGTGAGTAGAAGTTAATAAATAATAAAAGCATATCGTTAATAATTTATATAATTTTGGCAGTCTTTGAACGACAGCTATATACCAGACGTATACGACGAACTATTAACTCAAGCAGAAATTCAGGGACATATCAATTACGTAAATCGTAAGTTGGGGTATATTAGAAAATATTTGATGATTTTATTTTTTTATTTTAATTATTAATATTTCTTTTAGTTCAATGCGCAATGGAAAGCTTAACTCGATCAATTCGTTATAAAAATAATCAATTTATGGATACGTTAAAATCACCTACTTTATGCTTACAAGTACATTTTATATCTCTACATTTATTACTCCCGTTATTTGATGATATAATATATATAAATACTATTTCTTTGTTAGAACATTCTACATGAGAATGCAGAATTTTATAAAGAACAATTATTGCAACTGCTGGAAAGCCCTGAATGGAACAATACTTATTCAGAAAGCAATCATCACTGGAGACAATTGCTTCAAAATGGAATTAATAAGGGGAACGAAATAGCACTTACAAACCGAACACGTTGGTATTTTGTAACAGAAATTGCAGCATTGTATCGAGTACTAAAATATCTTTATCGATACAGGCGAGGAAGGTGTTAAATTCTTAAATGTAACATTGCAAACCGGCGTACAGAGTGAATTTTATGATGCTCTGAGAAATCCCAGTCTTGGATTATGCGATAAAATCGAGGAATTTGCAATGCCATTATATTACGAAGAAATGAATGCAGATCGTATGGAATCTCAGGTAACTGGAACGTGAAAGACACTAAAATTATTTATTTTTTTTTATTAATATAAACGATACGTTTAACAGAAAACCCTTTCGTACAACGATATAATAGTTAGCGTACGTGTACTCTCGTTAATCGCCGAAATCAGCAAGGCAGTGGACACTGGAAATCCGGATTTAGTTTATCAGTCACTGACAAATCCAAATTGCCACGTCTCTGTAAGCATAATTATTTATTTTATGTCAGTGCGGTTACTGTAATGCGAAGTTATATTTTTACATAAGTCGTATCTTAGGATTTGGATCATGAGAATAAGGTAAAATATTGTAGAGCACTGGCGGCGGTTCGATGTGAAAAGCAAGCGATTGCTGAAGAATGTCCTCTGTTAACATATATCGATATCCAAGAATGTATCGATGTTGTGAATCAACAGTGTCAAAATAACGACGATGGTATGTTAAGTATCTTTTTAGACTACCACCACATATCATATGTATATTCATATCTGTTTGTTTCTTTGCAGTGATACAAGTATTGCGTAAGTTAAATTTCGCTGTTGACAATAACGATCGAAACGCAGTTATAACTGCTTTGAGGGATACTTCTTTGAAACTACTAAAGCCTACTTCACCCGAAGACGCATCCCTTTATCTGAAATTATTTAAAAAATGTCTTGCTGAAAAACATTTGGATGGATCCGAGTTATGGTTGGAGGACGTAGAAGCCGTATCGAAAATCGTTGCTGCGGAAGCTGAAACAGTCCAACACGGTATACTGTATTTACAATTGTTCTTATGTTTCTTATAAAATTTTTAGCAATTTGGTAAATGCATTTTGTCTCTTTGCAGCGTGCACGTTTTTGGCACAGGTGAATTTGGGTTTACAGCGAAACGATATGCTATTCACGATCGATTGTCTGCAAACTTTTGGCTTGAAAATACCAGAAAAATATAAGACTGAATGTTTTCAAAGTCTGTGCAACGTGAGAACAAAGAAGGTACGATTTCGAAATAAATTATAATTGGTATTTGTTGATTTTCGTCTTATTTTGGCCTCTAGAATCATCAATTAATTAAATAATTAATTTACACCATTTCAGGGTAAAAATTACAATTGCGCGCTTGTTCGTTTTATTACTCCAAAAGGTAACGAATCATATTTGGACTTGGAGAAGTTTAATTACACATGGGATTGTCCAAAACATATATCGGAATCATATTACGTTAATGTGGAAGACATAAAGGTATTCTACAACTAACCCTTTAGAATAATTGAACCGATAAGTCATAAAAAACAAGTATGTATTTTTTCCCCCAGAAAATAGTAAAAAATACCACGATAAAAGAACACGAGGAACATAAGATAAACAAACAAATAATCCGATGGCAAGCTTGTATTCGAGGATATTTATTACGAAAACGAATTTCCGATAGATTCTCATACTTTTATAGAAACGTAGATAAAATAATTTTTATACAGTCGTGGTGGCGTGGTATAGTTAAGCGAAAACGTTATTTGAAGTTGCTAGAGGAGAGACGAGAACAAGATACAGAGAGATATAAAAATAAATATTTAAAAGTTAAAGCGAAATTTGCTGATGTATTGGATCGTTATAGGAAACAGGTAAACTGTATTTATTTTATTCGTGGTTAATATGGTAAAAATAATTTTGCCTTATTCGATGCATAGTATTATACAGGGTGTTTAGCCACTCCTGGAAAAAATTTTAATGGTGGATTCTAAAAAATTTTCCCAGGAGTGTCTGAACACCTTGTATATATATATTTATATATATTTTAGGAGGAAAACATTATAAAAATACAAGCTTTATGGCGTGGTCGTGCCGAAAGACGAGCCTTCCATTCGTTGCTGTATTTAGAGAAACCACCTTTTCCTGTTGTTCGTCACTTTTCTGCAATTCTAAATTTCAACGCGGAGGATTACGACAGAGACTTGCAGTTACAAGTAAGAGGATTTTTAATTTTCATTTAAAAATTTATTATGGAATTTTGATCATGATATTGTCGTTGCAGCACCTGAAGCACGAAGTAGTGCAAAGTATACGACACAATCAGACCTTGTCGCAACAATTGGATAGCATGGACATAAAAATCGGATTGCTCATTCAGAACAGAATTACGTTACAAGTAATGTTTACAAAAATATGACAGTTATATTTGCCAGGCAGCATCGTATTTAAATAAAATTAATTTGCAGGATGTCGTGGCGCATGGGAAGAGTTTAGAAACGCTCGCGAAACAGAAACATTCCAACAGGGAGCAAAAAAGCATTTTATCGGACGGTGTAATTTCTCATAAAGGGTTGAAATCATTAACGAAGGAGGGACGAAAAATGTTAGAGGGATATCAACATTTGTTTTACGCGTTGCAAACTAATCCGTCGTACTTGTCGAAATTATTATTTCTTTTGCCTCAAAGTAAAACGAACAAGTTTCTTCAAAATGTGATTTTAACATTGTTCAACTTTGGATCAAATATCAGAGAAGAATATTTATTATTGAAGCTATTTGGAAGCGCGCTGCAAGAAGAAATCAGGTATATTTTTCGTAACATAACAATCCTGATAAAATCAATTACATGGAAAATTAATTATATTAATTTTAGGTCCAAGTTTCAAAAACCATCCGAGGTTGTAACCGGGAATCCACTGGTGTTGAAAATGGTAGTAAACTATGCACGACAATTGAACGGTCAAAGAGCTTTGAGGCAAATTGTTGGGCCAATTATCGAGAAAATATTAGCCGATCGAACACTGAACATAGAAACAAATCCAATTGATATTTATAAGTGTTGGAGGAATCAATTAGAAATGGAGACGGGAGAAACACTGTAAGTAAAAAAAAATGTACTAAAAATGTATGCGTATTTGTTTGTTTATAATTATTTTTTCTTAATAGAGATCTTCCATACACGGTGACGCAACAGCAAGCTTTGAACTACGAACAAGTACAAAAACGACTAAACAGGGGCATACAATTGTTGCAAAGTACCGTTTTAGAATTCCTAAATAAAATCACGGAATCTCGTGATCTGATACCGTATGGAATGTTGTACATGGCAAAGATTTTAAACGATTCATTGATCGAGAAATTCCCTAATGCTCCGGAGAAAGACATACTGAAAGTGGTTGGCAATTTGATTTACTATCATTTTATTAATGCGGCTATCGTAGCCCCGGACGCCTTTGACATAATCACATTACCAATCGACAGATCATTATCGAACGATCAACGACGAAATTTAGCCAGCATTGCAAAAATATTGCAGTTCGCCGCTTCCAAAAAAGGGGTAATTATACTCATTTTTATGATCTGGCGACATGTAAAAATAAGTGAAAAATAAATACTCGGTGCAAAATTCTTTCAGTTCGGCGAGGAAGCGTCGCATTTGTTCTGTTTGAATTCGTTCATAATCGAGTGCCACGAAAAGTTCAAACAATTCTTCAGATACTGTTGCCAGATTGAGGATTTGGAGGAGCATTTTTCTATTCACGAATATACCGAGGCCACGCTCATTCACAAGCCTGAGATTTACATTTCGTTACAAGTGAGGCAACTACCCTTTTAAAACTCAAAAATAAAGTTCTTACGCACCTTTTTTTCTTTCAGGAAATTTGTGACACCCACTGTCTCATGTTGGAGTATCAGGATCAAATTGCACCAGATCCAATGGATCCGTTGCACGATCTATTAGATGATTTAGGTCCAGCGCCAACTGTTGCATCTTTGCTCGGAATCTGTAAGAAACAACGTTATTGTTCGTTATTGCAGTATATTCGAATTAATAAAATGTTACGTTAAAATTACTTACCAGCTGATCGGACATGCGAGTCGAATTTAGTAAGGTACGGGAAAACTGAAGTGTGTCTGGTACTTACTAACAAATTTCAAGTACCTGAGAACGAAGACGCTAATTTGAACAAGCTTTTTATTAAGACCAAGGAGTTATTGGTGTCTGTACTTCAATTCTTAAAAGGTCAAACGTTAGTAGAGGCATTGGAAACGTTATGTTCTCCTGTCCAAGAAAAACTGTACGATGTAAAATGTACCAGTATATCGCCTACTTTGAACGTTATTCACAAAAGGTATATAGAGGAAGTTACTTATTTAACAGGAGATAAGGAAGAAATGAATCGTTGAATTTATTTTCAGCTCGTCTTTGAACGATTGTAAGCATCAACTGCGCGCGTATCTCAATAAACTTGAATTGGGAGGATGGGTCAGTCAGGCAGACGGATATCAAAATATCATAACAGCGGTGGCCAAAGATCTTTGTAACAAAGGGAAGTATCGAATTATTCGAAACAAGGAGCTGCAGACCTTGCATTTAACCAAACAGAGATTGGAAGAAAAATCCAAGTATTATCAAGAACAGGTGGAGTTTTATAACGAATATATACAAAGATGTTTGGAAAATTTACACACAGGGAGAGGGTACGTACATGATTGTTCTTAATTTAACGATTTCTGCTTGTAACCGATTTGAATCATTTGCAGATCTTTGCAAGCGTTCAAGGTGACTCAGAAAAATAATCACGGCAAGCTAAGATCGAAAATGACGTTGAAATACTCAGCCGCGAAATTGCAGGAAAAAGGAGTGCTCTTGGAAGTTGATGGACTTCCGCAGTCGCAGTTTAAGAACGTTATTTTTGAGATAAGTCCAACGGAACATAGCGGACTTTTTAGCGTACGTTGTAAATTTATGGGAGTAGAAATGGAGAAAGTTGATATCGATATACAAAAGCTGCTCGAGTTACAATTCGAAGGCTCACCGATTATGGACATGTTCGGTAAGGCAAAGGTTAACGTGAATTTGTTGTTGTATTTATTGAATCGAAAGTTCTACGGTAAAACTTGAAGAGGAAAAACGTAAATATATTATTAGTGGTTATGACAGTTATGCGCACTCGTGCAATGTTTTATTGTAATCGTGGTTGCCTCAGACAATGGTACGTGTCTCGATGTGTTTCGAAACTCATAAGACATCCTAACTCTGAGTTTTGACATCACTTGCAGTTGCCACACGATAATTTTATAATAACGATTCATTTATGTAAATAATTGTACTTATAAGAATCAACGTTTTTAGTATAATAATCCTCCGCATGTATTTATGTAATATTGTGATCGAGTATTATAGCACAACTGTGCAAAAAGAGATATGTATATGAATTTTACCAAACTGCCAAAGTAATAAAATTATGCAAATTGTGGAACTGGTCTACGATCATTTTTTAATTTTATACCGTATCCTTAATATAGGTAAATATATCATGTTTGGTTTTATTGCATAAGTTGTTCCATAACTGAGATGTTCAATATAAAAGTTGTTCAGTTTATTTGTTCAGTTTAGATGTTGTTCCAAAATATGAGATTTTCTTGGTCTTTAAAAAGACCGGTTTGTCCCTTGACCGCTGCTCGTGAACCATCTTCTTGGTCATCTTTGATTTTGATTGAATGGAAATCTTCAATTAAATTCTTCATCTCAAATTGCTCAGAAAAATTGTCAATTTTCAAACGATCATAACTTTTATAATAGTAAAACTTATCTCATTGAAATTTTTTCTAGAAGTTGAGCTCATGAATACCCAGAAAAAAGTATTAGACAACATTTCATTTTGATTCAGATTAAAAGTCAAATTTCTATTGTTTTAAATTCGCAGCCATTAGCTCGGTGTTACCCATAATGAATAATTTCTTCGTCAAAGGTAACACCGATTACCAGGTCTCACCACGAGGAGGTTGCTGCGATTGGAGACCCAAAGTGAGATCGATGGAACAAAGTTCGGTCGACCTTCCTTTTTACACACTTAGATTACGCAAAAAAAAGATGCCAAGTAATTACTGTTCTAAAACAAAGGAGGAAGCTATATTGTGGGAGACGCGACACGACGAAACGCGACACAATACTGCACAGTGCAGTAGGAATATGAGGTGCGACACGTACCGAATAGCGGGTCAAAAGGGGCAGCTCGTTGCCTCTCAGCGAGTCCAATTGAAGGGGAGGAGAATCGACGCACCAGACACGGGTTCTCCATTTCTCCCACGCATCCTGCTGGGAGCCCACGGGACCCAACTCGGGATGGCTGACAAAGGAGAGAGATCCTGAATCCGGGCTACCGCAGACAGGAACAGGTCCCCTCTACGGCCGATGACTCTTTCCCTAGAATTGTCCCACCAGAGGACGGCAACCGACCCTTCGAACCATCTAAACGGCCGATCACTTGCTTTTTACATTAAAGCAGCGGTGACCGGAGAAACGAGACTAGAAAAGAAGCTATTAATTATTTCATCACTTGGCAATCTACGCAGTAAATAAAATAATATACAATGTAAATTGAAAATTAACGTCGTAGGTGGAATTAATGAGATTAAGGAATTGAAATAAACATGGGAATGAGAAAGAAAGGAAAAAGAAATATTCGACGTTAATTTTTACACTCGCGCCGCGCCTTAAATTTAATGTTCTTACGTGCAGATGAATCCGAAGTCCTCCCTCTAAAAATTGATCTGAATAAAAACTAAAATAAAAATTAGTAGTTAGACACACAAATTAGAATTAATTATACGAACAAATATAGGGGCAAATACAAATACAAATAAACAACCAACATAACCAAGAAGAGAATAAGTAAATAAATAACAACCCCACGATGAAAATAATGAGGAACAAAATGATTTGAAAAATCACAACCCAACGAAGTAAAGAATGAAAAAGAAAATAATTCGAAAAATAACAACCCATCGATGTCGAAAATAAAGAACAGAATAATTAGACAAATTTCTACCCAACGATGTAATATATGTAGATAAAAGCTGAAAGAAAAAACGAATGAATTATTGGAGAGACGAACAGAAACAACGAAATAATACATCCCTATATATAAATAGAAAACACAATAATGGTATTAGTTATATAAATATAAATATATGTATGTATTATACCAATCGGCGATACCAGTCAGCATCGTAGAATCAGAGAATCTGAAACAGAAATTACGCGTAACAGTACCCCTGACGGTTACAGGAGTACTGAAAATTGTTGGTCATCTGTGGCCTCTTTTATGCACTTGGAGGCAACAAATACAGCAGCCAATCAGCAGCCAGTCCGCTGGGGGCGACATTCCGATGGGGGCGACACTTGATTAACAAAGTTGCACAAACAACAAAATTGCATAAATACCGAGTAATTTTTCGAATATTCTTAGAATGTCTGCATATTCCTCACCAAAATACGCGTTGTTTGCACTTTGAAACATTAAGATCCTTCAATCCGTTCAGAAGTTATAATGTTTTAAACATACGCAATGAAATGTCAAACGAACATTATTTATCTTTAAAACATTATAATTTCTGAACGGATTGAAGGATCTTAATGTTTCAAGTTGCAAACAACGCGTATTTTGATGGAGAATATGTAGATATTATTTATATATACCTATAAGTATTCCATTATTTCAAATAATAATTCTTATTTATTTTATTTGCAATTACTGATCATATCTGTCAACTAGCGACTCCCTCAGCCAATCAGCGCTAGCTTCAGGAAAGTTTATAAAAACCCGTGCCCCCCTGGCGAGCGCGCGACAGTTATCATTCAACCACCAAACAAGACGGATCGTAACGAGATGAAGAATTTAATCCAAGATTTCCATTCAATCAAAATCGAAGATGGCCAAGAAGATGGTTGACGAGCAGCGTCGAAGGGACAAACCGGTCTTTTTAAAGACCAAGAATAATTTTATATTGAACAATTCAGAGACTGAACACCTCTGTTATGGAACAATTTATGTAATAAAACTGAACATGGTATATTTGCCTATATAGGCAAAAATGGTATATTTGCCTATATAGGCAAAAAATATACAAATACAAATTGAATTCAATATTAAATAAACATTCTTTGTTATAGAATCAAAGAATTATTGTTTGAAATAATAGAACAATTAGAAAATAAATCGTTTGAAAATAATTTCGAAAGTCTTACTTGATAAACTATATTCAAACGATTTATTTCCAAAGTATTGTTTTATTTCAAACACGATCACGGTGTCTTAAGACATGTATTTACGTGAAAATTTTTAATTCAGTGTGGAGTTTGGTTATATGTCGTGTCTGTATAGCTCGAAACGTAAAAATGCCTGAGTAGTCGAGATTCGAAATTGTATGCTGCGAAGACGGACTTCAGATGTTCAAGAGCAAGACGTGAAGACTTACCATTCATGTTCTTTATCGATTTTCCGAAGTTGCATGAAGTGTTGACCAGGCGTAGCATGTGGCTCGTACGGTAAGATATGTCTGCTTTCCCCATCACTCCATTAGACGCTATGGAAGTTCGTAATCACTATTGTCGATTTCGATGCACTGAATTATGCCCGATCCAAAGAAAGCACTTTCTGAAATACGAGGCAGGTCGTGGCAAGAGTGGAGACCGAATGGGCCCGGGCGCCGCCATTCGAGTGTTAAATGCGACTAGTAATTTCAGAAGAGACTTATATTTTTTTCTAATTTTTATAAAAATAAGTAAACTAACGGTAGTAAATGTCAACCTATTACTGAGAGAATATGCTTCTTCCCAATTCGTTTCCATAACTAAACTTAACGTCGGCTATATACCATTTTTGTTTTTCCATCGTATTCTTTTATTAAGAGATGTGTCGAATAGTGGTACGTAATATAATATCGCATTAATATCTAAACATTTTTATGTTGCGTTGTCAAAACAAAATAAGGCATATTCTTACAGATACCTAAATGAGAACAGTAGGCTGTCTATTATTGTTTATACGTCATGTAATGCTATACATATAATTTATATAATCATTTAAATATCAGACAACCTAGCGTTCTTGTGCATTTTATAAAATCTAAAATCGAATCGCTTGAACACAAATCCGAAATTTCTATCGTTTGCGTAGTTTAATACAATAAATTCTATTTTATAAAATATACTACATAAAGGCCTGTTTAGTGGATACTGGCGAATAAGCCTGCACATTTGAAAGAAAAGAATATATCAAAATAAAAGCAGATAATCGTATATACATTTAAGAAGAACTTTGTATAAAAGCTGCTTACACATTTTGTGAAATCCTCAATGTCATATTTCGCTCACTGTTAGATCGTATATTTTATTAATAACTAAATGCCGATTAAAAAATTATCTAAAAACAAAACAAAATACATTAGCATCTTGATCGATCGATCGCAGCGTAAATATTTTTTATTTTTTGCTTTACAGAACATGTAATGATAATAAAACTTTTCATACAGTCATGTTTTAAATGCTGTGCGTGTAAGAAATTTGATATCTGTAGAACAAAAGTTTATTTTATATATACGATATAAACACTACATACATAGATAAACAGCCCGCATTTATCACACGCGCGTTGTATTATAAATATTACTTTTACATATTCGTGTTCTTGAAGTCTTGTTTTTCTTTCTTTTCTTTTTACTCAACTTTATTATACAAATCTGCCTTTACATAATTTACGTGACAGATGCTAACATCCAGGTACTGTGTCACGAGGTATCTTGAAAGACATTTTTATAACTTATGGAGCGTAAAATGTCAGTAATATAAAAGTTTTCCTTATTCTTTTTTTTTTTTTACTCGATTTTTTCCCACTTTTTAATCGAATCAAATATTCAATACTCCTAGTATAATTGATTATGTGCAAGCAATATAGTTCATAAAGCCTCCACGAAGCAGGCCATAAAGTGCATTTCATGTGTTATTAACTGTGTAGTACATATATCACTGTAGTATTAACTTTTATAATAAATAGCACAATAACATCAATCATCCGCATTCTTCTTCCCACCTCCTGGTTCTTTACTAAATATGTGCACACAATGAGACGTAACATTCGATATAACGCGTTGAGTAAGTGTTATCGTTTGTTCAAGATATTGACAAAGTTTCTAATTTTTGTCTGCGCGTCCATCTGCGCCAATGTTTCTTCCATCATGTTGCGCAGTTTCGATAAATCCGGCATTTTATCGCAGGATTCGATATTTAATAGCTCCGTGAAGAATTTCTCCCAAACGGGTCTCTTTATGTACCTAAAGATTTTAATCGATAATATTTTAATGAACTGTACCGTTTACTCCGTACACTATAAAAATAAAAATCTCCACTTAATTTGTTTTAAATACCTTGGTAACTTTGTGGTGATGAACCAGCGACCGCCGACATTCGAGACTCTCATGTAATTACCAAACAGCAAACAATGGCTCGTCGCTGCTAAACAATATAAATCGGTCTGGTACGTCCACGGTCTACCAGTTTGCATCTCGATACACGTAAAATCTTCCGTCTTTATGACCTGAGTAAACGTCGTCTTCTCTGGCAAAAGACTCATATCTATGCTACATCCGAAATCTATCAACTGTATCGTTGGCCTCACATCTTCCGTAGGTCTGCAAGTTAATACGATAAGTAAACTAGGTAAATATAGTCAAATAATTACAAGAAAATGTATCGAGTACGTACAAACGCATCAATAGAAAATTGTCCGGTTTTATGTCCCCGTGTATTATTTGGCATTTATGCAAGTACTCCACAATTTGCAACATTTCGATCGTGAAGAATATAGCTAACTGCTCCACCAACGGTTTACCCGTGGCAATCTTAATCTGATTCGTTACCGATAACAATGTTCCAAATTTGGAATACTCCGACACTAGCACGCTGCTATTATTCGCAACATATACCATCGAGACATCCATAAATCCACGCAACTGAAAATAAAAAAAAAAAACAAGTCAGCACATCGGAAATCAGAAAATAGTTCCAACACCATGCTGACTGACGTAATATGTACGTTACCACGTGCGGATTAGTTAAACGAGCTTTTATCTCCCTAGTGATATAAAATTCCCAAACCCAAGCAGGCTTCTGAGTTTTCAGGGCAACCGTTTGACTCGTTTGCAAACTCGTTGCTTTGAATACTGTACCATACATTCCCTTTCCAAGGCACTTATCCAAATCGTACGTTTCATTACCTGAATATATCAAACGCAATTAAAATCCGAAACAATATGTACCTTCGTTAAACTCTGTACAAAAATAGACTAACCAAGCGTAACCACAGTAGAAGGCACAAGCTTATTTAAATTAGTATCTAGTCTCACATATCCTTCCGCATGATGCGGCTGGGGGAATTTAATTTTCTTTAAAAGACCAGCGATTAAATTTTTGTCAAAAGGATTTATATCCCCCGAAGGGAACTGAAAACTCTCTTCCTCTGCTTGTTCCATCGGCTCGTGGTGCTCCTCGCACTCCATCGAATCAACCTTCTCCTGTTCCTCTATCTCATTAAGTTTAAAATTAATCGACTTCCGTAGATCGCAGTTCTTCTTTATTTCCGATGTAATCTGATCCACGTTGCGTTGCACCGTGCGCGGGCTTTGAGCGTGAACAGCTTGAATCTGAGCCTGAAGGTTCTGATCGTAAAGTTGATTCACGTGCAGCGTACCATCGGTGGTTTCTTCGCTTTCACCTTATCAAACAAAATGAAACCCTTTCATACTTGCAAGACACTAACAAAATAAACAAAGATATCCAAGTACATTAAATTAAATTAAATTACATTGGCTGTGTTCTTTTATAGGAATCAAATCTTCTTTGGTTAACGTGAAAGCCAATGGAGCGGTTCTTATGTGAGTGCTGCTGCCGGAACTGCTCGAAATATACTCTCTGGTCGATTCCAGTATGACGCTCAATTTTTCCTCGCCTTCGACAAGAGGCGCCTCGGCGTTGCTGCAAAAATTAAATCGTTAAAACAATGAAAAACTTTTTCTATCGTTCCAAGTATTATTTACATACTGCGGGGGCGGAGTGCATTGGTTCGAATACTGTGGAGTCTCCTCCCGTGGTTTGTAAGATTGTCTAAAATGAGTGGTCATGGGCGTGGAGCTGGTCAATTGCTGCGTGTTAAACGCGTCGGTGAAGCACGTGTCGTTGTTGCCCGATAATGGCGTGATACCAAGACTTTCGTCGATGTATAAATTATTTTCATCGACCGGCTTTGATGTCATATTCTCCTCCATCGATCCGTTGTAGTCAACGACAATGGCGTTTTCTTTGTCCTCGGCGCCTTCGAGATACTTGATGTCTCTGCGATTCATACCCGGGGACTTTATATACGGTAACTCGGGTGGCATTCTGTACGGTTTGTTGGTCTCGATGTCGGGCTCTGTAAATGCTGGATAATGAAGCTGTTTAGCAGGTTCTACGTTTTGCTGCAACAACGTGGACTCCAACTGCGCGGGATATTGTTGGTAAGCGATATCGTTTGGAGTTATGCTGCTGTAAACAGTGTGCTGCAAGTGTTGCATGTGTTGATGCGCCGGTTGATGATGGAGGTGTTGATTGGGGGACGATTGGTGTTGCTGAGGATGAGTCTGGTGATGCTGAATCTGACTGTGAGATTGCAGATGCGACGGATGAGTGAGAGACTGATGGTGCGTCATCACGTGAGGCGACTGATGCGTTTGTATCAGCTGCTGATGATGCCGAGAATGGGACTGTTCCACTTGCTGCTCGTGATGCTGCAATTCGTATTGGTACGTGGTGTGCAATCCAGGAGTACCGTAAGAGCTAGGATGCTCTTGATTCGGATAGCTTTGATGGGTGGAATAGTTCTGATGATTCTCCTGGTCGTTGTACGGCTGCACGTTATATCCCGAATGGTGTTTACTACTCGACATTGCGTGTTGTGTCATTGAACTGTCCATGTGTATGTCGAAACACATTTTTAAAATTTTCGAATCGGGAATTCTAGGCGTCATGGAGCTACGAAAGTTGGAAGTGGTGTGCACCGCTTCTGGCGAACGCCACATATCTTGCACGACCGACATCGCCTCTTTCGTGTTAACGGTAAGACTTTGCCCGAGTAAATGCTCCTCGGGATCAGCGGTCAATGATGACGTGTGATGTTGGTGCATAAAACTGGAGACTTGTAACTTTTGTTGCAAGTTTAATTCCGCCTCCATTCTCTGCACTTCGAGTCTTTGAGCCTCGAGTCTCTCCGCTTCGAGCCTCTGAGTCTCGATCCTCTCCGCTTCTAATCTCTCTAATTCCCGTTGCTCCGCCTCGCGCCTCTGGCTCTCCAGAACTAAATTCTCAGCCTCGTACTGCTGTCTCTGTAGTTTCTCTTGCTCGATCTGAAGTCTTTGTCTATCTAATTCAAATTGTTCGACCTCCCTTTGTTGTTGCACTTTTCTATGCCTCTCTGTTAGCTCCTCTTGATGCTTGTACTCTTGTCGCTGCCTGAGCAGTTCTTGCAGAGACATACTGTGCCTCTGAGGTTCCGTTTGTTGAATTTGTTGCTCCGTCTCTCTTATGTCTTGCGTTTTCTCTAAAACTTGCGGTCTATAATTTAAAAGATTACAATTACAACTCAATGCTCTCGTTCTATTTTAATAGAATGAACGTTACCTTTGCAAATATCGTTGGGCCCTTATTTCTTCCATGCTTAAATCCATATTGTTGGCGTACACTAAATCTTTCGGGTAATGCGGTCTTAATATAATACTTGGGATTGGAACGTCGGGAACAAACACAGGCACTGTTGAACACCCGGGATAATTACTGCCGTCAAAAAAAAATGTATGATTTGGGAATAATCTTACTTTGCCTGTGTTATAGTCATCTGGCTGATCCTCGTGAACTACGATTTAAACAAAATTACTTGTACACATAAACATATGTGAAACCTTTATGTCGACCAATATTTTACCTTTGAAAGCTGGCTTTGTAACGGATGTCATTAAGGGACATCGTTTACTTCCGCCGCCATTCCACGGACCGGGTTTAATAGTATTTTCTTTATGTATCGTATCCTCTATTGGAACATGGTCCAGTATACTGGAACTTTTCATTTCGCAGGGAAGATCTTCCTGTTAAAATATTTCAATGTACACGTTTTCTTTGCCAACCGTTAAAAATAATTTTCTACCTGATATATCTGTATCCTGGGATTTAATGCGGCGTTATGAATCGCTGTCGAAACTTGCAGAACAGTACCGGGGAAATATTCGCGTACTCGATGCCCGGTACGTACGCTGCTAACTTTCTTGCCAGCTTTAATCGCTTTCAAAGAGCTAAATGCTTGACGTTGCTCGAGAAGCGATCTTTCGGTACGATCCTCCAAATGTCCTAGCGTTTTACGCGCAATCGCGAGTTGAAAGTTCCTTAAAATAAGACAAACAATTTGAACAAAAATTCACAGGGACAGGTTTGTTTAATACGTTAACGTTCGACGTTTATACTTGTGGGCGTAGTCCAGTTCTTCCAGGGGTTCCGCTTTGCATGCCAAGCCCATCAAATAAACTTTATCCGCGCGTTTGTAGTCCTCTATCTGTTCTAATTCAAAAGCCCATGCTCTGTACGTATCCGCCACCATAGTCCCTATTCCATTGTTGTATAAAAGTTGATACAGCTCTAACGGGTTCTTTTGCATACTTATCTGTACAGGGAAATTTTTATTGACCAGAATGTATAATAAAACTTCTTCTTTCTGGATAAAAGAAGCTTTTTAAATTCCCTACGTAATTAATCCAGAGACGTATGTATCTACGGTCTTGATGATATTTTACTTCCTTTTCGAATATAGCCAAGCATTGCTGCAAAAGTTTAGCGATATGGGACTCGTGTCCACTTTTCGGGCAACTCTGCTCCATCCAAAGTATATATTCGTACCAATTTTCTAAAGGATCATCGCCTTCGTAATTTTTTATCGCAGCTTCATACATTCTAGAATAGAAAATAAAAGAATCGTTTCGTAACTAATTAAAACATAATAGAATTAATTCTCGTTTTACGCACTGCCTTTCTTGTAAAAGTAATTGCTGAACATCAGTGTCCTCTTGTGCTCTTAACGCGGTTCCCAATTGTGCAGCATTTCTTCCATAACGCAAAGGCTGTATATTTTCTTTAGAGCGAGCTATGGCTGTTGCAGGGTCCATTTTTTAACTCAATATATTCTTAGACAAACTATTTTATATTCTAAAACAAAGAAAGAGAAAACGCAAGATAATCATCAATACCATTGTATTTGTTATCAATTGTCCTGTCAATTTTTAATTCCGTGCCCTCAACTCTATTTCGATGGAAACAATAGTGGGACAATGCAAAACGTCATTGGCGTGATCGAGGATGTTTACAACAAAATCGAGAGAATTTTGCGAATTAACGGATAAATAACTGACAGAAAAGTGTAAAACGTAGGAATTATTTAGCTCGATCAATCTTTAAACGGAAAATTGTTTATTCGTGTCAAAGTGTAAAAAGCCGCATTAATTATGGGACAGCCCTATACGCCAAGATGCATTCGGTCGAACGTAACGCAAACAATCTTCGAAAATTACTAAACAGTGGAGCGAAGCGTAAGTTGTTTTCTCACGAAACGCTTACCTCTCACACGTATCAAAACTTTGCATAATATTCTTTGAATAGCGGCGGACCTTCGAATTGTAGCAGATCTGTTCTTGATAACTCCAATAAGGACGCTATCAGTCTAGGTTACGTTAGTCTTCCATTTAACGGCTACAGACCACCAACGGTTTTTCCACTGTCTTCTGCTACGCTGTGCCTCAAGTGATGCAAGAGTTACGTTTCGCTGACCACGAATTTTAATTCGATCAGCTACGCGAGACAATCGAGGACCAATACAACGATAACTTCACACCGCTTAATACAGTTTTCACGCAGATTTCGATTGTGAATTACCAAACGGCACAGCTGTTGCAGGACCTTGCATCCACCCCCCCGACAGATCGAAATTCGAACCTTCGGCCTCGACTGCTTTGTCTGGAACAGTCCTTTGCGGAACTGCTCTAGAAAGTATATAAAGCATCTGCTCTGACTGCCTCTGTTGCTAATGTTGCTATAATATACAATGCTCTACTATGCTGGGAGCATCGCATTAAGCTACACTCGCACTTATGGCAAAATCAACGTGTCGATGAGCACGTATTACATATGTGAAAACGTGGCTTTATGTGTACAAATTATGAACGCAATAGAATGCGAATTTCTCCAAAACAATTTACTAAGCAAACATTCATACAATATAATAAAATACTTTAAAAAGCTTTTAAAGAACACTGTTCTTACTAATCAGCTACAATTCTTCCACGAGAAGAAGCCATAACGTGTTTACATCCCCACTCCTGTTGCAGTCCACTGACTCCACGGCTATTGGTCGAGAACGGTGACGAAGAACGGTGACAGCCAATCAGCGGGCTGCAGCAAGAGTGGGGACGTAAACACATTGTGTCTTCTTCTCGCGGAAGGACGATACTCAGCTGTATTCCCCTCCAATTACAAGATTTAATAGTCGCGTTTAAAAGTACACAGTATGAATTCTTTATATTTTTATACGAACTTTTTACGAGAATTAACGAGAATGTTGATGTATTATAATTACAAGTACATACTCTTTTATACGTTTTTACATTACGTACTTGTTAAACTGAAAGTACTGGTCACCACAACATTTAATTGGAGAATATTACCTGACAATGTTTTCAAGAGTTTAGTAAAACAATCCTCTAACGAGGAGGACTATTATGTGGACTGTAATTCTTGTTTATTGGCAAATGTACAGTGTTTCGAAGTATCTGTACCAACCTGGTTCTACGTATGTTCTAAAGTATCTTTAAGAAAGTATAAACTGTTAGTTATACCTTTAAACGAAAGAAACGATACAAACAAAGTGTTTGTATCTGAAGTTCTTAGGCATAACATAGAGAATGCATTACGGTGCACTGTTGACAATTGTTTTTTACGTGAGTACGATATATTCTTTACTGTTCCAGCGATCTAATAATATTTATCGTTTGTTTAATTTCAGTGCCAATTAAACACGATGACGTTAACTTTGCCGTAGAAGCTAAAGTTTCTATGGTATCGAATCCATACGAAAACACGAACGATGTTGTAATCGCTCTGTTAGAAAATTATTTTCACGAGCCGAGATTTTTAAGGAAAAACGATTTATTTGGTATCGACGTGAAAGAGCACATATCGGATCATGCGTATTTACATAGCAACTCTTTAATGTCTGTGATATATTTTAAAGTTAACGCTATTAAAGGTGTAAATAAGAATTGTACGGTCGGCGATAGTTTTTACATTTTACACGGAGAGACGACGCTTATTCAGGAATCAAATGTACATAGTTATCTACCTCGGAAACATTCTTATTGCGATACAACTGAAAAGATGTTGATAGAACCATGTCCACCAAGTTTTGCGGAACCTTTGAAACATTTAGAACGCTGCATCTTACCATTCGTAAAGTGTGGTAAAAATTAATTCTTGAATATATAATTTAGTATAAACGACGCATTTGGTCTAAGCATTTTATGTTTCTTATAGATATTCAATTACCCATAAAGCCAATATTTCTTGTTAAGGGTTCGAAGGGTTCGAATAAATGCAACTTGGTTCAAACTGTATCCGTAAAGATGGGTTTGAATTTTCTTTGTACAGACTTTGCGGAAGTGCAAGCCTTAACATCAGTACAAACGGAAGCTAAGCTTCGTATTGTGTTACACAATGCCAAACAATCTGCACCGTGTATACTTTGCTTAAACAATATAGAGGTATCTTCATCGCGCATGTTTTAATTAATCTTTTTTTTTTCCCAACTTCGAATAATCTAAGACAATGTTCGCAGATATTTGGAAAGAATTCGGATGGCCAAAAGGACGAAAGAATTATATCGACATTTTCGAACGAAATATCCACACTGTACGACAAACGTTTAAAATATCCAATTATTATTGTAGCTACTACGAACGAGTCTGATATACCGCCAGAATTAAACAGAATGTTTATCGAAACAATTCATACGGAGCATCTGGATCACGATAAAAGAACAGCCTTAATCACATGGCTGCTCGCAAAAAGAAATTTGCATCACGATGCAAACTTATCAAAAGTATCTGGAATGTGTTCAGATTTTAGATTCTCGGACCTCAATGCTCTGATACATCACGCGATAAAATTTCAGTGCAAATGTTGCGATAAAGATTTAAAATCGTTAACATTATTACAAGAAGATTTCGATAAAGCTTATGGTAAAGTCACAGTATCCTGGTAAAGAAAATTATGATTATGATTACTCACGTTGTCTCAGTTTTAATGATTCTATTTTTATTTATAGAATATATGCAATCTATATATACAGACTCTAAGGGTGCACCACGTGTACCAAAAGTTTATTGGGAAGACATAGGTGGTTTGGCAGACTTGAAACACGAAATCATGCGTCGGATTCAGTTGCCTTTGTTGAACGCTCTAGGATTCGGTCAGTCTGGGCTGCTTTTATATGGACCACCTGGTACTGGAAAGACGCTTCTGGCTAAAGCTGTTGCGACGGAGTATCAACTCCACTTCTTGTCCATCAAGGGCCCTGAAATATTAAATATGTATGTTGGTCAAAGCGAGAAGAACGTCAGGCAAGGTAAAGTCCCAAGACTCGATGATGGAGTGTACATTAATGCTTTAACCCTTTGCACTTCTATGTCGAGTGTGATTCGACATCAATTTTTATCTCAGGAGCTCCTTCGTCGAGTTCCAGTCAACACTTTTTCAAGTCCAATCCAAAGAGAACAACAGTGTAAATAAAACAGATATTTTAAAGGCGTTGTGGGAGCTGCTGGTAAGAAAATTGAAATATAATTCGGAGTGCAAAGGGTAATGGTTAATGGCTGCACGTATCGCATGAAGACAGTTGTCAGTCACCACTTGGTAGACCAAAGCGAGGTACACGAAGAAGCTAGAAATTATAAATGTATGATGAAATGGTGACTGATACAGTAAACAGTGGCCATCGTCTGCTAGCTGTCAAAGTGTTAAAGATACGTATCTCAAAGCGTGAAACTAAATACTGCATTGTCTTTGCAGTGTTCGAGAGAGCAAGAGCCTCTGCTCCGTGCATAATATTCTTCGACGAGCTGGACTCGTTGGCTCCAAATCGTGGACGCAGCGGCGACAGCGGAGGAGTGATGGATCGTGTCGTATCACAGTTGCTCGCTGAAATGGATGGTCTGGATTGTTCCAGCAACATCTTCATCATAGGCGCTACGAACAGGCCGGACCTCATCGATCGTGCTCTTCTCAGACCCGGTCGTTTTGACAAACTATTGTACGTGGGAATTCACTCCGATCGTGACTCGCAACTTAGAGTACTGGAAGCGTTGACTCGTAAGTTCCAACTGCGCGAGAACGGGGAAGAATTATCGAAATTGATACAGGAGTTACCAGATCACACAACCGGTGCTGATCTATACTCCGTCTGCTCCAACGCGTGGTTGAACGCTGCTCGTAGAGTTCTGAGCAAACACGATCAAATTGCTATATCCGATCAATCGGAGTCAAATAACTCCATCACCGTGGGATCGGAGGATTTCTCAAAAGCTGCCCGCGAGTTAATTCCCTCTGTCAGCGAGGAAGAAGCTGAAAGATACAGAAAAATGCAGACGGAATTGTCATCGATATCGTAGCTTTGAACATTTTATCCGGTCAACGGTGTTTCTATGAAAATATTAAGTCGAACGTCTTTTGATCTTACAAACGACGTGTTGATTTATTTCGGGAAATATGTAAAACAATTTTTACAACGAATAGTTAAATCATGGAGGGTATTTACGTTTCTACCCCTAGATATTGCACCGAGACGGTTACTCTTATGCGCTAGTGTGCGGATAAAGAACGATAGCAGTGCCGAGACGTGTTCTCGATGTCATGGTCCTTGATACATGACAATATACATCGATCTGAAATATACAATGTAGAAAAATAGGACAGCTGAGTTCACCGAGTAATACCTATGCCAGACATCAAATTAAACGAAGGTTCAAGGTTTCCGTTAGTGGGTGCGATATTGCAATTAGACAATTATTTCCATGGAAATTCATAGTCGTTAAAATAAATAAATGTTTATTCCCTCCGATAGTGGTGATTCTGTAAGTTCAAACAACAAATTGTACTTACAGTTTTCATATCTTACAATCGCAACCCTGTGACTCCGTGCTCTGATTCTGCATACAGGGTGTTCGATTAACCGTGGGAAAAATTTTAACGGGGGTGTTCTAGAGGCCAAAATAAGACGAAAATCAAGAATAGTAATTTTTTAATCGAGGCCTCGTTAAAAAGTTATTGACAGTTGCGTCTACGCAGGTTGAACGCAGCGCGCAAGTTGCATATCTCCAGACGCAACTGTTAATAACTTTTTAACGAAGCCTCGATTAAAAAATTACTATTCTTGATTTTCGTCTTATTTTGATCTCCAGAATCTTCCGTAAAAATTTCGAATTCGAAAGAGTCGATTTACTTGAAAAAGTAAACGAAGATTGCGATTGCACTTTACAGGTGCATCGTTGAACTTACAAAAAACGCGAGGTCATAGGAAGATAAACTTATAACAGAGCATTTACGCGCAAAGTTGGGTGTCTCTGTTCATAATGATTCGCGACGCCATTGACGCGCTTCTTTTCGTACGAAATAATAACGATTTGCCTTTGGTATGGTCGCGAGGTAGGATCGATTACGATGCTATCGTTTCGATGCGCGATAACTCGTGAATGACTAACTTATTATGCGAAAGAAAGTTTCATACGCGTGCATACATTAAGATTTTACAGCTGTTAACAATATAGATATGAATCGATACGACAAAAGCGACGAAATTACAAGGGATTGCCGTTGAATATGCGCTAAAATATATTTCGCAAGGAGAGACTGTACAATTACGAGTATTTTTTTAATCCTTGTATCGTACCGTAAATCATTGTGATTCATTTTCATCGAACTACCGAAAACGTTACTTTTTACATTTTTTTGCCACAAAAGTGAGATATCAATTTAACAGGTTTCGCTTCCTACGCATCAAAAAAATGTTGTTCGGTGCAGTCGAGGATTTAACAGAAGTATCACATTCGATAAATAAACTAGTCGCTATGCGCGATGTAACAATGAAAAAAAAAACACACACACAAATTCCGTGCGAATTCTGTTTCTAGGAGGCACGTGAATTTTAAAGGATCTTGCTTAGTTAAAACTCGATCTTACGTAGGAGAGGTATCGTTTTAAATATGTAAAAATCTAACCGATATTCCTTGCCGCGTGAAACGAACGACGAGAAACGGGGGGAATATCGAAACGAGAAAATTCTGTAAATCGTTCTACGTATTGTTAGTTTTACCACTGTACAGTTACGTAGATCCATGCGTGGTTCTTTCGTTACAAACGTTCGTTTAATTCCCATTTTTTAAGTATTCGAGAAGAGAAATGTAATTACTCTAGGCGAAGAAAATTGAGAGCTACGGAGGAAAAGTGGTAGAACGATTCCGCTCGCGTCGATCGCGGAAAACGAAATACTTTGTACTCGACGGGCGCGAACTTCTTCGCGAAGTTCAACGTTTCATCACTTCTTACTTACAATTAACGTTTCGTCGCGCCTTGTCGCGGTTTTTAAGCAGTCTTCTTTTTTTTCATTTTTTTGCGTGTGTTGATGTGTGTATGCTCGTACGTGGACGTGTGTGTATATTATAAGGAAATACGCTAGTTTTCACATCTTTCACGAAGATTGTTCAGTCGTATGACAGGACCTAAAAGAACCAATTTATGACACGTGCGATAAAGATTCGTGCGGTTGGGGTTTCAAGGCAAACCATGGAGAACACTGTCGAATAACACAATGATCCTCTGTCGATTTTTTAGGTGTCTGTTGCTCATAGAACAAGAAAGTCTGAGACGCGGAGAACACCTATTTCTCGTACACCAGGGACAACAGGTTCTACACATTTTATGCATTTTCACTGCCCTTCGGTGTTCAATCCTGAAACAAAAAGAAAAATATTGAAGCATCTCGAGTTTGGAAAATAAATATATACAGGGTGTTCGTCCACGGGAAAAATTCTAAGGGGAGATTCTAGAGGCCAAAATAGTGCGAAAATCAAGAATACGAATTTATTGATAGAGGCTTCTTTAAAAAGTTATTAATGTTTAAAGTTCTGACCGTACTGAATTTTTTTCTCGAAAGTGAGTAGGATTTTGAGCGTATGTGTAATGACCAAAAATGATTGTAATTGACCTCTGCAACTGAAAATAATTTTTTTTGAATAATTTGAAATTTTTTTTTCGGCGAAAATATTTGGTACTTTCTCGAATTTTTTTCTCGAAAGTGGGTAGGAATTCGAGAGTATGTCTAATGAGCAAAAATAATTGTAATTGACCCCCTTAGCTAAAAATAATTTTTCCAAAACGATTTGAAATTTTTTTTTCGGCGATAAATTTAGGCACTTTCTCGAATTTTTTTCTCGAAAGTAGGTAGGATTTCGAGGATATGTCTAATGACCAAAAATGATTGTAATTGACCCCATTAGCTAAAAATAATTTTTCCAAAACGATTTGAAATTTTTTTTTTTGCGAAAAATTTAGGCACCTTCTCGAATTTTTTTCTCAAAAGTGGGTAGGATTTCGAGGATATGTCTAATGACCAAAAATGATTGTAATTGACCCCTGCAACCGAAAATAATTTTTTTAGAACGATTTGAAATTTTTTAATTTAATTTTTTAATAACTTTTTAACCCTTATTTTGGCCTCTAGAATCTCCCATCAACATTTTTCCCAAGAATGGCCGAACACCCTGTATACTGATGTGTCCATAGTCTTCTAAAAACAGCTGATAAAAGGCTCAAATATAACCAGACAAACAATACATAAAATTACAATTGAATAACAGAATTGTAGACTGGTGAATACATTGTTGACTGTTTCAGGAATACTCATACGGACTACTCGATACTTCTTCAAAAATTTGTATACCTGGTCAAGAAGATTTCGTGGCAAATTCGTGGAGTATGTCGCAAGCCATTTCAAGATCGTTCCTAGTAATACCCAGCGCTCTGATCACCGCATCTTGGGCAAACCCAAGTGCCGTCAGTTTGGTGATGTGTTCCACGTTTACATTCTCGTATGCCGCGGTTTCTGGCTTAGCGGAACCGGCAGGATCGTCTTTACCCCTCATCAGAGCCGACAATCTAGCTGTGTTTGCTTCAAGATTGATGTTCCTGACGACGTGCTGTCTTGTACCGGGTATCACGATCGTGTTCTCATAGTGATGATCCTGTCTGTTGTACTCTTTGCTAGCTTTTGGTGGCCGTGGCACCGATAACGGGGGTGGAACCGGCGGCACGTTATTGCTGGATGTTGTTTGACTCGATATGGAGGATGCACCGTTGGAACGACTAGGTTTCTCAGGCAACGTCGGTGGTTGAGGTTGCGTAAGAGCAGCGTGGCTTCCTTGGGAGCGACGAATGTGCGTTCTGCCAACTGGAAACGGCACTGGTGGTATCGGTGGTGCCGGAGACGGTGAGGATGCACGGTGCAACATGTCGTATCCTGCTTCAGAGTTCACTGATCAAATAAAACAAGAGCTGTGAGACCTTGGACTTTGATTCAAGCTTAAGAACTTGTTAAGGGGGGAACCTCGTGTAAAATGAAATTTTTCAACATTTTTTTTTTTGCTTAAATTGGTAGGAAATTTCCTCAGGAATATGATAAAAAAAGTTAGAAAGTGATAAGAAATTTCCTTGTACTGTTGTAAACGGGTAATAATTAAAAATTTTAACAAAAGAAGAACGTCATGCTTTTGCATAAACTAACTATTCTATTTTGAGTTTTTTGTTTCACATCATTTTTGTGCATTGGATGCCATTTTCAAGCCACCATTGCACCGTTGTTATTAACAATTAAAGTTTATACAAAATATTTTTCTTTACGTTATAACGTTAATGAATGATACTTCAAATTTTAAATGAATCTGTGCATTGGATTTTTCAAAAAAAATTCTTGAAAAACAGGCCATTTACATGAGGTTCCCCTCCCTTAAATACACTGATGTTTACTGTTATTATTTTGTTGATTGTCAGCGCTGGAGTTGAACACCGTGTTAGCTGCTGGCAATGGCGGTGGCGGTGCATTCTCCTTTGGCACAGTCAAGTGACGACCGTTCCTGGAGTGACTGTTCGGCGTGGGAGACGGTGATGGTCGTCGAGGAGGTAGCGGCGGGCTCGGTACGATTCGTCGCGCCGAGACTGGCGAATTTGTTGGACTCGAGTCGTCTTCTTCGTCCGAATCGTCGCATATCAACCCGCAATGCCCGTTGCACAGATCCATTATTTCCTAAAACATTTAGGGTAAACAGGAGATTGCATTAACTTCGACGCCACTGTTTAACGTAGAAAGGAGACTGGTTTTACTTCTGATCTTTTAATTAATGCGACAGAATGCTCGAATGACTGTACAGGGTGTTCGCGTTATTACACAGTTTGTAACCGAACGATGAAACTTTCCACTCGCGAATACAAATCATTATGCACGGTCATTCGAGTCAGGTTTTAGACAGCGTTTAGATTCTTTTGTAAACGATATTAGTGGAATAAATTTTGTTCGGATAAAGTGTAAAATGAGGCGTACAAATTAATTTTAATTCTCGACGTTAGCCATTTGTAAACTCGGTGAGAAGGGTTAATTGGGTAATTAGCGTTGACTGCAAAGCGAGCGTGTAAATTCGAAGGAATTGTTCGGCGTCAGTTCAGTGGTTTTATCCGAATCGGAGAACAGATGATACAGGGTGACTTGCAATAAAGCGTACGGTATTTGCTTCTGTATTTTATCAACGTTCCAAACAGTCGCCACAAATAAATGGTCCCATGACGCGTCCGTGCAGGCCACCCTGTATATGCGAAGGAAACATCACACAATTAAATGCACAAAGTTACAAAGCGTGAAAGCGTACGGTCATAATGCATTTGTTCACTTACCTGCGTCCAGCAGTGACAAACCATTCTCCTTCGGCTATGTACATTACCGATTAGCGTTCGATCATGCAGCGGGCAGAGCAATGGACCCAGTAGGTAAACGTTATGAAAATAAAGGTATAAACGATCATGCGAACGATAATAACGAATACACCTTGGTTCGTTTTTTTTTTTTTGTGTACAATGTTCCATGTTCGACAAAAACAGTGATCCACAACTAAAAAGTCCCAGCAAAACCGGGGGGGCGTTGTGTGTTATACATGTGCAGACGTAACTCGATGTAACGATGACATACAATTTTATTTAAATGATAGAAAAAACGAAAGGTAGAGAGACATGACGAACGAGACGAACCGTACTCGGTTCCCTGACATTTTTACAATGATTAGGAGGAAAATGTACGCTACAGAGTAATGTTTACGAAATATTTATTTTAGATCTCTATGTCGCTGCTGATATACACAGGCAGCTTGGAACAGATCTGAATCGGGGATCGATCAGCAGCACTATCCGTCGTACAAATAACGCTAAACGACTACACGTGAACGCAGTAGAAGCCTGATCTTTCGATTTCTCGTGTTTCTGATGCAACGGGTATATAGAATACTTCGGTGCTTACGTGGCTACGCTCAAAGAATTACTGTTCCTCGTTATTCGACTGCCAATCTTAGACGAACTAAAAAGAATAAATTGTTCGGTCGAGTGCATACAGAATCTGCGGTGTCTGTGTATTAAAATCAACAGCTTCGATATTCGGCATGAAGTGCTCTACCTACACGATCATTGGTAATAAAAAATCTTTCAAGACTTGTTTTATGCGTGAACGGAATAAATAATAAATATCTAAGGTAATGAAAATAATTAACATCTTTGCCCTGGTAAAGATGCCGCATGTTATTACATTGTTCCTATCGCCAACAGGTACGTAATTAAGTCTAGTAAAATACAAAAAAAAGAAAAACGACGAACGCGTAGCGTCCTTCCACGGGAAGGAAGCACAGTTGTGTTTATATGTTTGCATCCCCGCTCTAGCTGCTGTCCGCTGATCGGCTGACTTCGTCACCGATCTCGACCAATAGCGGGCCAGCGGACAGCAACAGGAGTGGGTATATAAACACGCTGTTGCCTTCTTCTTGCGGGAGAACGGTACATTCGTCTACAAGCTACATAGCACTTCTTGTTGCTCGATGTAAGCTACGCTATTTCCCTCGGAATATAACTACGCTTTTTATCTACTTTTTATCCAGACTACTATCAGTATCACCTTTATATGCTTTTATCATATCACTGCTCGTACAAATATTAATAAAATACCAGTGAATCACTTCCGTGGAGCAAAGCAAAGAGAGGACGAATTTTTTTACTTCCTACTTTGCCAACGTAAATTTATTAACGATTCTCGTTTCGAACTGCACGCTAACAAAAGCATCGATCCGACATTACAAATGTCCTATTCTGCTAATAGCGTGTACTCGGTATATCATAGACGAAGCTTCCACTAATTTCAACAGGTCGCGTTATGCGTATAACTGCAAAGAAGACGCTCTGCCAGCTATACGCATTTGCACATGCATTTAAAAAGTCGATTGATTCCTTAACCGATCGCGTGCAAAAAAAAGATTTTACTCTATGGTACAAAAAAGCGGATGATCCGTACGTAATCGTTATCGCGAATTGCGCACGGAGCGTTCGGCCATAATGTTATCTCTAAAACGTATTGTTCCATTGCTTCAAACAAATCGTTGTACTCTGAGTACAACTTGCCACGTGTTTCGCTTCGTGGGAGCATGAATAATGAATGCAAACACTTCATAGTAAATGAAACAAGAACGGATGAGTCGTACAATAAGCCCTGAACGGTGTAATGCAAAAAAGCAACCTACCTTAGGGTCTCCATAAATGCAAAAATTTTTGTTTCTTTTTTTTTTTTTTTAAAAACCGTGTTAGTCCGAACGAACACTCGTAAACTGCAAAAAACATTCGTATTAATCGTTCGTGAAAACTATTCAGTTAAGCCATTCTGCGTGTTTCTTATGTACATACAAAAAAAAAAAAAAAGAAAAGACAAAAGCGAAAAAAAATATGATCCGAACAAAGCTCACATAGAGACAAAAAAGTTGGTCCCTTTTTACATCGTTCACTCCTCGAACATTCACAAGTAACCTTCTTGTCGTTACGTTTCAAGCTTGGCGTGCCTCGCGAGAGGCGACGTGTTCGATGATAATCCTACGAATGATATGACGTGACGATCGTATAAACTCCGAAATCTTCGCGTGAAATGCATGAAGCATTCTTTAAAAAAATGAGGCGTGTTGCTTGGGAGAAGTTGTTATACATAGAGCACATTTAATATAATGAGGGTAGGTGCTACTCCTAGTCGGATACCTCGGTGTCGGGGTCAAGATCCCGCGTGGGGGTCGATGCATTACTAACGGACGCTGAATGTGTTCCAGGCCGGTGTGTTCTTCGTGGATCGAACGGATCGATAACTATCTGTTCCGTTCCTTTAATTTCGGCTCGGCAAAACGGGCAACCCTGTCCCTCGGAATCCTACAAAATCGTACATCGGAAAATTCTTTCTCGGTGCACGTCTGTGCACGAAATGAATAAAGTTTACGTTAATTACCTGCCAAGCCGTGAGGCACGGTGTGCAAAGAAGATGACCGCAAGGTTCTATCCTCACATCTTTGTCATTCTCTGCGCAAATTTTACACAACTGGAATGTGCTACCCATTTCGCAATACAGTTCGTACTGTTCCGCCGTGACCTTTATGTGCTCCTCCGGAGTAGGCTGCACCGCCCATGTTAGATCAGGATTTATGTTATGGCCATCAGGGTATAAGTAACTGAAAGAGAACCATTGAAAATTAGAGACCTTTTAAACTTCTGTTAGAGTAACTTTCTGTTCCCCTATTCCGTATATACTTACAAGCCTTCCCGATATCCGTCAAGCAAGGCTTGACAAAGACTTTTATTGTGAGGTATCGTTTGAAGAATATCTCCATCGGACGTGACATAGCCGATAGCCCATTGTCCTAACCTTGTACAACTTAACCGGAACACGTAACTTCCAGGTCTGCAATACTTTTGTAAACGTGCCTTCACTTCGTCGTAAGTAAGGAAAGCTACGTATCCGGGATGGGTCACAGCCAGAATTTTCCAATTACGTAAAAGCGTAGACCAGGGTTGAAATAACCTACGAAGGACAAGAAAGATATTAAAATCTAGTAATACTATAAAATAATTGATTTTCGTGTCTGTAAACTTACCTTGTAAATACATCGAACTCAAAGTTAGAGATATAGTCATTGCATGTGAGATCTATCGTAGATTTCAATGCCATAGCTTGCAGCACAGAACTAATCGGATGAACTTCGTTCAACTTGTCTCTGAATACTTTCCATGGGACCAACGTGCTAAAAACAAAACCAGAAATTATCTACTGTTAACGCATTAAGCATTCAATTGTAACATTTATTATTATACCTTGTTTCACCTTATTGGTGAAAGGTTACGAAGCAGGTTGAACTTAAAAGGGTTAAGGGTCAATTATAAAACCGGGTGCAAATTGTGTACATCGTCGTAACATGTGATAATTAAAAATAATTATTTTTATTCCGACATTACGATTGATGAGGTTCTATTTTAGTAGATTAGAAATTCAAGTAGTAAAATCTATAAGCCCCATAAAATTCGATGTCATTCAATGAATCAGTTTCAGAAAAATAAAATGCCCAAGTCATTTTCTACTGTAATCGTACGTCGTCATACACACGTATACGCGCGTATGTGTGCCGCCCGGTAGATGCTCATTTAAGCTAGTAGATGGCGACCGGCTCGTCAGTGTGAAAGCAAAGCTTCTAGTGCGCGGTTGACTGTTCTCTCTGTTTCTAACGATTGTCAAGATATCATTGGTAAGACAGCATGATTATTACCATGAACATATATTATCGTGCACGAATCATATCACCGTCGTTTTCATCGTATAATACGTAGCAAATATAACGTGATTCTGTGTAAAACATCCGGACGTCTCCGTGCAACCCGATAGCACGGTCCTTTCGAGGTTGGCACGACGAACGACAGATGGCAATCGATATCAATCCGTCGTGTGCTAAAATTTCATACATTGTTGTAACGGTTTTTTTGGAAAATTATTCTTTGAAATATATATATATATTCTTCACGCTGTTTTACAGCAGTATCGTACCACGGTTTACCCAAGAAAATTACACAATTGTTTATAATCTTATCCGTCGTTTGGACATCCGAATGTTATCGCGATTACCGTTATCCACCATCTGTACATCCCTTCAATAAACAATGATAAATTTGAAATCACGGTGAATTAACGTACTACGCGTTATTTATCTCGGACCCTCTCGCCTCGTAAATAGTTTAGTACAGTTTCAGGGACAGAATCGTGTACGTACAGCAATACTACGCGCCGAGGAATGCGTTTTATAAAATTGGTGCTGCCAGTGGGATTTGTCGATCACTTTATTCGAAATTTCACAGGCACGTAATTCGATAAGTTTTACACCTGCTTTCCCGCCCTCCTGCTATGAGAAAACCGAGGTGGAATCTTTTTATTTCAAGGATGAAACTTAATACGAAGATCGAACTACAGAGACGATTATTAGTAATTGTATGATATAGCATTGCAAAACAATTCGTATTATAAATTCATTCGTATAAAAAGATGGCACAGCTATTGTTTTAAATGAAGTATCATTGCTTTTTTAACAAAACCATCCAACGATCTCGAAATTAATAATTCCTACGTGCTCAGAATATTTTACGACGAAGCAAGCGTATCTTGCCGTGTCCTTTCACATCATGGTCAGTGGAATACTTATATTCTGCGTGCGTACGTGCCTACTAGTAGGATGATACTACGTCCTCAGGTGTTCCCAACCTGTTTAGCGTATCTACGCACCTTAATAAACCGGATCGACAGACAAAATATTTGTACAGCATTTAAAATTTGCCCACCAAAGCACGAAAGATTGCTAGCACAATCTGTGAACCGGCTGATAAACATGCTAAATTTAGGTTGGGAATTTCTGCTGGCGTTTTGTATCGTTCCAAGCATGTTATCGGAATGTTATTTGCCCAAATTTATGTTGTTGACAAATACGATATTCGTTTACCTTTCGCAGCTCGAAGGTATAACGTGTTGCGGTATAATAAAATAACAGTAACGTAACTTTGATACGTGCTAAATGTCACAGCATTGAACACACAATCGATATAATACACCTTGCACACACCAATGAGAAGAACGATCTATACGCGACACGTCATACATTAATTATGAAGAAGTTGCAAGTAATCATTACACGAGTAAGGTTAGGGTTAAATTAGCGCGAGTTTCTAACCTTCGAACAGGTTAATCGATCGAAACGAGAAACACACACAATTATAGAAGACTGCATTTTTTCTGTTTCGCGCCATTTTTTCGTTGTTTGCATTCGTTGTGTTTGCAGCACTTTAAATCCACTATAAAATACATATTCCGTGTAAAATAACATTGAGATATTTTAAATGTCGATCGAATTCAGTCCGTGGCAGTAACTATGACCGGAAATTAGAGTTACAAGGAAGCTAAATCGATTAACAATTTTACCGCCAAAAGCATCGAGGTGTCCGTTTCGCGCCATTTTTCGTCCTTTCCATTCGTTGTGTTTGCAGCACTTTAAATCCACTATAAATGACATATTCCACGTAAAATAATAGTGAGATATTCTAAATGTCGATCGAATTCAGTCCGTGGCAGCAACTATGACCGGAAATTAGAGTTACAAGGAAGCTAAATCGATTAACAATTTTACCGCCAAAAGTATCGAGGTGTCCGTTTCGCGCCATTTTTCGTCCTTTCCATTCGTTGTGTTTGCAGCACTTTAAATCCATTATAAATGACATATTCCACGTAAAATAACAGCGAGATATTCTAAATGTCGATCGATTTCAGTCGCGGCAGCAACCATGAGCGGAAATGAGAATTACAAGGAGGCTAAATCGATTTACGATTTTACCGCCAAAAACATCAAAAGCGAAGATGTCCCACTTTCCAAGTAAGTATTCCGCCTAGTTAATTGTTTTCTATACAGGGAGATTCTAGAGGCCAAAATAAGACGAAAATCAAGGATACTAATTTGTTGATTGAGGCCCCGTTAAAAAGTTATAGAAACATTTCCGGCCACACGGTATATTTTCGGTAAAGAATTTTTTTCTCGAAAATGCGTAGGATTTTTGGGGTATGTCTATTCACCTAAAATGATCGTAATTGGCCCCCGCAACTGAAAATAATTTTTTTAGAATGATTTGAAATTTTTTAATTTTTTTGACAAATTTTGCACATTCTCGAATTTTTTTCTCGAAAACGCGTAGGAATTTGAGGGTATGTCTATTCACCTAAAATGATTGTAATTGGCCCCCGCAACTGAAAATATTTTTTTTGGAACGATTTGGAAATTTAATTTTTTTGAAAAATTTCACACCTATTCGAATTTTTTTCTCGAAAACGCGTAGGAATTTGAGAGTATGTCTATTCACCAAAAACGATTGTAATTGACCCCTCTAACTAAATATAATTTTTTTAGAACGATTTGGAAATTTAATTTTTTTGAAAAATTTCACACCTACTCGAATTTTTTTCTCGAAAACGCGTAGGAATTTGAGGGTATGTCTATTCATCAAAAATGATTGTAACTGACCCCTCTAACTAAATATAATTTTTTTAATATGATTTGAAATATTTAACTTAATTGTTTAATACAATTTTAACGAAGTCTCGATCAACAAATTGATATTGTTGATTTTCGTGTTATTTCGCCATTAGAATTTTCCCCAGGGTTGGCTGAACGCCCTGCATATTCATGTACACATGTATGCCATTCATTTTGTTGTATATTTACAGTTACAAGGATCACGTATGCTTGATTGTAAATGTGGCGTCAAAATGCGGATTCACGGCGACGAATTACAAGGAATTGAATGAATTGTACGATGAATACGCCGAGTCCAAAGGTACAATGAATCCGAGAGTTCTATTTTCCAACACAGTTTTGTTAACACTATCGATCAATTACAAAACAATATCTTTACAGGTTTACGAATCTTGGCATTCCCTTGCAACCAATTTAATGGACAAGAACCAGGCGGCAGCGATGAAATATGCAGTTTCGCTGATCAACACAAGGTATTCGAATCTTTTACGAATACAAATAGAATTGGAAACTTGTTCAACGTGTGCTTGCGTTCTGTTTTAGGTGAAATTCGACATGTTCGAGAAGATCAAGGTAAACGGAGACGAGGCTCATCCCCTTTGGAAGTACATGAAGAAGGAACAAGGAGGATTGATAGGAAACTTCATCAAATGGAACTTCACCAAGTTCATCGTCAACAAGGAGGGGAAAGTTGTGGAGCGACACGGCCCTGATGTAGATCCCAGTAAACTGAAGACCAAGCTTGAGAAATATTTCTAAGCATTCTTGTACTGTTCTCTCAGTCTGCTATTCGTACACAACACACATTGTAACTTGAGGAACACATATTTAAGAATAATGCATCGACTGCACGTTCCTATAAAAAAACATAAAAACCGTATCAATATTTTATGTCAAACTGTAATAGATTTTAGACACACGGTGTTAATATAACAGATCTTTGCTATTATTTTTCTGTCGACACATACACTTTTCTACATAAAAACGAACAATCTTTTTTTTTTAAATAAGTACCGATAAATAAATGTTTTATTACCGTATATATATATATATAAGTGAGAAATAATAAACAGGTAATACCAATATAATACCAATTTCAATGCCATGTTTTTCCTCTGAGCCGTGTGAATCTCCGTCTGATAATATTTTTATGTTGTTTACAGTACAAGAAGTGTTCCCTGTAATAGAATTAGACAGTAATCAGCTGAATTTTGGTGATTACCGTCTGTCTGCCTCGTTAGATGCCTCGCCTTAGTGGAAGAAAATTCGAAACCTGAAGGGATCGTGGAACAATTAAATTGAACCGTATAAAAGGCACTAATGGCGTTAAAAATAGACCCGGTCACGAACAAACGTAAACGCAGTGACGTAGGACGAAAGCACGCCCGCGGCACCCACTACCAACGCGGAAAAAAGACAATGGGTCCGCACGTCAGAGAAATCTATAATTGCAACGTGCCTTTAAAGCACAGGGATTGCTTTCGCGCGTCCCGTGTGCTGCATTCATTCCCCTCTGAAAGGTGACAGATTGTTGATGCAATATCCGGGAAGTAGGCTGGCCCGACTCATCGGCCTTTCTCAACCAAATTCTTCCACTTTTCACAATGTCCGTTTCGCGACATGCGGTCACCTGCCATTCTGGCAAAAGGAGACTCACTGTCGAGTACATCTGGCCGTTTCATTCTCAACGATAGTTCCAATCGGTCCAGGTGTTCACGATAGACTTCTGTAGCCATCTTTTTATTTTCAGCGCCTCGGGCGGATTAAGAAAAGGATTGTTTGTTGTCGATTGGCCAGAGATCATTTATTGCGGCGTTGTGTCTGCCAGTGGACGGTTTCAATATTTTAACCGAGCTGTACTAAATTTATTCAATGAATTATACAGAAGAAATGGATCGTAAAAGAACACATGTTGTGGACAGAATAAATTTACTGCTGATAATACCGGTACTTTCGTAAACCAGTATGATGTCATACGTGTTCATGCTTGCACGTATAAGGATGGTTACGAATGTAAGAAGAATATGTGTTCAATTGAACTGAAATAAATAAGAGGAATACGCAGGGGTGTTAGGTAAACCATGGTGAATGATTATACCCTCGAAATTCTACCTACTTTCGAGAAAAAAATTCGAGTAGGTGGTGAAAATTTTGGGTGAAAAAAAGAATCTCGAATCGTCTCGGAAAAATTATTTTTAGTTGCAGCAGTCAGTTGCAAGCATTTTTGGTGAATAGACATACCCCCGAAATCCTACTCACTTTCCAGAAAAAAATTCGAGTATGTACTAAAATTTTTAGACGAAATTAAGAAATTCCAAATCACACTAAAAAAATTATATTTAGTTACAGGTGTCAATTGCAAACATTTTTGGTCAAAAGACGTATCCCCGAAATCCTACGCAGTTTCGAGAAAAAAATTCCAGTAGATGCTGAAAATTTTGGGTGAAAAAAAAAATTTCGAATCGTCTTGGAAAAAATATTTTTAATTGAAGGGGCCAATTACAAGTATTTTTGGTCAAAAGACATACCATCGAAATGTTACGCAGTTTCGAGAAAAAAATTCGAGTAGATGCTGAAAATTTTGGGTAAAAAAAAAAATTTCGAATCGTTTTGGAAAAATTATTTTTAGTTGCGGGGGTCAATTACAAGCATTTTTGGTGAATAGACATATCCTCGAATTCCTACCCAGTTTCGAGAAAAAAATTCGAGTAGGAGTTGAAAATTTTGGGTGAAAAAGAGAATTTTGAATCTTATTGGAAAAATTATTTTTAGTTGAAGGAGTCAATTACAAACATTTTTGGTGAATAGGCATATCCTCGAATTTCTACCCAGTTTTGAGAAAAAAAATCGTGAAGCTGTGAAATTTTTCGACAAAATTGAAAAATTTCGAATCATATTAAAAAAATTATATTTATTTACAGGGGTCAATTACAAACATTTTTGGTGAGTAGGCATATCCTCGAATTTCTACCCAGTTTTGAGAAAAAAAATCGTGAAGCTGTGAAATTTTTCGACAAAATTGAAAAATTTCGAATCATATTAAAAAAATTATATTTATTTACAGGGGTCAATTACAAGCATTTTTGGTCATTAGACAAATCCTCGAAATCCTCCCCACTTTCGAGAAAAAAAATCGGGAATCTGTGAAATTTTTCGACAAAATTGAAAAATTTCAAATCATATTAAAAAAATTATATTTATTTACAGGGGTCAATTACAAGCATTTTTGGTCATTAGACGTATCCTCGAATTTCTACCCAGTTTCTAGAAAAAAATTCGAGAAGCTGTGAAATTTAAACGTTAATAACTTTTTAACGAAGCCTCCATCAACAAATTGATATTCTTGATTTTAGTCTTATTTTGGCCCCTAGAATCTCCCATTAAAATTTTTCCCACGGTTGACCTGACACCCTGCATAGTGATTTTTTGTGACACTTCGAGGGACATAGTCTATCTTGCTAATGTTTTGTAGGTGTCTATAGTGGAACGACTGGACTCTCGTTTCTCTCAGGGACGACCCGATGCACACGCATTCGTCTCCGTAGCGCGTTCCAACAGTGTCAGAAATTAATTCGACGTTCTCATCTCGAAAAATGGGTCGATGCATCCCAGGCACATTCGAGCAACACGATGACATAATTACAGGCCATCCCGTGCGAGAGCGGGTCAAGGATGAAAGGCGAACACACTCGACCTACCGCGAAATATTTTTTTCTCTTCTTTTTCTTGCGCGTTAATACTTCAAGAACGGATGGGCGTACTACTACGCCTCCATTTGTATTTATTTTATCTAATCAGTAATCTTCAAATAGAATCTAGTTTAATATTGAATAATGTTTTTAGGTTCCTGGACGATGGACCAAAGCGTTGAAATTCACATTTGGATGAAATGTGGCACTCTGTCCGGGATCTGGGTAACGGTACGCAGGATGTAAAGAAAAGAAAAGACGCCTAAGCTCGCCGAGGCGCGTGTCCTTCCTGAATTTCAATCCTGTGCCGCTTTACGTCACCGTTAAAACTGGGTCACGTCCTCTATTGCAGGAGTAACCCGTGTCTCGGAATTGAATGTTCCGCGATATATCCACACACACACGCGTACACAATACACACAGTGTCCCACGCAACTGGGGAAAAGTTTATATCTCGAAAACGGACGTCGGGTACAAAAGAACGCCCTAAGGCAAAATTAAACGTCATCCACTCAGAATGTAATTTTATTCGTTCCCATGCATTGTTTGGAATTTAAATGTCAAGAGAGCTTCTGTACAACATTCACGGTGCAATATGTCGTCCATATTCAGCAACTAAAATTCTGCACGCTCTTTGATTATTATCAGAAACGAGCTTCCTCCAGGTGATAAAGTCGAACGTGACACTGTGTGGGTAATGTGTACATACATACATATGCATAGACCAGCGCGTGGTTAATGTACAAAATGAAGCCGAGAGATACTAACGCTATAATTAGTCGTCCTTGCTTGTCGACTGATCCGAGGCTCGCCTCCATTCATAGATCGCTGGCTTTTCCAACGCGCCCGTGTCTTCCATGATTCGAAATCAACTGACCGTAACATTGAACTTTCTTTCGATACTTTGCGCCCGCGTTCCAGCGAATTGTTTATCGCGTTTATCGACAGGCTGATAAACAGTTGGCGATTCGCTGCAACGAACGTGTCGCGACACGGGAAAGCTGGGCAATCCGTATCTTGCTTAAGAATTTTAAAACAAAGGATGACGAATGCCCGATGCACGCAGATAATGAAAGGCCTCTACAGGCAACCGAGACCTCGTTAGAAACGTGATCGATGTTTTAATATCAATTCTTATCTTTGCAACTGTTTAAATGATCTGAACTTATGCTTCGATAGTTTTCAGAAAGGAAGCCTTTAACTGGAAACCTTCGCCGTCCTTTTGTTTTTCTACCCACGGCAAAAAGGTTCCCCCCGTTCGTAAGGTTTCCAACCATCGACGGTTGAACGCAGTTACGCAACGCACGGCGAAAATACACCCATGGAAAATGTCAGTGGAACGGCTGGAGACCGCGTTTCAAGGATGCCCCGTTCGTTTCAAAGGTTCTGCGTGCACGTGTGTATCTGTGAGGCTACTCCCTCGACGGTGCCTACCGTTAACCGCGTTATCGACGTTATATCGAACATCGTCGCCGCTGGAAGCAAAGGTGCTCTCAACGAGACACGCGGGGGAACTGCAAACTTTCAAGATACCATGTAAAGCAAATGTACAAGCACCCGTAGTCTATCTTCCAAACGCACAGAGCATCCCAAAAGTAACGTCACTGACAAATACTAGAGTCTAGAGTGTAGACTACGGGTGCTTCATGCCTCATCGATCGTCGCTAGAAGGAAAGGTGCTCTCAACGAGACACGCGGGGGAACTGCAAACTTTCAAGATACCATGTAAAGCAAATGTACAAGCACCCGTAGTCTATCTTCCAAATGCACGGAGCATCCCAAAAGTAACGTCACTGACAAATACCAGAGTCTAGAGTATAGTCTACGGGTGCTTCATGCCTCATCGATCGTCGCTAGAAGGAAAGGTGCTCTCAACGAGACACGCGGGGGACTGAAAACTTTCAAGATACTATGTAAAGCAAATGTACAAGCACCGTAGTCTATCTTCCAAACGCACAGAGCATCCCAAAACTAACGTCACTGACAAATACTAGAGTCTAGAGTGTAGACTACGGTGCTTCATGCCTCATCGATCAGGAGGATTTCCACCCCAAGGATTTCACTTGTTGCTAAGCGATCTGCACTCACCAGACGCTCTCACTTGTATTTCGTGGACAGAATTTTAATAGATAGGTACGGTGCAAACGGGGGGGTGGAGAAACGTCTCCTCGAGCTTGACGAACCCGAATAAAAATCTCGATAAACGTGGACGAAGGATAGTCGTGAATGGCCGGTCTACGCGTGGCCACGACGATTCGTACAATTCGCTCGTTTAATTCGCTTTAATCGCGACGTCACGTCCCCTTCCTTCCGCTTCGGCTCCACGTCCGGATGCGAGCTTAACTCGCCGACTGGCAACG